GCGTTATGAAAATAATGTGTTTACGGTTTTGACAGATTATTAATGTCAACGTATACGTATACGTAAACACTTTCTCCACATTGTGGAGAAAAAAACAGATATGTGGCATACCAAGAGATGGTGTTGTATGTTATGAATCTTTTTTCATTGTTTGACATCAGGGGGGGTTGTATGTGCATGTGCAACGAGAGAAAGTTATGTTCATTCGTCGGTTCGATGCTTTTTATCATTTCGGGGCAACGATTTTAATGACTACATTTCCACTGAATATTACATTTTGCCGGAGAAGAACTGAGTCTGTGGCATAGATTTTGTGCTCTATTTCTCAAGGCCACACATTTATTATGAATATGCATAGTTTTGAAATCAAAACAGGACATCGTTTAGTCAAAAATTATGCATTTTCATTAATTTAAATAAAACATAAGAGATGAATAATGAAGAGATACCATTTCAGACCAAAAATATTTCTTTCATTTGAACAATTTGATGTGATGGTAAGCTGCATTTCGAATTGAAAACAGGAAAATAAAATTTAATTAAACCACGAACCAGTTTCAAATCAAAAAGCATAGGTGGGCAGAGACGAGCTTCTGTGTTTCGTCTCCTCTTGTCACAAACGATTTGCTAGGATTTTTTCTTGATCTCCCCTCTATGACACATGCCATTTGTCTCTCTTCCACACCGTGCAGAAAAACTCTGCCCACCTATGATATCGGTTCGATATAAAAGTTAGCTAAAAAATTTCGCTTCCGGTATAAATGGAAACACCCTTTAAGGTGCTTAAGCAACTTCTTTTTATTGGAATTTCTTCCCCTGTTGAGAAGTTAAACCATATAGCAAATTGCTGTAATCAATATCTTGTATTCAAAACTTTGACTTGATGCTTCAAGGTCCCCCCACTTGTATCACAGGCTATCACTATTTCAACCATTTATTAGATTGCAATCAAGCTAAAGGGGCTCCGAGTTTATATTATATGAATGGGGTAGAATAAAAACTACTTCTCGAAAAATTGCTATTTTAAAACGAAACCTAAAAAAAATTTCAATAAAAAGTGAATCAATTTTTTTTTGTCCAATTGAAGTGAATCAAGAAAATTTTGTTCAATAAAAGTGAACCAAAAAAAAAATTTCACTCGGTTTTTTCAGTGTAAAATACACTAAAATGAATTTTTTTTTGGGTTCACTTTTATTGAACAATTTTTTTTTGGTTCACTTCAATTGGAAGAAAAAAAATTGATTCACTTTTCATTGAAAGTTTTTTTTAGGTTTCGTGTTTAAACATTTTGCGAGAAGTAGTTTTTATTCTACCCCATTCATATCTTCAATTAGCAAATCATAATCATTCACATGTGACTTGAAAACTATTGACTTTTGTAAACTCTTCTTTGGTAAATCCGATTTTTTCTAGATCTTCGAACAAAAAGTACGTTTCAGTAGACATTTCAAAAAGATACCTGGACGATGTTATTTGATATGATTAAAACTTTTCGTTTGATGCGCGAAAAGTTTCTGTTTTATTAATAAAAACTTCAAAAAGTCGTAAGAGAAAACGTAAATAATTTTTCCGAAGACACGGTCTATTTTGATATGGTTAAATAACCAGAATGAAACATGAACTGGAGCATAAAAATCCTGCTTAAACTTTTTCCTGCACTTCAAATGCTGAACACTTTTTTTATGTAATCTCTAAAACGATGTAAAGTGATAACGAGGCTGATTTAATGCCATCTCATGGGTAAAAGTGTACTTATTTTCCGAGCAAGTTTTACAATTGCAAGCAAGCAAGAAAAAAATAAAGCAAAGCACACGTTCTGACTAAGTGTATGTGTGTTGGTTATATGATCCTTTTTTTTCAATCCCATATTTATTCCTATGATGATGGTCTAATGCTTTGAGCGTTGCTCTTGTGAAAATTTTGAACTTTGATAAACAATATATACACGAATGCAATGCACGTGCTCACATACTCGCGCAAACCACTTGAGCAAAACTTTGTCGACACAAGCGAAAAATGGCCGAAACAAAAAAGACACATACACACATACAGCGTAGATCTTAAGCCAAACTAATGACACTTTTGCTCGGGTAACATATGGAGTCATTAAAACATGAATCTATTCTCTTTGAATTATGTTGGTCTGTGTGTGTGTGTGTGCATTGTTTTGCAATTCTTTTTGTCATTGTCCGTACACATACCACTCTTTTTCTACTTATCGTCGGCATTTTGTTGCTTTGCCCTGTTAAATATTCTACTTTATGTGGGGACTTTATTTGTTCAAAGTTGAAACTATTCGGAGGAACAATGACGAAAAACGCACCCGAAGAAGAAAATTGCGCAAAAGCTAAACTGCACATTCAAAATACCAAAGCGAAAGTGCATTAAATAGCAAAGTCTTATAAATCCATGCATTTAAAAAAAAGATTGTGTACCATGCAACAGCAAGAAACAACCGAAAACTAAGAGCAAGAACGAGCGTTCCACATCATTGGCCGCATACGATATAAAAATGTGTGTGTGTGTGTGTGTCTCCGTCTCTGTATGCTTGTTCACAAGGAAAATAAACAATCTGGATGCTGATGTTGTTGTTTATCTTTGGTTCTTCCCTAAGCTATTTGATTTCAAATAGCCCTGTTCTTCATTCTCTACCCCTGGTTTTCTCTCTATCTCCATCTTCTCTTTCTTCCCTTTCTCATATTATCATTCTTACTACCCTGCAATTCGGTGTTTTACACGATCTTTGCTTCACTTTATTTTTTCCTTACGCAATTATAGTATTCATACGAAAATATACCATTGCCATCACGTTATTGTAACGCTTTTCAAGGATCAATTTTAGTTTTATTTTTCGGGCATTCGAATAAATACGAAATGATTATTTGCTTTGTATCGTCTCTCCACTTTGGTGTTTGTTGACTTTTTGAATCTAATATCGGATGGAGAGAGAGAGAGAGAGAGAGAGAGAGAGAGAGAGAAAGAGCAAGAACGGCAATTGAGTCCAATAATAGATGGCTGCTGTGGAATAGACATACATTTATTCCGATTCTTATTTGTTTTCGTCGCACTGAATCTTGATCCTCGTCTTCTCGTTTCGGTTTTGTGTGATTTTCTATTTGTTTGTTTTTTTTTTCTAGGTTGTTTTTCGGACGAAAAAGACTGTGATAGTCATTGCCAATTCAGTGGACCCGAACAGGATTTCTGTAAATGCACCCAAAGCAAATCCGTATCAAGTAAGTAAAATTCTATGCGCTTCCCATTTGTTTGGTAGATTTTTCTTGAGTCTTTTAATTTGAGTTGGTATGCATATATTTATACGTTGTGAAAAATGAATGTTTGCAAACAAACCCGCACGAAGTGATGAGAAAAATATAACTTTTTTTGGTGCAATGAAGTGGGAAAACAATGAAAAAGTGGTAGCAAAAAAATGGATGTACAAACCATCTTAGTAAGTTGAACAAAAGTAAGAAAGCTTAAAAAAATGCCATAAACAAGAACTTCGGACGCTCAACGTTTGTTCTATTCTGGTCATTGTGGGTTGAGTTGACTCGATACTGTAGCAAAAGATACGTACGGAATTCTGTGCCCGTGACTGTTGTGCATGGTGTTGACGTTAAATTGTGCTCAGCAAGACGTATTATGCGAAAACCAAATACAAACAAATTGCAACGAAAAATGAGAAGAAGAAAGAAAAAACAAACTTTTAACTCTAAAGGAACAAATTTGTACTATAAAATGCTAAATGGTGCAATCGAAAAAATGGACAAATGGCTTAAAGTCCTTGTTATGGAAGTAAAGAAAAACGAGACACAGCGAGCGAGAATGTGAACATTCATTTTCTTGTTATTTGCACCGTTATCTACCTGGCCTGTTTGGTTACCGAGTGTGCTGCTGTGCTATGAGTTTGTTGCGCGCGTATGCAGTCAGAGTGTATGGTGTTTAGTGCACATCCGAGAATAAAGCAGCAAATGATCGCATTATTCTTTCTGCCAGTTGCCTTTTCGTCGGAGTTTTCGTATGGCATAACACATTTTACTACGATGTAGAGCGGTGGAGGCGCGCGACCAATGAGAAATGAGCTCAAAACCATATCATTCGTTCTGCAGTGTGCAAGAAATTTGCAACTCACTCTGCTCAAGAAGAATGTGAAGAAATTTAAAATCCCGTAAAGTCACTAAATTGATTACCGGTTTTTGATGCTATTGTTTTCCCTCTTTGTGGCCCCGAACATTTCTTACCCCCATTGACACGGATATTTATATCTCTCGCTCTCGCTTACTCTGTATATTCTTCAATTTCAAACTAGTGAAAACGAAGCACCGGACGAAAAAAAATGATGATCACATAAAGCATTTTGTTGGTACGGCATGGTATCAAGGTTCGTTCGTTCGTCTGCAGTTCGTCCATTTGTTTACATCGTGCATGCCAGAGGTTTTCTATATGTGCAGTCAATGTGTGCAAAATGCTTCATAAACACCTAAAACAGGTATATTATGTTTGGCATCGAATCGAATCGTGTGTGCGAAATTGCGCATCGTGACTGCTTCTGATAGTTCTAGATGATGTAATGGCTGAGCTCTGATTTATATTTTGGCATTATTTACAAATAAAATTTACATTTTCACCTTTCCAACCGGTTTTTTTCTCCACCGAAACAGTGAGAAAGTAAAAGACGGTATGCTATCGCAATCACCTATATACGTAAAATATAATATGAACAAATTGTTGCTCACATTTTGTGCACGTCTCATTCGATACGGCTTCGTTTTATCTTGATCATTCTGCAGTTATTTATAGTGTACGTATGTGTGTTCTTACACTTACCAATCGAAACCATGGGAATGGCAACGTTTTTTTTTTCTTCTGCAATTTTGTTGTGTTGCTATTTCTCTATCAGGTTAAAAACATACATTTTCCATTGAGTGTTCAATCATTCTCATTCAGTCGCTTGATTTCACAAATTCGATCCCGATGCGGCACTGATTCAACACATTCATTGAAATGTAAAGGTGACTTACATACAAACGAACGAGAAAAAAAAACGATTGTAAAATGTTCAAAGAGTTTTCCATTCGGTGCGAATGAAAAAAAAAGAACGCGGTCGGTGATTGTGGACACAACACAGCACAATGCTTAATAGGATGTAGTTTCTCATAAATGTAAAGCATATTATCGTCGCCTTTGTTGATTTGCCTTTGTGCTTTGAGTGTGATGATCGCATTTTCAACTAGATTAAATGGATTTAAGTGGTTTTCATAGAAATGGCAAACGAACAGTTTGCAATGAATGCAAGAGTGTAAATTAACCGAAGCACATTTTCAGATGCGCTATCAACAGAATGATTGCAAACGCTTAAACATGATGGTGTTGTTGTTGTTAGTGGTGTATGTGCACAGATGCGCTTTGCAACCACAAACAAAAAAAAAACGTTTTTTCCGATTTCTATCTCTAACACATTTTAGAAACGGGAGTATTATTTAAACGCAGTTACAAAAATTTATTGCATTCATACAATTATTCCCGCTCGGCGCTATGCATTCGCATTCAATTACGACTATTTATCAAATGCAATGCTGCAACTCGTTTTCTTTCCCATTCTCATCCTCTCCATTTCTTTTTTGATCTCATTCTTCACCCCTCCGTTTTTTCACTCGTCTCTTTGTGAGGCAAGATAAAGAAGAAAATTGCCATATAACTTTGGACATTGGTTGGCTGGTGCACGATATGGTGTGTGTGACCAATTTTTTTTCACTTCTTTATTACTTTGACATATCTTTTATGAACACAACCAACCATGATGACGACAAACGGTTAAAGCACCGTTGAAAGCCCTTCAGTAAATAGTCTTTCTATTATATCATTTATCGTTGAAATTAATTGGTTATTAAATACTTGGTGGCTGTGTTTGCCTTTGCTGTTGCAAAACATGTGAAACCTTCTTAACATCGCTTCTTTTGAAATATGGAACGTGTTGCGATTCGATGTTCTTGCGCACCTTTGTCGTCGTCATCATCGTCATACTCAACCTTACGTGTGGCATCGAATACCATTTGATTGGCGTTGATGTGGAATGATGCCAAATGCAAACGCTTGAATTGTTTAGCTCAGAAATATCACATGTCATTTATTAAATGTGAACGTGAGCAAATGGTTTGTGCATCACAATTCAAGTGTGGTATTTTATCATTTCAATGGTATCTTATTTTTCAGCTTTTTTCAAACAACAAAAACCTAAACCAGAAGAAAAAGTGAAAAAGAAAAATGTCTCATCGTCAAGTTTTTCAATTTAAATTGTTTTGTTGACGTTTTTCCATGGTTCGCATCTTTTTACAATTATTTGGATTCATGTGACACGATGGCCCTTGGCACACATTTCCATCCATTGTGCACTCCGTTCGAATGCATTAACTGTTGATGCCAAATAACGGCGTTAAAAGCTCATTTAAATAGAAAATTTCACTTAAAAGGGCAAAATTCATTATCGATGAAAATTCATTCGTCGGAATAATTAAATTTCATTTCCATTTTTTGCTTAAGCACATGCAAAGATTTGTGCTCCCTCTCTTATTGTGCATCGATGAGAACGTTGTTTACGTGATGCTCGGGGCATATTATTCGTTTTACACTGCTGTTATTTCAATACGTGCATAAGCCAGGGAGTTTTTCCGTGTAAAGGGCTTTTAAACATAGTGCGCCTCGCTTAGCCATTGAACTCATGCACAGATTATTGTTCATTTGGAGTTGCAGACGACGAGACATGAAAAGCAACACAATAAAAAAAACTCACTCACAATGATACCCATTTCAGAGGTGATAATGATCTGTTGCTATCATTAGCAAGTATATATGTAGGACTGGCTTTGTTTTTTGCCACAGACATCATTCTTGAAGTGACGCACACGCATCATTCCGATGAAGTGGTGTTATTGTTTAAGTTGTTTGTGGAAATTAATGTGGCTAGTTGAAGCCACATGAGTATCATCATTCAAATATAATCTTTGCTCATTTTACAGTTGAATATATTGGAGCTCATTTGGATTTGAAGTAGTTACATTTGTGTTGAGAACAAAAGTGGCAATCGTTTTATAACAACGTTTCGATTGCATGATTTTTGAAGACTTCAATTTTCAACGCGTCTACCCCACATGTGAAAATCATTCGTAATAATGAAATGAGATGTATTTAATCTCAAGGGGGAGGTGTAAATTACCAATTATCAAACTGATTCGTCGGGGTTCCATATGAATTAATAGCAGCGACGGAGGAGGGGGAATTTGAGAAGGGATATTTAGGAGAAAAAGAGGAGAATGAGATCAGTGGGAAGTTTCCTCTTCAATTAAGGAGAAAATGTGTTTTTCTTCACAATCTATCAGAGCATCTTGATTTGCTGCTGCTCAGCATATAGCTGAGAGCTGAGAAATGCTGAACTCGTGCGGCTAACGCATACGAAACGGATGCACGATACATATTCCCCTTTCGCTTCGTATGTGCTGCCGTTGACGCTATTGCCGGTACAACGTTTACACACTATACCAGCGAACATACGAAGTGAAAGGGGAATATGTATCGTGCTTCCGTTTCGTATGCGTTAGACGTACACTTTCAGAATATATGAAAGACTGAGAGCAAAAACAGCACGTCGCATCTCATCTCTTGCTTTCACTTACGTAAGCAAAATAACGAGGGATGCGACGTGATGTTTTTCTCGCAGCTTCTCATATGTCGGTCGCAACACAATTTCAAACTCAACTGGTTACTAAGTTTTGAGTTTTGAATTGAACGACCAAACAACTGTTTATAACCGTTTAAACGGAGAGAATGCATGTGTGCGTGTCATCCGTTTCGTATGCGTTAGCCGCACGAGTTCAGCATTTCTCAGCTCTCAGCTATATGCTGAGCAGCAGCAAATCAAGATGCTCTGCAATCTATTACTATCAAAAAAATATACTTTTGGTTATAAATATTTTCCTTCTTTAAAATTTTAGAACATTCCCCAACCAAAAAAACCCTAGCAGATCGAAATAAATACTCAATTGATGCACAGCATGGATTATCTAGGGGCTTTTATGTTCAAACTTATACTACTTTTAGGGCAAATATTGAAATATAATGCCGCATATCTAGAATATGCCAAATAAATCTTTATAACTGAACATTATTTGGCGTATATTTCGCATATATCTCGTATATATTTCTTGTATGGCATATTTTTTCATTCTCTTTTGTGCGGTCTTTCTTCGATTCTGTGAAGCTATACAATGTGTGTGTACAAGGTCAGTATAAAATACGTATTATTCGGTGCAGATTTATGCCGTATATATTCGCATATATGATGAATAAGACGCGTATATTGTGAATATTGTATAGTATGAGGAGGACTCTCTTCGATTATAGGTGATGACCAGGGTTCCTAGGGTTCGGATTACACCACCCTAAAATATTTTAAGGACCTTTTTTTGCTCTTCACTTTTTTGGCCGAGAAAATTCTTTGGATTTGCTAGGGTTTTTCGTCAAAAAAGTGAAGAGCAAAAGAAACGAGTTTCATCCTTATTTCCTACAAACTTTGTGATCGTGAGGGAACCCCCAACGCAATTTTGCGATCAAACCACACCCCCCTAATTTTTTTTTAAGTCATCATCTATGCTCTTCGATGTTCACCTCTCCCTTATTTTCCTCGTCCTCTTCATTTTCCTCCTTCTCAGAGGAACAGTCCATGATCAAAAGCTTAACTGCATACAAGTGATAATAGCTAGGATAATAAATTTCACCTCTATTCGTTACGTATAATACGTATCAACTCCGCTCTCAGACAACAATTTCTATTGCATATTTGACTGAAATCGGAATGAAAAAAGCAAAAAAAACAGATTTAGAGAGAAACCAACGAAATTACAATAAATGCATTTTTCCACGCTCAATAGAAGCGATAAACACTAAAGTATAATGGCAATCGGTGTCAAGTGTGTATGAAATAATAATTACCGACTTTTTTTAAAAGTCAAATTAACATTTCACACCTCCACATAAAATGCAATTGAAAAAGTTTACATAATATGCGCATACATTCGAAGTATTTAATGAAAATTGAACAATGCAAAAATCCAGACTTGAATTCAATTACATTCACGAAATGTGAATGGAATTTCGGGCATTTAAGAGTATACGTTGCATGTTTCGAATTTTATGTCTTCATTGAAAATAATTCGAATCGAATGAAATGAGCAGCAAGCATACACAACAATTACATTATTATAGTCGCTTGAAGCGATTTCCCCCATAAATCTCACAAAATACTTGCAATTGCATCCTGGTGATTATAAGAGAAAGAAAACAGCAAAGTGTACTTGGGTTAACGACTTTTCTTGAAGAAGAATGCTATTTTAATTGGTGCGTAATTAATGACTCTACTAATCATAATATGCTTTTGAATTGCTTTTTTATTAACGATTGTTTTGTTAAGTAACGCTCTATTTTTAAAAAAAGAAGTACATATCGATTTGATGATAATGAAATTAAGAGCATACTTCAGAGGAAAGACTGTTTGGAAACTTAATTGTTTTTTCATTCTTTCGTTTCCAACATTGACTGAATCAGAGACACAGAGAATGGCAACCGGAAGCGCACTCGGAACACTCAAAACAAAATTGCAATTTTAAATAATAAACAATATTATTATTATAGCATGAAGGATTTTGTTATTGCACGCGGCACAATTCTACTGCAAATCACATGCAATTTAATCGTTTGTAATACAGTCTATATCGTGCACAGTTTTTTATTGTTGTAAAAATATTTGTATGTAATCATATCAAACCGTTTGCACACTGCAATATATACGTGTATAATATTTTTGCAGATCGTGAACGCACCAGATACGAGGCAACCGTACGTTTGGGAAATGCATCACAATTTTCACAGAACGACAATCGCAACGATAGACGACGACTGAACGAGTATCTACCAACTGTTCTCGAAAAGCAAGTAAGTATTAAGAAACAAATTTTCCATTTCATGAAATTCAGTGGATTTTCTATATCATTGTTTTCTGCTGTTGCTACTGTGTATGTGTGTGTGTGTGTCGAATATGATTATTAAATTCATGAGCCGAATGAAACGACTATGACGGAGGTAATTACAAGATGCCTTGCGTGGCATTGTTTCACTCATTCACATTCTCCGACACCGTAATACACACATAACAAAATACACATTAAAGAATGCCTGCTCCCGCTGGAGAAAGTGCCAGAAGATTTTTGTTTAATTTTCAGAAGTGCTGTTTGTTACTATTGAATGCGACGAGATACTTTTCCCACAATGAAAAGAAAAAACCTTCTGGCACCCCAGAGACAGTTGAGAACATTCAATGGTAATGTGCTCACTTATTATTTAATACATACGAAGCGCATATTATTTGTTTGTTTGTTTTTAAGCCACGCGCTCTCTCTTTTATGTCATATGACGACTCCGGGGCGAATTAAATGAAAAAGTATGATTAGAGCTATTTATATACATCAAAAACAAGTGGACTCAATCAAATCAATTTTCCATTCAAACCGAATAATAATCCTGTGGGTATGATTGAATCATTTGATGAGGGTATTGAGCAAATGCACTGATTTGATTAATAAATTCGAATGAAAATCATTTTTTCCAATGCATTCTTTTTCAATCCGGCCGACAAATCGTCATCAAATCCATGTGGCGTCGCAGGACTGCAACTTTGCAAACATGTCGCATGCAAAACAACAACAAATAGTTTTTTAAGTTTCGATCGATAAAAATGTGATTCATTAAAATTAAATATTCATTCAAAATTGAAAACGAAATCCAAAGTATTAAAATCGGAAAATGAAATTTGTTGTTCAATTTAATAATCGAATTTTTGATATCATATTGGTTTTGGGACCACAAACAGCGTATAGAGATTATGTCATTTGTCTGTCGTATTTTGGTGTATTTATCGAAATGCGATTTTACAGTTAATAGCATTCATGTAAAATGTAAACTGTTTTGATTTGCAAATGATTACGGAGAGATATTGTTATATCTGTAAACCTTGAAAATAAGCTCAAAATGCAGTTGTGTGCATTTACCGAATGCAATTTCGTTTTTCACAATCAATGAATGCGCGGAAACGCATTCACCCGCACATCTAATCAGCGAAAATAGATTGGATGTTTCGATGTTTTACGATGTGATCAACTTTTGAATCAGAACATATGTGCAAGGGTATGGCATGCTATGTAAAATGTTGGCGAACAAAAACCTTACAAAGTTGTCGGAATAAACCTTATAATTCTATGAACAAAATTACACAAATATGAGATAGTCAATACGAAATTTGTAATTCAGATTCTATCCGATAGATGGCGTTACGGTTTGGCACATCGCCATGTCTCTCAGATACGTGCCATTCCCTTGCATATGTGAAAAACAGAGAGAAAACGTCGATGTCAGAATTTAAGGCAAAAATGATGACAACACCGTATGATTAGAAACAATGTATTTTTATGGATAGTTAAAATTGACGAGAACATTTCGGTTCACATCATGGTTTTTCACGATTCATTTTTTTTCGCGATAATTTCTAATAAAAACAACTAAAGATTAAACGCTGTGTACGATTTTATTGGCACTAAAATATGGCGGAAGCTTTGCTCTCCCATAAAAAAAGCTGTTCCATTACTATTAATAAATCGAGAGAAAATCATAAAATCTCGATAAAATCCAAGCTAAACAAATTCCACTTGAAAAATATTCAACTATATATCTACAAGCATTACATATTTTTTTTTACTGTCAATTATTATAACTATTTCCAAATTGCACAAAGTGTGTGCTGATTAAAATCAGAATGCCATCATAAATCTGTATGAAATAAGCGTCAAACAAAGCGCTCTTAAACGATATTGTTGTTAGTCGAGCATATTTCGTGTTAAATTGCTGTTTTCCTCATCATTGTTCAACCGATGATGATCAACTGAAATGCCATGGCTTAAGCGATGCGGTGCATTTTTTATGCTATTTATAATTTGTCGTACACCTGATGATCCATGATGTCGTCGATCTAAACTTGATGAATTCATTGTCAATGATGACGACTGTTGTGGTTGCGGTTGCACTGTGCTAATACTGCTGCTCTCCAAAATGGTTGGCATGGATGCTTGACTGAAGCCATTATTGCTTCCATTGCTGCTCGAAAACAAATTCAATTCATTAGCTGCCGTTGTTGGTCCTTTGTTCGATGAACGTCGATTTCGGAATGACAATGACTTCAAGCGACTTAACTTTGTTGAATCTCGATTGTTCGACGCAGGTGGTGATGATTGCTTTTGCCGTTCAAGTAACGACGATACCAATTGATCTAAAACATTCAAATCGGCATTCATTTTTGAATTTCGTATTGCACTTGTCGATGGTGCATTGCCAATGCTATTGGCGCCTATGCCGCCGGTGGCAGCCGTCGATAGTCCCAAACGCTGAGTTATCTATAATGAAACAAGAGAAGGGTTTGCTTTAAAAAAAACATAAATGCCTGATATTTTGAAGTGCTATTGAAATGACAATTTAATGAATTTATGCGACTCAGAACGCATTCAATACATTCAATATGTTCATTAAAATCTTTGCAACCGTTCTATTCTATTGAACATTTTCAAACGGGAAACACTAGCTTGTTCTCTAATATAATCGCGAATATCGAATTGAAAAGAGAAAAAAAAACTATTTTTGACCTCAACACAATCGCATAAAAACGATGGTGTGAAAAAATTTATGAATGACCGTGCATTGTCATTTGCTTTTATTGTACGTGCCAATATCCCAATGGCGCACGACTCTCATCTCTTTTTCGCCCTTTTCTGGGCATCTAACTCTATTCAATGAAAACAAACATATGCATTTTGCACTTCCGCTATGTTTTTTTTTTAATTCAAACAATTTCTTGCCAAAACGGTTCACTTCATTGATTCCCATCGGGAATACGTGAACAACGCTCCATAGGTGTAGTAAATTTTGTAGTGCGATGCAAGATAAGCCCTCAAAATGCCGTTTTTACATGCCACATTCAACGCTATTCAAGAATACACAAAACAAAATCACAAAAACCACACACACTCACTCTCTAATACCGAATTGAATAGGCCAAACGTGCTCAATTGTTTTGCCGCTCGCTTTACGGCACGTACGAATCAAGAACAGTTTGAATTTGTCGTTTTTCACGTTTACACGGGAATGTTCTACTCGATTATTACTTGCAGATGCGAATGATTTTTCATTGTGAAGTCGTCAAATTTGTTGTTTATTTTATTTCGCTTTATTTGTTGCATAAAATTCTTATTTTTGTAGCTATTTCGCATGAATTTTCAAATCGGTTGGGTTTTGTCTTCGTTAGCAATCAGAAATCAAACTTGGAACCGGGCCGAGAACATATCAGACGGCTGATAAAGTAATTTATGATGCCAGATTATTCTCTATCAGTTATTCGTTTTTGAGGAATATCTTTAAAAATGCTTTTACCACATGCTGGTATGCAGAAAAGTAAAGTTGCTTGGATTATTCTTGGCCATTTCATTTTTAAGCATAATTTATTTCGATTCAATTCATTTGTTTTGGAAAATTCGCTACTTCAGAAGAGTAGCTGCAATCGGTTCAAGTAATTAAACTGGTACCGTAATTCTACGAGATTCCGTCGTTGTAAAAGTCGTTAATTCCGTCAAAGTCGGAACTGTTAAATAGTTTTTTAGTAGCAATTAAATGGTTTGGTATGATGTTGACCTGACTTTAAAAAAGTATATTCGTTTCAAAAAAAATGTAGCGAGACAAATTCAGTTCTAGTTTAAAAAAAAGACATTTTTTTAAAAGAACTTATCAAATTTCTATGGAAAAAATAGAAGACAATATATATATTTGGAATCGCAGGCATTGAAATTAGAGTCAACTTATTTACAAAAGATCAGAAGCAGCCATTCGAATTTTGTGACTCTTAAAACACAGTTCACTTGTGAAAATCTGTCGAAAGAAAAATTATAATTCAAAAAAAGACGAACAAAGAACGAAGACGAATTTCATTGGAAGAAGCAGGGAAGAATTGGTTTAAAATATGAAATTGACTCTAATATTTTTGTTGTCATGTTCAATGACATTCGTTCTGGGAATAATTGATGGCGCCAAGGGAATTATTGAAGACGCAAAAGAAGGTGAGGTTCCATATATCGCGTTAGTGAAGGTCCTGCATCCACATACCGGTGTTTTCGAGCCACTTTGTGCGGGTGCCATCATCTCGGAAACCGAAATATTAACGAATGCAGTCTGTGCCGCAGCATGTAAAGCTACGTACAAATGTGAAGTGTACGTTGGACGAGTGAATGTAAATCATGGTGGCAAAAAAGTGGAAATCAAGGACACCGTGTGGCATGAATCTTATGTTGAAATGAATGCAATTTTGCCCGACACGAGGTTTGCCAATCTCGTTCTTGATATCGGTATTCTATATATGTCTAGAATTCCTTTATCGGAAACCGTTAAAATCATTGCATTACCACAAGAAAACCTTGAACGTAAATCCGATATGCGTATAGCTGGTTGGGGCAGTGGATTTCTAGTAAGCATTTCAAATGAAAGAGTATATCCAAAGCAATATTTGTTATTGCATAATCACATTGCACTACTCCTGCAGTCTGCACTGTTTCTACTACATTTTTGTTAATTTTTTTTAAAATAATTTAAAATATTATAGTACGGTATAGCGCATCATGAGAAGTTAAAAGTCGCAGTATCCAGAGCATACGAGACATATGTAATAAATAAGGAAATTTTGGTAATCAAAACAATGGAGTTTTATCCTCGTCCTTGCGTATCTGATATGGGTAGGATTAGTTTTTGTGTTTCTTTTTTGTACTTCCATTTTCTTTCTACTTCGATAAAATTCAAACTAAATTTAAATATTTATCTACTAAATAAAAGGAGCCCCAATAGTTTATATGAATAACACTGTATTAGCTGGAGTTGGATCATTATGGACGTTCAAAGTAAATATTTAATATATTATTTTCTTGATTTTTCTTATTTCGTCGCAATTACATTTTATGTTTCCTCTATTGTTTAGCTTTGTAAAAGAGATGACACGACTCGTGCGTTCTATACAGATATTTATAATAATACTGAATGGATTGCAAATAACAGGAACAAAATCGTTTAAAATGACAGCTGTCATAGATGTGCAGTGCATATCAGCATGATAGTAATTGCTTTCAATCAAATGTTATTTTTAATTCAAATAAAATCATTCGCCAATAAACTGCTCGCATTTTATGTATGTTATTAAATTGTTGTATTAAGGCAATACATCTTAACTAACCAGAACAGAAAAAAGGGGGAAGGACGGAGCAGTATATTTGCTGGATGAATATCTACTGATATTTTCAGACGCTGATTTCCAGCAGCTGAGTGCGTTAAATACAACGCAACATCAGTAAAAGAGTTTAACTGACACATTTTTGCATTCCTTTTGTGTGGACTTTCTTCAAATTTGTATCGGTGTTATGTCCAGCAAATATTCAACTCTTAGTAAAACTAATAGTTTTATAGTTGTGCTTCACTGTTTTTAGAATATTTTTGCCAATAATTCAAAATATTAAAGCGGGAAATAGCGCATCATGGGAAATTAAAATTCTCGAACACCGAAGCATGTGAAACAGGTGTTACAGGCGATAATGGGATCATTCACGTTTGTTTTGATTTTCCTCGTACTGGCATATCTGATATGGTAGGATTAGTAGTTTTTTACTTCCATTTTTTTCAACTTTGACAAAATTCAAACTCAACTTGAATATTTATCTACTGAATAAAAGGCGCCCCGACCGTTTATCCGAATGAAACTGTATTGGCTGGCAGACGTTCAGAGTAAATATTTAGGATGTTATTTTCTTGATTTTTTCTTATTTCGTCGCAAATATGTTTTATATTTCCAATTTATTTGAGAAATTGATAGTTTCCTTTATTATTTAGAATTGTGTAAAAGATGCCAATAATGGTGCGTTATATATAAATGTTTATGAACAGATTGAATGGATTGCGAAGAACAGGAACAAAAGTATCTAAAATGGTGGCTCTCATAGATGTGCAGTTGCTTATCAGCATGATAATAGTAGTTGCTGTCATTCAAATGTTATTATTCATTTAAATAAAATCATTCACCAATAAGCTGCTCGCATTTTATGTATTTTTATTAAATTGCTGTATTGAGGCAAACAGTCAATTGAAAAGTATAAAGTGTTACAACTTATTCTATAATATGCCACATAAACCATTACAAGGTTATCTATGTGTGGAAATTAATGGAAATAAATATTTTCAGCTTACTTTGTTCTGTTTTCTTCGAATGAAATGTTTCTTCAATCTTCTTGTTTTTCGTTTTCAATATTATTTATAGGCAGATTATTGATACATGTCAAAAATTCTTATTGTTGTGCAGCTATTTTGCATGAATTTCCAAATCTGATGGCTTTTATCTTCGTTCGGAATCAGAAATCAAACTTGGAACCGAGCCGAGAACACATCAAATGGCTGCTAAAGTAATTGATGATGCCAGATTATTCTCTATTTGTTATTCTTTTTTGAGACATATCTGTAAAAATGTTTTGTCTCGCAAGAAGCTTATTAAATTTCTTTTGTGATTGTGATTTTGATTGCAGTCATCTTCTTAATCCGTTGATGCTTTTCCTCGACTGATTCTCGCCTTTCGCCAAAAAACGTAAATATATGTATCAACTTTGACATTTCAAGAGCGAAAGAAACGAGAAACTTTTCGCGCGAATCAAAATTAAAGCAACGACAGTGAAAACAACAAAAAAGGTCGCGACGCAGCTAATGCGATACAAGTCAGACATTTTATCAAGAGTCATATAAATTACTCAAGAGACAATGCTCACACAAGATAGACAGAGCGAAAAGGGAATATGTCTTGAGTCGTTGATGAGAAGGACACTTGCGGAAATTTTTTAATTATTTCTAATTTGTTGCAATAATTACATTCCCACTCTTTCATTCTATTCGGTGATTATAAATGACTTAGATTATTTACCAGACAAAATGGACATTCCGAACATTGAATTCTCTCTTTAAAACTTTACGCTTGTAGACGGTACACGAAATTACTATACTGTCAGTGATCTATGAAAATGGAACTTTGAGACAAAAAAAAGTAATCAAATTGTTTCAAATGAAGACAGATTTTCATTGTATTCAACTTCTTCTTTTGACTGCTGATGATTTAATTTTGAAACTTATACGTCAACAATGTTGAAAACTTTTTCCAATGCATTCAGTTGACCGCATAGAATTAGTGCATTGGAAAAGGAGATGAATGAAAGAGATAAACCCAACTGGTGTCAACATCACGTATCATCAAACATGGATCGGTTCCGAGAAAAAAAAATACCGTAATATATAAAAAGGTGAGGCTCATCGTAAAAAAAAAGATTGGTATTTGATATGCTTAGCGAAGCAACAAAAATCTATATGTTTGTGATGACACCCATTTCAATGGAACGACTTGAATTTCAATAGAAGTTCAACACCAACCACACTACAAAAAAATATTTGGATTGTGGATCCCAATTCCCACATATGAATTCAAACTTGTGCCTATAGTAGGCTTTCATTTTTCAAATTGATAAGGGTTCACCGTTCATAAAAAAGAAACTTTTTTTTTTAACCCGGTTACCATCCCTGAAGTCAGCAAGGTCAATATCAACAACACAAATTTAGCAAACAATACAGTTGTTTCTCAATTTCGGTATTTTTCACATTTAATCTTGGTCGACTAATTTGTCAGACGAACAACCGATTGTTTCACGCTGGTGAAATGCTTCGAGACAGAGTGTGTGACAACTGGTTTTTAGCAAAAGTTAAATAATAAACGGATCATTATTATCAAGTTGCAAACGTCGACATGTCAAAAAAACAAATCCACCCGATGATGGTCGATGTCAAAAAATTGTTACACAGAAATTAGACCAGCAGCTCAACAGTCGCTGTTCGTACAAACAAAATATTTGTATTTGGATGAAGAACAACAGATGGACACATCTCATATCGTTTGTTTTAAATACCTAATTGAAAACGAAACTCTTTGAATTGCCAACATTTACAATTGAAAAAGTTTCCATCGACTCCGCAGGGACTTTGTGCTGTTATGTGTGTTTGTATTTTCGTTAGAGACATTGAAACTTTTGTTTCTAATTTATCATCGACCACAATGAGTAGCTGAAGAAATTTATATAAATTGTTTGCTTTCCATTTACTTTGGATTTTTATCCGGGGAGACTAAACAGTTTTGAAGCTCAAGAAATTTTTTTTGATTGAGATTACGTTCTTTTTATATCGGAAAAAGTTCGCGGTAAATGGCACACAATAACCATTCGTTCTTATGATTATTATGTCATTTTTTGTGAACACAAACTCGATAGCATATTCGATGATAATAACACTATTGTTATCAGAGCTGTAGAAAGAACGACTTAGAGACTCAATTGATATTATCGATTTGATAAGAGATTTTTTCGGAATTTTTAGCGTAGAATGAAAATTTAAATGATTTTATTATGAATTAAATATAAAGAAACGAAACGTGTCGAAGGATTTTTAGTACTTTTGTTCGTGTTATTACATCGTCTGCAAGATTTTTACATACACGTCAAATTTCGTTTAATCTGATGTGATAACACTGCAGTGTTAGCACCATGGTTAGCACAATTGACGAAAAGTTTTGAAAAGGATTTGGAGCTAACAATGTAAGTTTTCGTATCGAATGGATAAGGGCCATGGTCTGTAACACTTGAATGTTAATTTAGATGTACATTGCACATGTAATAATGGATTTTGAATTCCATCCTCAACATTATTATGGATAAATGTTTAATCCGATTGAAATCGTCAAGGACAATTATAACTGATGTTTACTGCGCATTCTTGGTGAGCTATACATACTATAAATATCTGGAATTCAATTATATTATGAATTGTTTCCCAAATGAATATAGATCAAAGCATATTATCGATAATTGAAATATGTATATGTGGTCATTTCGTGGGACTTACTTCATCTGCAGCATTTGCCGAATAGCTCATGCGTTTTACTTTACGGAAAGTTTCATCATCAACAGCTTCTTTGATTGCTTGTTTCAATGCAGTTCCAAGACTTGTACCATTTTTTGGGTCATCTTCCAGAATATTATCCAATCTAAATATTTAATCAGGATCATTGGATAAAGAACTATAAAAATGTATGCAAACAACCCTTTATGTCTGTAATATCTAGACGAATAATCGTTAATAAGCGAAAAACTTTATGAATGCAGCAATCTGAAACTTTTCGATGTTTAATAAATGATAAGCAGTAAAAAGTGTCATATTCAGTTAAGCGTTGTGATGATTCTGGGTACACGTGTGCACAAAATATCCTTAAATTAAATGAAAACTTACGTTGATTTATTTCCACCCGTATCGTTTCCATGTTTGCGCCGTATTGTTGAACGATTCGATCGTCGTACCGTTTTGATGTCCGTCTCCCAAAACCTACGTAAAATAAGCAACATCTTTTTAACTGTAAGAAAATCTATCAATAAAAATATTTGCGAAAATTCATAATGTGATTTGGGATATGTTATTGCGTAAACATGAAAAGAAAACAGACTTTTTCTCTAAGGAGGAGGACAGTTAGGAGACCACCGAGGAGGGCCCTCCATTTCTCTCCTCCGCAATTGAGTAGGCAAATATGTTTAACCAAAAAATCTATTTTTTTAGAGAATTTTAGCTTTTTGGAGAAAAAATATTTCCTCCTCAATTAAGTGCATCGCTGCTCTCTACCTCCTCATGATTCCTCCTTGGATAAAAAGTCCCTTCTAAAAAGTCATTTTTCGGACATTTCCGGTTGGATTGACCTAGATTTCATTTTCAGATAATTTTAAATCGCTGAGCTCGGAAAAATGCTCAAAGCGAATTTTCCGACATTTTCATATCACTTTGATCTAAAGCAATAAGTAATTAATTTTACGCAGAATTAGATGCTCTGAAGCCTAAAACCATGAAATTGTTTCAGTCTTACGCACTTTTGCACTTCTTTTAGACAACCCAAGTCTTTTGATTCGTGATAATAACTGACATCAATGGTGTAAAAATGGCCAATTCATGCTTTTATCAAAATCGCTCATTTTTTATTATTATTCAAATATCAAAAAAATTAATTCATAGTTCTGTCTCTGAGGGAGACTCTTTTCCAAATAAAAAAATGATTCTGAAAATTCAGGCAAATTGTCGAATGAATTACCATTTTAACAAAATGTTTTACGAAAAAGCTAGCTACATACATTTATTGAAGTAGTCTTAAAGAGTTGAATTCCTGGTAGAATCATTTCAGCAAAAATATGTATTTTTAATATTCTACAAAATTTCGCATCATCATAAAAGCCGCAAAAGAGCTTCTTGTATAAATTTTGACCTATGTTGATTAAAATTGGCTTATTTCACAGTATCTTTTCACGTTTTTTCATAATTCCCCAAACGCCTCATCGTTTTTTTTCCACAACTGTTTTAATATTTTCATTAATTTAATTACTGCAACACCGATTCACGCTTCCGTTAATTCAACGCGAGTGTTGTGATAATTGAAAGTGATAAAGTGAAAACTTGTTCATTTTTTTTTTTAAAGCGTTTGGCTGGAGACATTTTGCATTCGTTCTTTATCTCATTTTTGAATTTCATATACAAAATTTATGCGAACGAACGCGAGAAAATTTGTCGAAATGAAACAACATATGATGATAATCAAATTGAATTATTCAAGTAAGCCGAAGTTTTAAAAAAGTGGTTCCCATGGCAAAGGCATGATTTCTACAAAAAACCACGATATATCAAGATGAAAACTTTTCTATGGTGTCGCCGGATGATGTTGCTTACAGCTCGACCACATCGTCTCACGTTGCATGTTTGGCAAATAACTTATTATCACATGCATTAGAACAATCCACGGCTTTACAGTGTATGGGAGTGCAAATAGATTTGCTTGATGATTATGTGAACATTTATGTATGGAAATATGATTTGTATATGGGTTTGTGCGTGTTGTTGTTGTGTAGCAGTGTAACTAGTAGATTATAGTGTAGCTTTGGGGAGAATTATCGGTGCCATTCAAGTCATGTTCACTTTTGAGCAATTTTAATGGATTTAGTGAGCGAGGTTTAATATCGAAAGTTTTTCGTCGAACTATACACAGCACAAAAACGACGTGAGATAAAGTGAAAAATATGACAGTTTGACATTCACTTTTTTTGATAGAAAAAAATCGAAAACTTTTATTTAACACGATTTACTAAGAGAGGGATAATTTGCAATTGTGCGGCAAGCGAATCACCTATCATTGCAAAATATACTCATTAACGCCGCATTGCATATGAACTACTTGAACGTAATTCAACCGTTGTAACATATAAATGTACCATAAAATTGCATTTCATTTCATTTATCGAAAACAATAAAACGATATTTATGCGCACAAAATAAATGGCCCAACAAACTCATTTAGCGTAAATCGAGTTCAACGAGCGCGGAGTGCGTGTGTGTCCGTTGTACAAAATCAGATAGATGCCAAAACAATTCACGCCAAATAAATATCAATGCTGAGGGGATAATGGTTAGGAATAGAAACGATCAAATTATTCTATATCCGGTATGTACTGCGGAATATCAAGTAGTGTGTGAGACGGTGTATCAAAATATGTGAAACATATGCGAACACTATGCTGTGATATGTTATTGTGTGTGTGTGACGGACTGACGGTGGTTGATAAAGGTGCATGTGGCTAACACAGAAAAGCGAAAACATGAAATATAATTACAATGAATGTCATTCAATCGACATATTAACATTGCTAATTTACTATGTTGCAATAATAACAGAAAAAAGAATTATTCCCAAGGCAATATACATCAAATACGTGTGAACTGGATGCGAATTATTTTGCACTGTGCATATTATTTTATGCGTCAGAGATTGCCTGCCACGTGTGCATTCCAATGCCAATGGAAATAGTTGTAGTTTATGATGCAAAACAATGGAACATTTTGTGACGTTCAAACAAAACGTGGCTATATATCAACCGCACATTCATTAGCTCTCAATGTGTGGCAAATGTGTTCAAGTTTTTAAAGGATACAAATTCACATCTGAGACAAAAGCCCGACAACTATTATTTTGAAATATTATCAGACAACTTCTTGTAGCTTTGGGCCACATGTTTCGCTTTTTTTTCTCTTACCACCGCCGTCTGCCAATTCGTCTTGAATGCAAACCGCCCCCAATGTGCGTTTATAAGCACATTTGTCCCAGGTTGGTGCTTAAATATCAATAAAATTCTCTCTCTTTCGCACATATCACATCCGTCGTTATCGTTACATTCTTCGGGGCGCGTACATCAATTTCCATATCATGCGAATGACCCGACCATAGGCATATTTTATTAATCGACGATAAACATTCATATTTACTGTGTTAATTTCGATGCAAACGGTTTCGATGTCAGTTCTCGTCGAATCGAGAGAACGCTGTCAAATTTGTCAAAATGGGTGGAACAGAATTATTGCCCGCCGATTATTGTTACACTGATATATTACGTGATATGACGATGAGTTATTATACAGCCATTAGAGTTCGCCGCAGGAATTTATTAATTTTCAAATTGCACTGTTATTTGACAAATATTTTTTTAGTTTGCCAAAACACTTCTTACAACTATCCAGACGGAATGTTTGGTCGAGTGAAAATTTGTTCTCTGCCATAATGGAGTTTTTGAAAGAAAGAGAGAGAGAGAAAAATGGGAAAATCGTGTTGGAAAGCTCGAGACAAATGAGTTTTGTATTGCATGGGATGCCTCATGCAGGTTTTTTTAAACACACACATTCGAGTATACAGTAAGAGAATGAACATCTTTAATAGTTTCAAGAGATTGTTAATAGTTCGAACACTTTATTTTTACAGTCTGTAACTAATACAGACTCTGTATGCAGTCTACCAAGAACTATTCAAGTTGTGAGCACTTTCATCCATTGAATTTAAATTAATCAATATTTCAATTTCAATTTCTATTTTGTCATTAATGAATTTAATGTTTCAATAACAGAGAGGAAATAATAAAGCATTTTTTTAATAAAAATTTGAAATTTAAAATAACTCTCAGCATGTTCGTTCTTTTTTAATCAAATTCAATAACTCAATTACAATTTTTTGCGGTTTCTCTCTTCTGTATATTTATGTCATTCCGTACTTTGAGCAACAGTGCGTATCAGATCACCAGCAGAAGTGAAAAATAACGTTATTATTATGCAATTTAAATTTATTCTAATTGGATTTTCTTCGCTCGTCATTCTTTTAAATTGTGTCGCATCAACTTTTTTCTATTGTTTTTTTTTCTTCTTTTATTGACGATGTTGTTGTAGTCGTTGCTAGTAAATGCTATGTTCATTCTCACTGATTTATGATTCCCATTGGGATACGCGGATTTCGCGCAAAGTAAGTGTGACGACGATGACGACAAGGAAAAAAAACAGTGTTTCGGCATCGGCAAGTAATGCTATTTCAAAGTCACATTTCTACTAACATCAAACCAGATCAAGTACCAATTTACAATTTAAATTGGGTTAAAGTTAAGTGAAACATTTGTTATTTGGTCTCGAAGAAAAAGTGCGAGCGGAAAAAAGAGAGGAATAGACTCTTTCTCGTGTTGTGCATTGAAATGGGTTCGTGTGCTGTTTTGTTCGTTTGCTTTTTTCCGCTTCCGCTTTGCTGTCGTTTGTTCCTTTGTCTTATTCTACTTTATCAGAGAATGAGAATTTATTATTCCCGAATCAACAACAAAACTTTATTGTTTTTTTAAAGCTTTTTATTATATGCAAACGAAAACTTTTCCTCCCCGAACAACGACAACGACAGAAAAAAAGATTGATTTAAAATTATTGTTGAATTCAAACAAATACACCATTTCGTCTTTTGTCACAAACCGGGTTCAATTGAAATTAATACAAAAGTCGTAAACTTGTTCGATTCAATTCGATATTAATTTTATGTTTGCAGTTGAGAATTTGTTCCCGTTGAGCAAAAGTAATAAAAAGAAAATATTTGGCTAACTTTATCATCATCGACGATCCGATGGAAAAAGTGTCAGTTTCAACGGAGGAAGACGGAAAGTGAAAGAAAATGGGAATATCTCATAAAATCAATGTCTCAAAATAAATAATTGGTTGATGATGACCTGAGAAAATAAATCCATTTCTCGTTTAATTTAAAGCCTTTCACTTCACGGATTTTTACACGCAATAAAAAATGAGGCTACGATAACGCAGCACGGTTTGATACTAAAAGGAAATTTCACGACTCAAGTCATTTCCGAATAGCATAAAAATGTTTCCGACGCTTTTTTTCTTCCACTTCTTCTTCTTTCCACTTCTCTTTCATTGCATACTCAATTTTACTCCTTGGAACTAATAAAGCGAAAACAAATGGTTTCCAACCGAGCAATCGAAAGTGGAGAGTGCAGATAGAAGATGAAAAGTTTGCAAAGGTAGCGCGTTTAACTGTTGTGTGGTGGAGATAGCACAACTGTCGCCATGTTACTGCCAAAAATTAAGAAATGAAATAATCGGAATTTTTTTAGATGTCTGCAACATGCTCACGTTTATGTTTCATACAGCGATTGCCCACACAAATCGTTCCTACTAAACTTATCTTCGACTTGATTGGCCAATTCAATTGCGAGGCTTTTCACCTCGAGAAATTGAGAGAGTGCGAGCGAAAATATCGCGTCACCTCATCAGTGAGAAAGATGAGCGCATCGAAAATGCTTTCCAGAGCTGGTATGGGCGGCATGGTCGTACGGGCACTTTTCTTGTAAGAGTTGCTTTTTCTTGAATTCAGGTGCCACCATACGTCCTTACCAGGGCACCGTGTCGCACTTTTTAAAAATGATATGTATTAGGTGCGGGGCACTCACTACTGCCCGCACTTCTGCTGTACCAACATCACCTCTGTTTCCTTCGAAGCGAAATCGTTGTCTGAGCATCAAATGATTCATCAATGTCGCCTGAAAACTTTGTTCGGCAACAAATTGTATTTCATCTGGTCGTGTTCGTGGCCAAAAATGTTCGTTAGCGCATTGTTGTCGTATACATTTTAACCAATCTTATCACGAGATCAAAATGTAAAAGTTGTGAAACGATTTTCTTGTGAAAATGGAATTCGAATGATTTGTACGATGACTAGGCTAGACAACAATGACAGCAATGGCAATCGCATCATACCGATATATCATTTTGGCACGTCCACTTGATTTCTTTACACACCAACAATTCAACATTCGTCCAAAATGCCATAAACGAATAGATAAAAACCACATTCCGTTATTTGTATTTTATCACTTGTGTAAATTTGTGCGTTTTTTGGTGTATTGCATTCGGCTGATTGCTGTATTTATTTGAGCCATTATTTTCTGGGTGCATTACAAAGTCCACAGCACATAATTTACCCGAATAAAAAAAAAAAAAAAAAAAAAAACGTTGCAAAGTGTCGCAAAAAGCGAAGAGCCGATGCGCACGACATAAATCTGAATAATGAAGACAGCAAATAAAATGAGAAAATGGCCGTGAAATGAAGAAGGAGAAATAAAAGCAACACGCACAAAATGTGAAATAGAAACCGTGCAAAAACCGAATTGGATTAGTCGATAATGTGTAATAAGGTTAGGTGTTAAACCAGAGAAATAAAGAATTCATGCACATTTTAAGAGAGAGCGTGATCGGGGCGCTAATCAAATGTCCTAGAAAAAATAAAGATGAAAAAGAAGCCACGATACATCGACGGAATATAAAGTTGGAATGCAGTGTGACCGCGACGACCACCATTAGTCATTGGATATACTGCGACTGTTGCACACATCTTAAAAAGCAAAAGTTACATTCATGCCATCAAAAAAGGGAACAATCGACGCCCATATGGTACGATTGCCATGAATGTTGCCTGTTAAAACGAATGCGCGCATTCTCACAAATGAAATTAGCTCCATTTTTGAAATAAACATATTCGAGACGGAGTTTGTTCAGTCGAACGCTTCAATAGCTCTAATGCATGTATATATAGGAATGTGTGGTTGAATGAACGGTCGAAATGGCATAATAACATAAAATCTATTTAGTAATATGGTGCACCCACATATTACGAGGCATAATAATGTCAAATATATTTAACCAGTTTATGTGGCGAGTAAATGCGTTCGTGTGGAAACGCGACAAATAAGAGCATCCGAGTAAAACGGAGAGAAAAAAAAATCAAACCTGGCCAATGGAAATGGAATTAAATGTGATGACCGTAATGGAAGGCATTTCGCGTGCGCTAGTTAGTTCTCTACTTATTAAAAAAATCAATATTGGTTCATTCAAACTTACCGTCTCAGATCCGGGCTGGATGTGTATGGTGCGGCCACTTCTTTGATTTTTAACATAATGACAGCAGTTAGAAAGATACACAGGATATTGACCACTGTTAGCAAACCTGACACGACGCCACAAATCAAAAATTCCGTTGGTATATAATTTGTATAAATCGGCACGTATGACGAATTTCCGGTAAATGGTTCGCCTTTTATGTGAGGTATTTTCACATTTGGATAGATCATCCAAATGCAAGCCAATGCCCAGTACAGTCCCTGCTCATATGAAAACAATAAACAAAAACATTCACCATTCATGATAACATATTACAAGACCCATTATGATGGAACAAATTTCAAAGAAGAACAACATGTATTAACGGAATACGAGTATCGATTGTGCTTGAATTGACTTCATAAAATTTGAATATTCTTTGGCCATCTGTTTTCACTGGGCTTCCGTTTTCGGTTTTTCTCGTTCTCAAATGACAAATCGAAATGTTTGCCTTGATAGATTGTTACATATTGAACGGTGCCTTGTTGACACAGTGCAGTAAAATAGTTTATGTGTATCGTGGGCAATAAAGCATGTTTCGCCTATAAGTGGTGACAAGAAATGAGCGCATGATGAATTCTGAATGACCAATCGACAAGCATATTAATTGCCCTGCGAGTCAACAGAGGAAGGATGTGGTAATAAGGCGGTTTGTTTTTGTGAATTGAAAAATTAAAATAAAAAAAGCGAAATGTGTGCGCTCTTTTCAGAAACAGATGTTTCCGCGTGATCCGACCATCAAATTTCCGATGGTGCCCATTGCGTCTCTGTCGATGAATTGAAATCGGCCCGATTCGTTCATTTGGTGTATGCTTCCGTATTGTATTCACTTTACATAATGAATATTTTGTATGGCACTGCTATCGCCATTTTTCGTTCGGTTCGCTATTATTTTGGTCTTTGTTCTCATTCAATCACTCTGATTGCTTTCTGCCGAACCATAGCACTGGTGATGATAGAAGCAACACAAATGTGCAATGTTAATTTGTAAAATCATTGACTGAAAATTATGGTGAGTGGTGTGTGAGAGTGAGAGAGAGATTTTGATGTGGAATTGAGTAACATTTTCCAAGTATATTCCACATCACTAACCACCAATGCGAAATTACGAGAACTCTTTGATACACATCTCGCAGCACACATACAATTGATAAGTTATTCTGATTCTGTTCATATGCAGGCATTGAGTGGCGGTGATTTGACTTTTGGTATGTACACAACCTCGGGGGTCCGTGCTGAACTAGCATACTCGATTTGGCAGCGGAATTGAACGCGGCTGTCAAAAAATTGAAATTGAAATGCTCAAAATAACTCTTGATGCTACTTCCGTCAAAATAGCAGCAAGCCGAAAACAAAACTTTTCTAATTATCGTTCCATCTCTCTAAGCAAGTAGTAATGGTTCATAATGTAAAAGTTTTTTTATTCAATTCATTTACTCGTTCATACAATTGTTCACATTTTACGAGAGATGAAACACTACACGATTTTGGTCAGGCGATGTAAAGAACCAAGCGTTCAATGTTTGATAGTGGATATCGCCGACTTTTCGGATGCATATAAAAATTCTACGAATTTGTATGGAGAAAAGCAATTTTTGATTGATAGAAAACATTATGTGCAAGTTTTGCTTTGCTCTCGCTTGCTGTGTAGATGAAAGCTATTTCACGAAGTAAAAGCAAATTTTCCATTCACAGCGAAAATTATTGTTCTGTATGTGTCACTATGTGAATGCATGAAGTTTTCAAGTAAAACTTTTATCTCACTTAATGCGTATACATAGTCGGCACTACCCCGAACAAATTGATCCAAATTAACAATGATTGCTATTCGTATTGTAGAGTGAAGAAAACAACAGTCGACATAAACGGCATCACCGTTCATCACGTGTGCCTAGTGGCGATAGAAAGCCAGATGGCATAAATGTGTGCTTCTTATTGCGAGCGTGGTGGTGGTTTCACATTAAAAAGCTTAACGTGACCTGAACAAAATGTTATCTAAAGAAATGCACGCATTCAGAATTAATAATGCCGCGCCAAGGCTGGTGCAGAACTTATTCAGCACAGTTTTCATCACTTTTCAGATTGACAAACTAACAAACTACTATGTGTGATAAAATACGAAGTTTTTCGAATATTTTTTTGTTGTTGTTGCAATTTTCTGTACTTAAGAAGGGAACAAGTGAGCAAAGATTTATAAGACCAACGATGCGAATATTCGATTATACTATATTATCAATTGAAAAACATACAAAATATTTGTTGCTCGTGAATGCAAGCAAATCTTAAGCCAATAAGAACAAGTTTTGATATTAATTCTTTAAAAAGTTTATGAGAGAAAAGTTGAAAAGTAACCAAATTAAAATTTCATAATAAAGTCTTTTGTGCAACTACATACTTTAGCCTGCATTCGTGGATTTTGGAATTGAATTTTGTTAACTAGAAAAGTAAATCATAGATCGTCGTTATTTTCTTAATGATGGAAGATGCCCATCGAAATTCAATTTCATCAAATGGATAATTTAATATTTTTGCATGAATGATATAAAAAATAAAGTTCTGCACAAATTGAAGGTATGTTGTCGTCTAAAGATAAATTAACGAAATAAAAATAAATCTCTAGAAATATACGAGCACCGGTGAAAATCCAACGTAATACGACAAACTTACATCCGTAATACTGTCATTTACATAATAACTCATTTTCATTAGCCGACCAACGTCAACATTTTCAGATAAAAATAAATCAGAAACGGAACTACATCGGAAAATTGCAAAACTTATTCGTTCGCTTCAATTTGCAAATTGTTGATTCTGTTAATTTATTTTATATGGAAAATTCTGTTCGACCGGCAGAGTGCGATTCAATTTGAGTTTTCTCAAGCGATGAAAATCATTGCAGCAACCAGCACAAAAAGTGTCAATACCCGTTTCAATTGATTCATTTGGACGAAGCTCGCCATTAAAATGATTCTTGGTAATGAACTTGAAGCATGCGTTGGCACGGGAGGTAATCCTCCTTAAATCATCTGAGCTACTCCCGGACGACTGTGAAGGAAGTGAAGTTTTTTGGCTGTTCAATTTTCTGTGAGAAATCAATTTGCAAACCCCCCTTCTCCACCTCTAATCAATTTTGATCGGAGTCGAATGAAAATCCTCTTCTTAGGGAGAGAAAAAATCTTCCGATTTGTCAGGGTTTTTTTGATTCGTCGAAGCACTCCCTTAATTTCTGACCGTGCCCATGTATGATTACAACTATTCATTTTCGAGAGATTGAATAAAAGAGAAAGTAACATCGAAAGCAGAAATATCGATTATTTTTACAGAATTAATGATGAAATAAGAAGAACACTGGAGAATGTGAGAACAGAAACCATCGAGTGGTATAAAATATCTCGTAAATGCTGTTTCAATGTTCCACGAATGCCTTTAGTCAATGGAAAACGAGATTTTTTTTTCAATTTGTCAAGATACTTACACAATTGACGACCGGTGGCAAAAGTGATGCTGAAATAGCGACTCCGATTAGCGGACCATTTGCGCCGAGCAAAAGTGCCAAAGCGACACCTGATCCGGATGTCAATGCCCTGTTGTGTGTGTTTATGTGTAAAACAAAAAGAATATCCATTTTCATTTGTGTCTCTGAACTAGATTTTTACTTTGAACAACAAGAAGAAAACTTGCATACCAAGCGACCCCCATCCATAATGAACGAGCATTTCCACTAGAAATGTAAAATAGAAAATGAAATTAGATAAAAGAAACGAAACAAACAAACAACAACAAAATTTTCAAAGTTTGAGAGAAAGTGCATCAACGCTTGTTATTCAAATGAGACAAATAGAAAATTGCATGTAAATGACGTCCACCGACCTGCAGTAGTTCAAAAGGAAAATTTTTTTCTCCCTCAACCGGAGACAAAGTGAAGCGAATGAACTCGTTTGTTGTGTACGTCGATGTCAAAGACGCCAACGCAGCAAATGCATCAACTACTTCAACATTTTAAATTGAGAAGAAATGTGCAAAGGCGTGAAACGGTGGAAGACGAAGTTGAACATTGAAGAAGATTAACATTAATTGCATTTGTCAATTTGCTAAAACTAACTTTGCACCGAATACAAGTGAAATGTTCGCTGCCACACTTGATTTGTACGTACAATATGGTACGTGTCGTTCTGGTATAATCAACAAATTATACGGTTAAGTAATTTGGTTCGGGAGAAACTGGGAGTCAATTAAAATAGGTTCGAAAAAGTGCAGCACTTTTGTATTTAACATGAATGCCATTTAAGTTAGAGGTGTACATTTTTACCATGAAAGTTCAGATTCGCTAATTTTTTAGCAAATGGGGTGTTTTGATTGGTTTCACTTTTACCCAAGCTCTTGACACTTTTGATTATATTCGATGACACTCCTATTAAAATTGCAGTTGCATTAACGTGTAAAGTCAACACAGTGCAATCTCATCGAAACGGAATGGAACGAGCTGTCTACACTCGTTTTGTGCTTTTTTGCTTTGCACACTTAAAGTATTACCGATTCCACTTGTTCCATTCAGCAGACGTTTTTCCTCGTGAGAATTCAATCTGTGCGTCAATTCAAATGGTGAACTTTTGTGAACTAACAATGAACTGTGTCAGAACATCTGCAGGGGATACGTCATTCTGAATGAAATTAAAACAATGGAAAAATGAATGGAATTGGTTTTTACGCCGGCTCTTTTCATATTTATCGATTATTAAGCTCAATGTTACATCATATGCAGACATTATGTTGATTTATTTTTGGATCGGAATTCGTAGACGAAATTCCATGCACATGCTCACACGAATGCGTTTTGATTGAGAACATGCTGGCAAATGCCCATAACTTACGCTCTACGTGACACATTCATATACGCATCTTCAGAATATACAAAATGAATTTGGCCATTCTTCGAGTTCAATGACTTTATTTTAGTTTTTTTTTAAGTGGACACATGAAATCTCGAAACTATTCGAGTCACATACTCATTTAAATATAAAATTTTGTTCAACACAAATTCGTTGTTTTGACATGAACACTTCAATTCAATTATTTATAAACTAAACAACATATGGTCATAAGCAACATCAATAATTTCTGTATGGATGAGAAAAGTTTTTGCAAAAGCGAGCAAATGTCAAATGTTTTGAATTGCGTTAATAAATTACGGTGCTGTCGAATGAAAGGACACGTTTTTATTATCATTTCACTCTGCAGATTAAAAAGTTAGAAGAATTTTAAATTCAATAAATGTTTTTACAATCATTTTGTCGAGAAGGAAATAAATTCTTTTTTTTTAAATATTTGATGAAATGAATTTAAACAAAACGTCAAAAACATACATCTCTCAAATGCGGATACAACAGCAAGGTTTCAATCTTTTCCATAGAAAAAAATTAGTTCGTTTTTAACAAAGTAAAGCAAAGCAAATTAAGGTCAGAGAAACTGCGACATCAAAAAGGAACAAAAAAAAGAAACAATCGAAAAATTGAAGCAAGTGAAGATATTCTCGCCGGGAGTGAACAAAAATATATATGATTTATGTGCATGTTTACTTACCGTCCTTTCATCTCTTCGGTGGGCCAGTCATTGAAACCCCATGGCCTAAAAATAGACTACCTTGAGTAAAACTGAATTATTATTTAAGTCGACGCGAAGTGTAAAACTCCGGCCAAATGAAACCGCAAAAAGTAAAGTAAAATACGTACTGCTCTGTGGTTCCGACAATAAGGCCAAATATAAATCCAAATATTAATGAAATCAACATTCCTGCGCCCAAAGCAATGAAACCACTTTTCTATAAATATTTTAACATCATTATTGCGCCCCAATTAACAGACCAAGAAAGAGACTAACAACCACAACACGTAAGTGGCAAATGAAATATCGTAAATTTACAGAAGCCAAAACTTCTGCCGTTTAAATATTGTCAAATAAAATTTTACTTTTCATGCTGAGTACTGCGGCTCATATTTAGTTCAAATGTGATTTTATTTTATGCTCTTTGTGTCTTGCAACATTGATGTGCAATTTCAAGAATGTGAATGCTTCAGATTGAAAACTGTTTTAAGTAAATTAAGAAATTAGTATTTGAATGGCATGCCATGTCATCGGGAGTTGAAGAGAAAATGCACAAAAGAATGTGATGAATTTCATGGAGAGAAAGAAAGAAAGAAAGGATACTGATACTGGTGAACGCGTATGCATTGCATTCGTAATGCTTTCGATATTAAAATGCGATACGCTTCGTATGTTTGCCACTCGAAATAAAATGTGCTAAATGGCATTTCAAATATGCTATTCGAACATATATATACATATCAATGAAGAACAAGCAAATAAAGAATACACCCACGCACACAATATATGAATCTGTCGGATAAAATCAATGGCATCCCAAACAGTTACAACTACATCAATATACAAAGATTTGGAAAGGTTTTGAATTAACATATTACATACAGATATATCGATTGAACTAAAAATTTCATCGTATTTTCGATGGAAATGATTGAATTTAGCACACCGGGAGAGTGGGAAATACCAATCGCATGGTAGCCCATTTTTTCACACACATTTGGAAAGACAACATAATTCAAGAGTGATAAACACATTTCACCTTATGTTTATGCTGATAAAATCATCATCACACATATTCATCGCCAATTGAATTTGAATGTGTGAAGACTAAAAAGTGCGTAATAAAAAATTGGTGAGAAACGAAGAGAGAGAAAAATTGTGCGTATGAGAATATATCATTTACTTTTTATATGTCATCGTCATCTTCGATTATATCAGAAAAAAACAAAATTGGCAGATAAAAAAGAGGGAAACACATTGTTCAAAATAGCATGAAATCAATCCAAGTTGCCGCCAACAAGTAGACTTTTTGTGTATTGTTCATGGATATTCTCAGAAGTTTTCGTGTTAAATTGAGACATTTGAGAAAGACAGAAAAAGGCAAACGATTATAAAAAGGTGTGCTTGACGTATGAGTATCAAAGGGTAAATATAAATACGTGAAATCTTAAATATTTACATCCCTTTCATTGAATTTACATCCTGTCTTCATTTCAACATGTACAACAATAACAAACGAGAACCCCCAAAAAAATACAAACAGAAATCTGATGGATTTTGAACATCTCAATTTTCCGGCCAAAAAGACAATGTATAGACACTGTACAGCTTACACTTAAAATATACGTATACCATCTCCGTTGCAAAGTTTTTCAACAGAAAGATTGATTGTCTGATCCAAAATGTGAATATCGTGTAATTTATATTCCATTTCTTGCCTATTGGAAATCCAATTAGACATCGTAACCAGCCACTCGTGGTAACTCTTATGTACAGAGAGAGAAAGAGAGGGAAGTTTGGGGCATTGCGCAATACGCATCCTTTTGTTGTCTAATTGATAGGTACGTGCACACAATAGCAACACGGTACAATGCGAGAAAGACAAAACGTGCCGCATTCTTAATACCATCTAATTAAATAAAAATGGAAATGAAATGAAATTAAATTAATTTTTCTAATTGATGTTAATGTGATTGCATGCAGTGCTATATGTTCACGGACTCTTAATGACATATTCATACCCTTTTCGCTTTTCGTTTCCACTCACAAGTGCTCTTAGTTCGTGTAAACATAGCTCAAGTGTCGAATACTTAAGAGATATGTATACTCTAATGATCATAACGAAATAAGAGCTCAGGGCTAAAGTGTGCGTTTAATTCATTATTGCAGCTTTGAAGATGAATTTCGAACAAATTTCGGTACGTGATTCATTCTCTAAGGCGTAAATTAAAACCATTCCGAGAAACAAAAAATATAATTTTTCTTTTGGTTTTTTTAATGAGAGCGAAAAGTTTCACATTCAAATTTTCAGCTTTGGAAATTCTATATTTGCATTTGCATCATGCTAATGAGTAGCGAAATTATCACCATTCGTAAAGTGGTTGGTTTGTAAATGCATTGATTTATTAGCACCACTTCAAAAAGTTCAACTGTTATCGTGAATGCGATTCGAAATGGACATTATTACTCGAAAAATTCAGTTTGCCTTTTTTGCTTGTGAATAATGATTGCCATAATTTGATCTTACCACAAGTTTATAATCTGAGATGATCAATCCGAAGGTAACTGACATCACAGGACCCATCAATGGAGACACCAACATCGCAGCCGTTATATTCGGCGAATTGTTTTCAATGAGACCCAATCCGGCCAATGCACTAGCAGATAAAAATACAAATTTCTCATTTAATTTCGGTGACAAACGTTTTGAAGTAGCTTGTTATCTATTGACAGTAGAACGTTCAAAAAATACATGCAAAAGACAAAACACCCACCTTACAATGAATAATGGAATTTTCTTTTGTCATCAATAATACCATTAACATTGAATACAATAGAAATTTCTATTTATATTGAGTTGCCTCAATGACACTCATAGAAAATCAATTTGTTTTTCTGTTAAGTTTCTTTTCAAAAACATACAACGCGTGTAACATAATGTTGGTGAAATGGTAATCGAATTTTGGTCGTTGACAACGATAGCAATTATTAAGGTCACAGATCAATAGCTGGAATCGATTTGTTTCACGAAATATTTGAGACTTGGACCGATACTTTGCATACACGTGAATAACAAATGTTAAACTGAGCATTCAATGTGCTGGTCTCTACTACAAACGAGTTGATTATTTTAGTTCATTTCAATTTACTCACTCAGCTGTGACAATTAGTGCGAGATAATCAAAGGAAAGTGTGCCGCCCGAACGAACACCGTCCACCACTTGTTTTACCGTCAATTTTGACTTGATGGATTCCACAAATTCATTCCATTTGGAATTTGCCTCGAAATCACTATAATTCAATACACATTCATTAAAATTACAGCAAAATCAAAACACAGCACACCAACATCAATAAGAACTTGTGCAATTTACAATTTAATTGAATTTAACAACAATGTATCAATCTTACCATGGCTCTTCTTCAAAAATATGCTCCTTAATTGCATCGTACGACACAGTGCATGGAATCACACTACAAATAAAATTGAAATATTTCAATTAAAACCACATCTCGAGTGCATTGAAAAAACAGTCATATTTTCCTCGTTAAATATTGCAATGTATGTAAATAAAGAGTAACTATGTAACTTTTTCTTTTTTTAAATTCGAAATGCTTGGCAAATGAATTCGTACTCATGAAAATAATCTATTAATATGTAAATATCAAGTCTAATAATGTTATGTAGTGCACAACAGAAATGTATTTGATGTTAGGTGTAATTCATAGCACTTATTCAATGGTTGCGAATGTGCAATAAGCAATAGTCTGATGTGAATCAATTTACATTGCAACTTGCCACATTTACAAGGTATGCCATGAGAAGTCTTTGCAAGTGAAATTCTATTTACCTTACGCTTGAACCGGATTTCAAACCGATTCCAAGCTCTGTTAAACAATGTAACGTTGTTTCACACGGTTCACCAGATTGCAGCGGAAATATAATAGTGTAGTAATATCCTTTTTTGTCACTGCTCCAAGTTACATGGTCGATCTCTAGTTTCATTAGTAACTCCTCTAGAACCTGCAATGCAACATTTATTTATTATTCATTTTGCTCTTGTTACTTTTTAGTCGTGTTGGTTTTCTGTAAACCTACAGGAAAACTGGTTACATTTTTGTTAGAATGATTTTGTGATATTTTTGTGTGATTAATTTTAATTTTCCCCTGGTAATTGATGAGGAGGTTAATAAATAACCAAAACTCTTTATCCTCCTAACTACGAATTAATTTTGTGCATTTTTTTTACATGGGAATGATTAACATAGTTTCACTGAATTGACTGAGTTTACAGAGAGATATAGCAGCGATATTTTCACAGCTCTTATTTACAGGCGCTATTTGTGCACAATGCAGACAGCGAACAATACAATACCGAGTACGACATGTTCGAAATGTAGAGCAATAGACCTACCTATTGATTTGAGCATTTTATTAATATAAAAAATCTTTTGCTCTAGGTATGTTCAGTCTATTGCATAATTTGAATAAATTAACACTGTTTCACGAATCTTTCACAGAGCAAAATCTATTTTATAGACGTGTGAACGAACATACCATATGTTCAAAAGTTATTTTATTCATTTTGAATGTTTAAATGTTGTGGATAATTGAGATAACCTAGTAGATAAACGAAAAATTCAATTCATTGGGCCCATTTATAAATACATCATACCAAACGTACGTGGGCACAGAGTTTTTGATTGACCTACCCCCCTTACATTTTCACCATGTTCTATGTACCAGTAATGTGCGAGATTTTCTGATGGGAGTAATTTGATCTAGTGAAAAAAATTGACAACCAAAGAAGGTTTTTGCCAAAAGGCCTAGAAGATCGGAAGAATTGTCCAAAAGTCCATTCTAATAACTTATTAGTAGTAAGGGGTTTTTGATTTCACTGTGATCAAAATTGATTACAGGGAGGCATAGAATATCCTCCACAGAGTTCTAATATATGGTCACACGCACTCATTCACTCATTCACATGGATTTAGCACTTTTGTTAAAATGACCACTTAGTGCCAAATGCATAAATAATACACAAAAATTTGCATTCGGTTTATGCACAAATGGTTGCGTTTAATATTGGGCATACTTGCTGCATTTCGAAATATTTTGAACGAACTCAATGCTGACGTAGGTGGAAAAGTTATTAATCACTCATGTTGAATTTCCCCACAAACATTGTGCATACGCAATATAGTTGCATACGCAACTTTTGTCGAGATTTCCTCTGTTTGATTTAATAGCAATCATAAATGTTTTGAACATATATTGCTTTCTGATAAAACGATTTGTGTGTGTGTGTGTATTAGAAAATGTTCACAATCTTGTTTATTAAAGCATTCATTTTCTCGTTGAACAAATCCAAAGTTCAAACACTATATTCGTTATGAACAACAACATCCGTTTTTGAAAGATTTTTGTTGATAGTTGTCCTTTTAATGGTGATTAGAAGTGAAGACGCACTGTGTTAAAGCATAAGAACTAATCTAGCATGCTGTTGTCACACAGCAATGATTACGAATGATTGCGTTCGAGTTTAAATTCTTTCTAGAATAACCCATCTTAATCAACTTCACAATTTTAATCGGAAATATTATTTCTTCTTATTCGACACGTTTTCCTCTTGGTTAAATAACCCTATTCATGCATTAGGTGTCCCCTCGTATAAACGACGATATGTGCACAACGACGAAGAAGCAGCTCCAGATAAGCTCAATTGATTTTGTTTTCTGTATATATGAAATGCTCTTCCCATTCATTTCATCGCTTGTGCGTTTTTTCGTTGCTTTTTTTGTTCCTGGTGCCATTTTGCAATTTCCTGTTGAAAAGTGTCGTTGAACGAGAATTTAAAAAAACGAATCGTGTGAATTGAAGTAAGAAAAAAACGGATAACTAGAGCAAGTGGGAATGAAGAACATAAACATTGAATGGTATTTTAACAGTTAGATTATGAAATACATTGCTGAACTTTAGAGCTGCTATAGCACTAAATAAAGTTGAATTGAGTTTTGTTCTCTCGTTCTCTTTTTTCTTTGGCCTCTGTGCAGGGATAAGTCAATTCCGCTGACTTAGCGGACAGTGTGTATTTGAAGGCATCCAAAATGAAAATGAAAAAAAAAATCCAAGAGGAGTTTTTATTTATTCTGCACTTTGGTTCGTTTGTGAATTTATTTGATTTGTGTCTTTCTCGTTTGTTATTCTAACACGGAAATTCACTGTGAAACAAAAAAAAACAACAACAACAGAAACTGACGACCAAGTTCCGAAATTCGTCGCTAAATGACGTGGGTGATGAAATAAATAAATAAACATGCGTAAAAATAAACTCGGAATAGACCGTTTGCACAAACCGAATTACATCATGCCGCCTGATAAATATTCGCTGCTGCACACAAAATGAGACGCGTATAGAAGATTTGCCAGCGAAAAGAAGTGTTTTTCTCAAGCTGCTTTTTTTGTGCCATTCACGGTGGCGCTTAGTAATAAAGTCGTTTATCTTTGGGATTTTCAGTGTAAAACGTCAACTCCTTGTGACGACACGCTACCATGGCTACATGCACAGAATATATCAACATGGAAGTCATGGCAAAGATGTTAACGAAGTTTTTCGTAACAAAAAGAAATAAATTCGAAAACTTTTCCACCACATTTATTCATTCAAATGTGTATAATGCCGGAATTTTTCAGGTGTATATGTATGTGTCATTACCATTTGTTGCCATATTAGACACAAAGTCCACAACAAGATTATATTCTGCTGTTCAAGTCCATGATAATTTATTTATGGTTGAATTGGAACTCAACCGTTTTTTTGTGTCTTTTGGGGTTTGAATTTTGCCGGACGCGAAAAAGCTCCACACTTTTTAGATTCAACTATTTTCACATTTCCGCACACACACACACACACACACACACACACACACAGAGAGAGAGAGAGAGATATTTAAGTAGGTACCTTTAAATTGGTAGAAACAAAACAAAATCGTTGCTTACTTTTTCCATTGGAATAAAAAAACTGTTTGGATTTGGTGGTTTTTGAAGCGCACCACCGCTCACAGGTGATACGCGATATCGAGCATCTGCAGCACCTCCATATCCTTTGTTACGGTAATTTGGTCGACGTCGATTTTTATCACGCAATTCAACTTCAAGCCGCAATACAGCATTATTATCAGGCAAATTGATATTCAAATTATTACCACCACTGACGCCGCCACCGATTGTGTGATTTGGATTGCTCACAATGGAAGTCGGCATCTCTGCATATTTTTCAAATGATTTTATTATGAAATTCAATGAAATTATTAAAGCAATGTGATCTATCGCACGTATGTGAATGCCTGTGCGTGGATGCCATACCATTGAGAAGCTCTTGTTCGAAATTTGCCGTTGGCACAACAATTAAAAATATTACGCCTGGCATATTTTAATTGTTCGATTCGCACAATATATAATTAATAGGTCACACACAATAAATTCTAATTCTCCGTCGAACGGAAAACATGTAATGCCAGTGAAATTAATTTGATTTGAATGAATCAAAACCGGTGTATTTACAAAATCAATAAAATCGAACAATGAAACATTTTATATGAACGAAATACACGTGTACATCACTTAAATAGACAAGAAACACTGAACATCACCTGAGTTGCCGTTCCAAAACGTAACCGTTTATTATTCCGAAATTATTCTTTTCATTTCAATGTGAATGCTGTGCATGTAATTAACTTTGAGCACATAATACTCTAATTGACACGCGACTAATGGATGAATAATGACAGTCTATGTAATCTCTGTTCACAGTAATCGAAATTAACGTTGAAAATCACAAGTTGAAGTTAAACAATGTGTGCTGAACAAACAAAAGGCGTCAATTCATCATCAAATTTCGATCAAGAATGTCATTTTCCGCTGAGATTTGATAACGTGTGAAACGGTTTCACACATGCAAAACGTTATGCGAAAATGAAATTACCGCAAGTTATTGAAATTCAAAATGGTTTCTCACATATTGGTAACGCGTTGAGTGTATAAACAATGAATTGTATTTATCGAGTATAACTAATTCATATATGTATCGAATTTCAGTGAACATTAAATGTTCAATATCGATGAAACAATGACGAAAACGTGCGATGCGTATCCAATTTGAGTTGGTTTAATCGAGATATTCGCATTGTACTAATTATACGCGGAAAACATGATTAGCCATGACGTGGAAGTTGACGAAAATAAAAATTCAGACTTTGTTTACACACTCATTTGATTGGCTTTCACAATAAATCTATTTAGATTGACTGAAGTTTCATCATTTGTTCAATTCGCATGGAATTTCCATGAAAAACACTCAGCCCAACAACAAAAACAACTTCGATGCGGCAACAACGACATAAATAGGCTGTAATTTACATAAATTGGCATAAATTTGGTGAATTCCAATCGTGCGAACTCATTTTCGTATCAAATGACACCGAAATTGTTTGTGTAAATCAATGTGTTTTTGTTAATGATTATCGTTAACCCACAATATAAATGACTCGTTCATAAAGTGTCTGTTAAAATAGAAGAAAAATAATAAACAGAAGAGTCTGTGGATTGTCAACACCAACCCCATGCCCCCAAGAGAAACACAAATCACAAATAGAATGAAAAGCTCATTTTGTTGTTGACTGGTGAAAATCAAATGGTGATTGCCAAAAATGGTTCAAACTTGATAGGCTTCACAAATTCCATTTAATTTATTGAAAAACATTATTTCAATCTGTTTTTAGTAAATTGTGAAAGATTGATAGATTCAATTATTTACGAGATTAATTTATTACCAATAGAAAATGTCTTTTTCCTTCAGTCGCCAAAATATTCGTTTTCCCATCACACAAACTCAAAATCAATATGTGAAAAAACAATTTGAGAGCAAAGATCAAACCAAAGATTGCAAACAACTTTGGCTTAACTAAAAGAAACTTTTGTGGCATATATGTTTGCAAAAGATCCATCTGGTCATATTATTTGTCGGAAAATGGTTACGTCTTAGGTCATGTCGAAACTTTTCGATTCGATTAAAATTCTGAAATGTTGACCCTGGTTCGGTTAGTCTTCCGATCAATAAGCCACGTCTTCCCAACTTATTTCGACTCGTTTCCGCTTTGATTATGGGGTACTTGAACTTTGGACTACTCTTCCCATAAAGAATCGTTATCATAATACCGGGAATATTTAACGCTTCAAAAGTCAAGTAAATAGGCTTTTTCCACATCAATTCACATTCCTGGATTTATTTTCCTTTTTTATGTGCAAGTACTCAAAATACGAGAGAAAAAATACAGTACAGCTATTTTTATACAACACATACACTGTTGTTACTTTATACTGGTAATTTAGAAGGAAATCCATGCGATACCATCAAATTCATATTTTATGTGAATGCATAACACTATGTTGAACATTTGAAGAGGAATGTTTACTATTTCGGCTGCATATCGTGCATATGGAATAGTAAGCTTTCCATCAGTAGAAAGCATCTTAATCCATTTGATACCATCAATATTTTTCTCTCTATTTTTGCCTCTTTTTTTTGGTTTCTCTAGAAATATCCGCTTGTCCGCCGGGTTACTGCAAAAATCTTGATTATAAATGTATATTTAACCAGATAGCATAAACAAAACGCAATGCAATTCATCAAAATTCGTTACATCGTTGTTTTCATAAATCAACGTTAATAATGAAATAACAACATACTTTTTTTCACATTGAAGATTTATCCTTTCCATTTACATTTCATGGTTGGATTGTGCATGATTGTAGTGTATCTCCTTGCTTTGTGAGATTGCGAAAGTAGAGATTCGAAAAGTACTACACCAAAAAACTGAATAAATACGGTAAAATTGTTGCAAGCAAGTAAAATGCTAATGTATTCCGGCTGTACGTTCTTGATGCGCCCTAGGGTTTATGTTTCATCGTCGATAGCATGCAGTCGATGAGAGATACCGTGAGAAGAAAGAAAAAGTAAGAAATAAGCAGAGAAAATGAATAAGATTTTCCGATTTTATTAGTTGATTGGCTTGCGGCGGCTACTTCAACAATCTCAATCCGATAAGTACACACACGCACGCACAATCAATGCAGCCCACCAAAATATGTTTAACATAAAAAAAATGATTGGAAAAACACCCCGCCTCCTCGACTCGCAAACCATAAATCGAATCATGTTCAATGTGAATATCATTATTATTAACATACATGCACACAATTTGTACGATAAAATTGCTTTACTTTTCGTTTACACACTTTGAATATTTTCCGTTTGTGATTTGTTGAACAAATCGAATTGGTAAAACAATATAGCCGAAGGCTGGTTTCCTTTGTGTGTCTCTCTCTCTCTCTCTGTTTAATAAACAATAAAATTGTTTGGACCACAATTTACTTGAATTTTCGGATAGGTAGTCAATTTCCGGTCGATGTCAATTTTCGAAAAATCGTATATACTACTAAAATGTACTAATTATGTACAATTATGTACAACAATTTTTATGATTTTGTACCAACAAAAAATTTTCAGAATTTGGATTTTTAAAAATTGAAAATATCAAAACCCGGAAAATGTTTACCCGAATTTGTACAACACCAAAGTTATACGTCGTTAAAATGTACAAAATATGTACAATTCAAATCAACCATCAGATTTGAGAAATTATCATCGTGTACCCAAATTTCACCCAGTCCAATTTTTATAGCAGTTTTTGAATTCGCCGCGAATGGGCAACTTTTTAATCATCCATATTATCATAACAACGTATATTGTATAAAAATGTACAAAATATGTACAATTCAAATCTGTATTTAGATTTGCAAAATTTCAATCGAGTACTCAAATTTTACCCAGTCCAATTTTTATAGCAGTTTTCGATTTGTAAATGTGATCTTAGTAGATGCCCCTGAGTTTTATGACCAGGAAAACAAACTTATTCTTATTATTCGTTTTAAATTCGATTGTTTGTAAAATTCAAAAGAGTATTTGTGCGCAACATTTTGAACTATATATATATTTCGATTGTGTGTGTAATTAGTTTATTCAAGATGTTGAACAATGTCGCGTACGCCTCAACACAACTCACCAAGCATTTCGCTATCTACATAATTCGAGTCGGATGTTGAAAACGATGCCAAATTATTATTCTTTTTATGCTGTTAGGGTTACAAAGAAAAAAACAATATTCATTTGGCTTTGGAATGTGAATTTATTCACGTTATTCTTTATTTCGTCACATTTTTCATTCTTAATTACAAACAACAACAGATATACGCACAAAAAAACTATCAATGATGGTATGAAATTGGTGAGAAAAGCATGGTATTATAAGCCAAGAACGAAATGCTGCATTTTTTTCTTCTTCAAAGAACAAACAACTTTTCTCTCGACGAGCGAGAAAAACAAATCCAACAACAAACGAAGATAATGTCCAAATCATCGTTTTTGGAATGTATACAGTTTATTCGCGCAGCTTTTGTCTTCATATTTTCAGATAGTTTATTTGTTTTGTTTTTTGGTCATGCAAACGCAATTGTCTTACCCAAGATATGGTTTTGAGCGTAATTCGACATAGACTATACCATCTTCTTTCCATGTAATTAATAAATAATAACATTTTGTCAGGCAGCCAACAAAACACAGTCGCCCAATAAAAATCCAAGACATGCACCAGCATCGAACAAGTTGAGCTCGACTGCTTATAGCATTCGGAAAACTGAAAATGTTGTGCATTCGCAGGAAATGTTTGTTGTTGTCGTCGCCGTCACTATCAAACAGAGAAAACCGTCCAAATTATGAAATTGTATTGTACAAAAGACAAATTCTTTGCCGGCAAAGCTTCGAAGTGAAAAACCCCCATTCAAAACATTATTTGTATTTCATATCGCAAGCATTCCATTATACCAAGCAATGAATGTATTCTTGGAATTTTGTGGTTATTGTTGTTGCATTTGGTTATGTCCATAGTCATTTTATTAAATATCGCCATTTTGGGAAATTATAGTTTATAATGAGATAAAGTCGGTCACACAAAAATTCATGCGACAACGATTCAGCTTATTTTTGAGGTTTTAAGGGATATTTTTTTGTTGCAAACGACTGTACGTTCTTCCCGCAAAAGTATGAAGAATCAACAAATAAGATAGTAGGAATGAAAAAACTGGAGAGAGAGAAAGAAAGTAATAACCAAAACCGTATGAACGAAAGTAATGAGGAAAAACAAAAGGACGAACGAAAACAATAGGATTCGTAAATAAGATTTTCGTCCATTTGTTTCTTTTACTGTAAAACAAATTTCAAAACGAATGAAAAAAAACTCACATTGTTTCCGAATTGCAAATAAGCTTTGGCATTTCACGCTGGTTTTCCCTTGAAAGACAAAATATATAATAACAGAGGTACAAAAAAAGTGAAATGAAGAAAATAAACTTTAAGAAAGATACCATACCATGGACGGCATGTCGAATCTCATTTTAAGCATTAATATTATTTTTGCTTAGAATTTTGTTCGTTCTTCCTTTTCTGAACAACGTTCACTCGGATTGTTGAATGTGAATGTTCATGTTATTGTTTTCTCTTTATCTACTGCACGATATTGTGCCCATACACCCAAAGGTTGGCTGAAGAAAAGTAGGCGATGCCAAAATAACAACTATAAATTAAATATTCACCAGTGTCATTCAGTATGAAATTTGTTGAAAATTCAAAGGTCAAATTCACCTGTTTTCATTGTAGTGGTAAAATGAATGTTTACAACCGACACATTTCAACTTTTTCGAGGGTTAAAATGATTGTCGTATCGCTTCATTAGCGAGGTTAAGTTGTGTACTTATGATTTAAGAAAGGTCGGTCAAAAAAAGTGCAAAGATCTGCATTTAAATGTTGAGAAGGGTTGCATCATTTTACTGTTTACGTTATGAAGGAATTTTTTGCTGAATTGTACGAATGAACCTTATGATATAAAATCCCCTGAGTGACTTCCGTATCGAGTTGATTCAATTTTTTTTTTTTTTTTTTTGATTTAACTACTACAAACCGATGACTTTATGATTTTTTATAGCCACAGGTGACATAAACGAAACCGAAAATGTATTGTGTGGTCGCCGTATGAGTCACCCCCAATAACTTTTTGTTTTGATTATAATTCAATTTTATTGCATATTTCTAGTGGTTTCTTCAGAAATCCATGTACTAAAATCGTATATCCAAAAATAGAGCGAAAAAAAATTGTTATGAAATTTAGAGGGGACAACAATGTCATTATTGCCATCATTGTCGCGTTGTCCGCATCGGAGCTATAAAAACTTTGTCAAAATTTATCAGAAATGCTTTTTAGTCATTCTTCTTTTTCATTCGTAACATATCATGTTGTGTTGGTTTTTTTCTGCTCCTTTGGGCACAATGAAAACTGATGGTTTGTTGGCTGGTTGGACTTTTATTTTGTTTTGGTTTTTTTCTGCGACAGCGACACTCGACGCGACGCTAAACGAAGCAATGCATTTGAGTGGCTATCCAATACAGAAATCAAATAAATATTCCAAGAATGAAATCTCAAAAATATTCAGTCTCCGATACGGCATCACGATTTTTTTGTATGAAATCCTATCGAAAGTCAGAGAGAGAGAGAGAGAGAGAAGCTACAATTGTTTATACATTTTGGCTTTCGATCAAATGTGCTCCGGCACCAGACGAGAATATCATCACAATACGAGCAATTCGGTTCTAGGATACGTATTGCTGTTTGTTGCCGCTACCATTCATAAGATATTTTTTCATATCGTTCTCACTTTGGGTCGGCCGACAAAAAAATTACTGCAAAAACATTAAATAAAACTTTATTGAATTCTCTCTCAGCATACTTGTCTATATACATATATAAATCGAGGATATGGTTTTCAATGGGCAAAACTTTTATGAGACATATTGTGTTTTGTCCATGGAGAGTTGTTGTTTGTTTCTTCTGGTATATATGAGTTACATACAAGCACGTACTTCGTTACACGTATTTTTTTTGTTGCATTTCATTGTGTGTATGCTGTGCAGTAAACAAACATAACGAAGGCATTTGGTGTCAGTCGGAATGGAGTTCATAGCAAAAAGTAGAAAACATTCACGAAGTATCGATATACCGCCGTTTAAAAGTGAAAATAACAAATATCTTGCACAGTGGAATAGCGAAATGAAAAAATCTCTATATATTTGTATAAAGCCCAGCATTAAACACAATCGAGTACATAATTTTTGATCGTTGTTTCGCTCTTTTCATTGCAGGTAAATCGCTATTTGCGAAACTCAAACGTTCAACCGGTCGAAGGTTTGGAGGTGGTAGCCACATCGTAAGTTACATTCAGTATTGGAACTTTTGCACTTTTATTATTTTTCAGAGATTGATCCTATGGAGAGGAGGAACGATTAGGAAGCAAATGAGGAGGAGGCGAGCGCTGAGGAGAATCATTGAAATTGATTTTTGAGATCAAAAATCTTTTTTCCTCAATTGAAGAGGAGGATCCACTTAACCTCATTTGCCTTCACATAATTCCACCTTCTCAGAAAAACAATCCCTGCTATTTTTGATATTAAATTCAAACTTGGTTGCGAGAATGCCCGTCATTTATTATCTATTTTGATTTCTGAAGTACATCCAATGCGGCAATGAAAATTCAATTTATGGGCGCAAACCAAGATTCGAATCGTATTCGTGAAGCGATTTACAAAATGGTTGAACGTGGCCGAGTGAACAACATCACATTGATACCGTCATCATTAACATTTCGCGAAGAAGCCGTACTCCAAATTGAGGTTTGTATCTCTGCCTTCATAAATTTCATTTTAATTGATGTCACTCAATGACTGTTGTGAACGTATTAATATTCATTTCATTTTTAGTGTGTTAACGCGTCAATAAATTCCATTGAGCCTTATCGCTTTATATTTGTTGATGATGTCGCCGCATTTTGTACCCTTTCAAATTGTTGGCGTGTGTCTCTATTTTTTGCTATTTTTATTAACAGCTAGTTTATTTATAGCAAACCATTCGAAAATTTATCGACCAATTTTGCCGACCAATAGATTTGCCAAATATTTTCCACCATGGCCGGACAAAAACCACTGTTTGTGCGCTATTTTTTTGTATCATTTACTTGTTCGGTTGTATCATTCACTTCTCTGTTGTTATACCGATTGTTAGATTCATGGCTTTTCAAATGACATTATTGTTAATTTTCCCATCAATGCGATAGCATAAAATACTGTTTGGTCAATATTATTATTACAAGATCTATTTATCATGAAATAAACACATATTGATATAAGCAATAGAGTAAAAAAAACCATCGTTTGTTCAAAACATAATACGCGGTTTATTTTTTATGATCCCATCCGGTTTGTGGTTATACTTTTTGGCGACGTTTTTACAAAGCCCTTCAAATAATTGAAATTCTAACAAAAAGTGAAAACCAACAAATAAACTCGTAAAATATGTATTTAATCATATAACGTTCTATTGATTTCTGCAGTAGCTCCTCAGGGGGATTTTGCTTTGTGTGTCGCTCAAAAAACTCATAAAATTGTTTTAATGGATTTTTGTGCAGTGTAATATCGTTGAAAGTGACCGAAATATTTTCCAGAGCAAAAAAAAATGTATCAAAAATATAGTCATAAATTCACGTTTGAAACCAACTACCATGACGGAAAAAACTCCATATATATAAATTGTTTCTAAACACAAAAAAAAATATATTGAACAATTTTTTTAGCAGATTTCAAATCGAAATGTCAAACAAAACGAGTGCGAAAAAAAAGTGATGAAAAAGACTGAAAAAAATGAAAGGAATGTGTTTGGCTTTGTAACCAATTCTAAACACAGACACACACAAAAAAGTCATATAATCTAATTTACGTCACACAACCAAATCCCGCATGCATCCCCCATTCGAATACTGCGTGTTCGTTGATCGTTTTAAAATTCACCCATTTAACCGGTTCAATGTCTATGATAAATGATTATTTATGCGTTTTTTGACTGTTTCGGCTTTTTCTCTTTCTCTTTTTTTCATTTTTGTGCACGCATCCATCGGTACTGCAGTCGGTTAATGTAAATTACAAAACGGCCGTTCGACACAATGATGAATTCATTTTATCGTGCGAAGCAAAAGGATCACCGAAAATGGTTTTTCGATGGTATAAAAATGGTGTCTATGTCAATCAAACCAAAGCAACCAGGTAATTTGAATTTTGTATATTTTTTTTCTAGCTTGTTTGTCACGCCTTTGAAACATTTATTAAATTGGCTTCGTTTGCCGATGGTAGAAGTTTGTAAAGGACCAATATTTTATTATTGGCGAATGTCGACACAGATTGAAAAAAAGAGTCAATGGAAATTTGTGTTCAGAAGTGATATGATTCTCTCTTTTTGTTGAAACAAAATGTTGCACATGATGTTATGTCGCCAATCATATTCTCAACAAAATCACCAAATTGCATATTGGAAAGCACAAAAAAAAATATATGTGAAAGGAATCGTTAAATAAAGTAGGACGTAGATCGATCGGCAGTTGTCGGTTTCAAAGGATTAAAGATAATTAAATTGGTTAGAGTTTTATGTTTCCATTTTCAACGAAGTTTTTGGTTCAGATTTTAATTAATTTTTGCTTCTTTTGCATCGTTTGTCACCGTGTGTCAATACTGATATCGTTTCAAGATATCCATGTGAAAATGAAAAGTTTTATGAAGCTTTTTTATTGAAGTGTATGTCTTCAGCCGAGCGTGCATCATTTCTATCGAATGAGACAATTATTTTCTTTTGAATCGACGATTTGTACGAATATGAAATTATGAAATGAGGCCATTGAATTGAATCAATACACGTGGTGAAAGGTATTCGTTCGAAATCATAGATGGATAGACCTATTTATTTGAGGGGGGAATGACATATGTATCTTAGGGGTCCCCTAATAGGGGGGAGATGAATTTGCCAGCAAAGATGGAACAAAATCCACTTTTTTTATTTTTTTCACCGGGTACAGTCCCAGTCACGTATGTGACAAGGGGGGGTGCAAAACAACGAAATCCCCTCTCCCCATCCAGTCATTCAAAATGTTATCAATATAATCCAATCCAAAATGTATTTCGAAGCAATAATGAATTTCCACTACTTCAAAAGTGATTCTTCAAAAGAGTGCACCTGCACATTGCATAATGATATTTCATTGAAGACTTTCCCAATGAATTTATATTCGTTTGAATTGAAAACAGTTTCGACGCTAACAAAGATTTAGACATTTATATTTCTCTGTAACTGAACAAGTTCACATGGGTAGAAAAGAAAGTTCGCGACCCAAATCATTTTTTTGTGTGAATAAAGTTCGTTTCAACTGAGTTATTTGCAACAGACGCACACACACTGCAATATATTCTCAATATCTTTTGTCATGTAATCGAGCAATATTCCGATAATATATTATAATCTCAAACATGAGCAATTACGCTCAAACATCACGCGCGTTGAAGACACACACACGACTATTTATATGCGATGTAGAATCGGATTTTCACGTGACAATTTTTCTTGTTACCATTTTCATCTCATCATTCTCGTTACACGTTTCGCTTCATGATTTTTTTTCTCGCACATCGCTTGCTCCAATGATTTTTCTTTCGTCTCATATATATATATGGGATATGCGTTTGTTTATTTTTCATTCCAATTTCATGTTTTTTCTCTCTCTCTTCACTCCATATATCATGTGTGAAATTCAAGCATGCGACCGCTCGGCATGTTGGTGGGTAAATAAATATCATGATATTTCTGGAGTGACAGCACCATAACCAATGGTTGTTGCGTAATATGGATATCTTGGAAAGACAGAGAGCGAAACACCGAGATATATGAGAGCGAACGGGAATAATAAGAAAATCGAACAAAATATTCACTTTATTAAATATTACAAAACATACACCGAACCGAATGAGTTTTCTGCCAGAAGAGTGTCAGTGTCATTTCATAATTCGCATATATCTCGACGATGTAAAAAGAATTGAAGCTTGTAAGCGTGTTTGTGTGTGTGTCAGAATTCATCGAATTGTTTGAATAAACAAATGTGCGCATCTGTGAAGGCAATGTGTTATGTCTATTTAAACAAGAGCGAATGTGTATGAAATTATGAATGAACACAATGGAAATTTTCTCACATCGTTTTGTTATGCTGGAATGTGCGAAAAGGATGTTCATTTAATCGAATTATTTTATGTACTTTTCAAGCGCTTTTTTACCCTTTTTCACTGCTCCTTCTTCAACTATTCGCCAGAGACGCCGTCGTCTATTTGAATTTGCACTTGCATATCCAGTGTCGTATAGCTAACATGAGCGAAGAATCTCCGCCGGAGATTTGAATCGTTCAGATTTTCATCAAATGCAAATTTTGCATAATCGGAACTGCTTTAATCATCATTTTCCATCTGAAGTGTTTTTCTCAATCTCGCCTGTTTCACTTTCCGTGAGATTGGATTCATGGACGACGATGATGCTATTCAATCAATTCAAAAGAAAGGATGTGCGCGTGTCAACTTTGAACTGCAGGTTCAGTATTGATTCAAACCCATCAGCCAGAAATAAATTGAAAATCACAAAACAGATGATATTTTAATGATGGTGATGCAGCAATGTCTTCAAAATAAAATAGAAAATGTCTACAAATTCATGTATTATTTAAAATATTTATTCGCAAAAGTTTTTGGACTCACATTTCTGGAATGCATTGAACTTAAATTTCAATTTAATTAAAATGCATCACCAAAACTTGGAATTTGGAACAAAGTTTATGGAATCGATAGCGATACATTTAACCAACAACAAGACTTAAATGCTTAAATCGAATTCGTAAGACTTCGTTACACAAAAGTTACTTTTGAAAATTTACGGAAGTGCGATCCAAGCCAAATGTGCGCTCGCTTCGAATTCAATGTGTTGAATAAATAAATGGTATTGTATGTGGTTAATATGTATTTTGTTGTGCGTCGAAAACGTCAAGAAAATGTTCGGGCAATAAAATGGTAAGAACAAATTACAGTGTTAAACGAAACACCAATCGTCGGCTACGCTAAAACTTAAAATAAAACAATTGTATCGGGCGAATGTATAGCATTGATGAAAATGCAACGCAATGTTGTTAACAAACCATTCCACATTAAAGATGCCCGTCGTCGCGCTTCTATTTAGTCGGATAAACTTTGAAATTCCACGAATTTGTGGCTTTGAGGAAGGATAGAAAATAAAGGAACTAAGCGAATATTGTTCTTTTAAAATACCGTGTTGAAAAAAAAATGCTTGTTCATCGTATTATTTGATAGACTTGTTCGCTTGTGTTCGCTTGTACGAAAAGTTTTTTGGTGACGGCGTGACAATATCAATACAAACTTAATTAATTTCCTCGTTGCATTGTTGATCATCGTTTGGTTTTAAGTGATAATGATGCTGGCGCGGTGACGACGACAATGACTGCGATAAATTTAAAGGAAAAAAGAAGAAGAAAGATGCACGCAGATCAACAATGAAATTACTTTATTTTGCAGTTTTGTGCCGGAAAAAATGAATTAAAATTCTTCACCATCACTGAAAAGGAGATAATTGAACACGGTGCTTAAAGTTTGTGTGTCTTCTTAGTTTTTCACATTTTCCGGTATTGTTCAGTTGTTCTACGATTCGCATTATAATAAACCAATTGCGTACATCAATCAGAAACTTTTGTTGCATCTACACCATCGAAATTAAATAAACCCTGATAGATACAGAAAATGAAAACATGGAATGAATGGTGGCTGTGATGTGGTGGTGGTGAGAAGTAAGCAATAACTTTTAATCAGTTAAAATAGAAAGTTTTTCAATGTACGTAATGAAACCTTGCCATTGTGTTGTTATTGTTTTTCTTTTTTCTTTTTCTACTTAATGTGCAGCCTTTTACTCTACGCATTTATTTGTATACAAAAGCAAGAGAGCAATGTTCTTGTTGTTATTTCTTCTTGCTTCATTTGGCACCTTTTTGGAAATACTTACATGGTACTTTTACTTCTCTTTCTGCTTCTGCTGTCGATTTTTGTGGTTCTTCTCTTCGAATGCAGAAAGCACTTTTGTTTTCACAATTGCCACATTTACTTTGGTCGATTTTGTTGAGAGAACCCGTTGCAACCAAAAAAGAAAAACAAAATTGTAAACTTTTCTTATTGCATGCTTGGCTTCATTGCATGGTCATCGCTAACCAAGCCGAAATGAACCCGTAAACGAACGAATCCAAAAATGCAATTTACGCAATCGATGCGGTTGACAAACCGACAAACGATATTATGTTGAGAGAGAATAAAACTACGAGGCGAAAAAAAGTTACCAATTTACTGTGAACAATGAACAATAATAATACAATAAAAATTGATCGAGCGTTTATGTTTTAGAATCGTTTTTTTTTAAACAAGAGTTTTTCATTCGATGTTTTTGTTTTTTTTTTCTAGGAAAATATGGTCACGCGTACACGAGAATTCGCCGTCAAAAGATCACTATACAGCATTTCTCGGTATTCCGCGTGCAAGTCCACTGGATGAAGGAACATATACATGCACGGTAAGTCTTGATAACTTTTTTTGAAACAATTGATTTTATTTAGTGGAACTTCAGGTACAATAAGAAAAGCTTATTTTGAATCCATTTTCGATATAAATAAGAAGAAATTATGTTCGAAAGGCTTTTTCGATTCTCGAAATGTCAAAGTTATGAAAGCACTGCATGTAATACGAGAACAAGATTCAAATTATTATTAGAAGTGATTAGTCTTGTTATTAAAATAGAACATAGACGAATATAATCGTTTATATTTTTGACGTTGTGTGGATTTTCGATGAAATAAACATCCCACATTTATTGTTCGTCGTTTGTGCAGCTAACGAGCCATTTTATTATATCGAAATGGGTGATATTTTTATAGCTTGAATTTATTGTTACAATGGCCTGTAGGCCAAAATTTCGCCAGCTTTTCGTGATGGGGAGGAATAATTTTCATCAGGGGGTGCTTGAAAAAATTGTTGTAAAGCAATATTTTGGAGGAGAAAAAGAGTAGATGAGATCTTTCCTGTTGTGTCTTTGATCTCAAGAGTGAAAAATTCGTAATGAATTCCTGAGGGAGGAAGCGTGGACTCCATTGCAAATGAAATAAATTAAATTATATTTTCTGAAATCTTCGAAATAAACACAATTCAAATGTGCACCATATACATAAGCTATTAAGTTAAATGGCAATAAATTCGCTTTGCGTACATTAAAACAATTTATATCAACAGTCCAATTTTATTTCAACTGTTTCATTCCGTAAAAGCCGCAACATTTGGTCGTTATAATTTAAAGCGTGATATGAATGTGAAAAAAAAAAATTGTTGTCGTAAGTCACAACAGAAGGGGCCGTTTGTCTTCTTACACCAATCATTCATAAGTGGTGGTAAATTCGCGCTTTTGACTTGACGCTTGTTATGCAATGGTCGTTGTTGCCGTCACCGCGCGCGCCTCATTCTCATTATTACACATCGAGTGTGTGCTACAGAGACAAAATGAATGAAAAATTGCAGTATATGGTCTTGTTATAACTTAACATTATGATTTATTAGCGCATAACAATGAATATGATGTCAGAGTGTGTTTTTATGCCATTTGTATTTCGCTTGGGCGAAAATGTGTCACCGCATGTGTAATAGACATTTATTACATATATTCTACATATGTATTTTGGAAATGCTTATGCAGCAAAGTGGCATTCATGCGTGATATTTGGTGGTGAGTTGCAGAGAACGCCGAAACCAACAAAACAATGTAAACTCTCTCTCAACTACACATATACAATTGACGCACACAACTATATAAAATGCAATGAATAATGGCGTCACCACTGTGTTACACTGCACTTCATATTAAGCCACGAAAAATTTGAGTCCAAAACCAAGTTGAACGAAGTTTGTTGATATTTCAGGCCACAAATCCCATACAAAGTAGCATGTTAAAGGCGCTGTCAGAAACATAATGTGCCCGATTTTAACTTATCCCGTGAATTGGTTAGACGCCACACTTTTTCTTCCTTTTCGTCTTCTCTTTTTCTCTCTCTCTCTCTCTGTCTCTTGTTCGTACTTTTTCGTTCTTCTTGCCACGTTGGTCCTTATAAATGGTACATTTGAAATTGAGAAGCAAAAATTAACAACGGAGCGAATGGTTTTAATAGAATTTTCCATCCCAATGCATTGACTTTTCGGCACACAGCGTGATTTTTCTTTCGACATGTCAATTCTATACTCTTTCATAGTTTGACGTAGTTTTTGGACTTTTTGTAAGGGTTCATATGTTTTCTCTTCGTGAAAACCCTCATCATTATAAATAGAATTATGAAAAAGAGAAAAAAAGAGAAAAATATGAATTTATTCGGTGAAAATATGACGATTGAATGAAAAACCAGCAAAAGTTGTGAAAATAAAATGTGTCTAAAGTAAGCAATAATTGTCAGAAATTGAGGTTGCCAAATCCAGAAAAAGTGGTCACATCACCATCAATTGTGGTATCAAATATTTCAAAGTGTTACATTTTGATGGATGATTAATGATTTCAAAGTGTTGGGTTGTGATTTAAGCAGGCCATTTCCATCATATAAAATTCGTTTTCCGTGTTATCATATTTTTGTTGTTGTTGCTTTCTCGAGCCATTCAAAAGACGCATTTTAACATTTGACAAATAAACCGCATTTTGATAAATGAAGCTAATGGGTTTAAAGAGTCAGATGCTTTTTATATCGAACGAACGAAAGCCGCATTGAAATCGGTCGCTTGGAAAAGAGAGAGAGAAAAAGAAGAAAGTCGTTCACAGTCATAAATCTTGGCTCGCTAATTTAATTAAGTCATTTAAAATAAGATTTCAGCCAAGTGGATGAGGGCACAGAGTGTGTTTTTGTTTCCGGACCAAATGTCATGCATCGCTTTCGAACCATGAAATGGCCGATCCACGGGGCGATGCCATTACATTTTCACAACGGGAAATGGTGAACACCATAAAATATCTTTGCAAATAAAAATGGACTCGATATGGGCACTTTGTGTCGATTGGTGTACCTTTTATTTATTTTTAAGGTGTGAATGTGTTTATTTATGCAAACAAGGTGCACGATTTTATCATAAATTACCGCTTTTTCTGGCTACTTTCGTAATCGTTTGATCCGGATATGTACAAACTACCCGCTCTTCATACGATTTGCTCACCGGTTTTTTTATGCATAAAATTTATCGGGTGTGAACGTGTTAGAAACGCACCATTATGCTTCGCATAATTATGTTTGAATGGATCGTGCCAGTTAATCTAACGTAAATAGTTAAGAATCGTCTTGTTAGTGTATATATTATGAACCATAATGTGCTGTCGTAATTTTTCATTTTGTTGTCAAAACATAGTTTTTCATTCGTTTGCAAACAAAAAAACCACCATATATTTCTCTAAACTGAGTCATCTTCTTATGTGAATTGTGCCAAAAAGCAGTTCTTCCGGTTCTTTGGCATTAAGTTTGCGCACCTGAATCAACTCACGTTCCACTTCAAAGTGTGTCTTGTGCCAATTCCGACCCCCTCGGTCTCACTTCATCGGAAAAAGTTCGATTGAGCCATTCAAAAGAGACAGAAAAACGAACGTATTAGTAGTGTTCAAGTGTACTTCGATTATGATAAATGGATTTTGGTTTTACTTTGATTTTCGAATTTCTCGTTGAGATTTTCAATGAAGTAATTCATGAACGCAAACGAAAATGTTCAAAATACTACTTTTATCCACTAATTTTTTGCCTCGTTTTTTTAACCCTTTACTATCCTTGTACGCTTTTTGACACATTGCAGTCGAATTGTACGAATAAAACTTTGTGAAACGAAAAATATTTCTCCGAATTTTGAATGGAGCACATTCAATATTTAAACAGGAAGAAATATTCATCCGGAACGTGTGCATTTCAGTATTTGAGCATGTTTCATCCTCTCTCGGCATCGGGTGTTATTGCCCATTTTAAGTATTTTTCACATTTTGTTGATGAGCTCAGGCTTTAAATGTTATGGCATGTACACATTTTAAACAATACGATCCGATACCTTTTCACGTTCGCCGAACACGTACGATATACCGTTTTTTTTCTTCCTTTTTTCCTTCCAAATACATCAGTCCTCCTCATCGTTGTCGTTGTGTTCTTTTTAAGTCTCCATTTATCTTGCTTTTGTTGGCCATCACTGGTGATGGTGGTGCTGTTGCTGTTTTTATCGAGCTTTTTAACGCTGGCATATTTTTTTTGGCACAATGTAACCGTGTGTGTGTGCGCGTTGTTTTTGCTGGCCTCTTCATCGATGGACGTGATTGTGTATTTTAATGCGAAACGCTTTCGGGTGAAGCACAACCACGAAGATATATGTAAGTGGATGTTCTGACGATTCTAAATGCGATTTTCTTCTCATATCAACAAAATGTATCAGTTTTTGGGCATTTTTCTCTCTTTCGCCTCGGTTATGTGTCAGTAGCTCGTGCGTATGAATGATATCCCAAAATACTTTAATGCATTATTGTAATAATTTCCCTGTAAAGTGGCATATATTCATGGAATGCATGCAAAATTTCACGTTTCTTCCACTTCTTCGCATAGAGAGAAAGCAACAAGACAAAAAAGAAATCCGCTTCGTTTCGCTTCGGTGAAATATAATCAAAAGTAATAGAAAAGAAGAGAAATTCCACGGCGTTCGGTTTCCTCTCCGAAGAAGATGTATGTGAAAAACTCGATGGATAAAATAATAGTAAATATTTGCATGTACTCGGATGAGAAACCGAAACGAATTTCGATAATATAGTTTAAAGTATATATTTTTCGAAGAAGAATTGAAGTAACCAACGAAACCATTGTGTGTGTGTTCATGTAAATATTGCATTTAGTTACGAGCACACACAAAACCGTCGCATTCACTTTTGCATCGGGCACAGCGACACACACAAATTCGACGCAAACACAATGAGAGATAACACCGAAAACATGCCACATCGAATTTATACAGTTGCATTCGAATAAGATACATTGTGTGCAACTAACCGAAGATGATAATAAATGCAGTTGGTGTTTTACATGTACGTATTTTTTGAGGTTGCAACAACGCTTATCGCAATGCATATCCCAAGTATGAGACAAGAAAAGCTAAATTCAACTGCAAAAAAATGTAATGACACACTTGCATTGCAGTATATTTATCCATTTTAAAAAGAAACAAATCGATATAACCATTTCAAGGGATCGTATATGAACGCATACATGCATCCATGTGATTTGCTTTCTCTTCAGAACGATTGTTGGGAATTGAAAATTGTTCGGTTTTGTATGACATTGAAGGTTAAATATGTTGAATATAAATTGAGAGATTTGCTTCTAGTGTTTGGCTTTTTCGAGCAAGGAGCTTCGGTGGAATGTGGACGTGAATGTGCATGGGGGAATGCACGTTTTGAAATGCCCTCTCCATGTGGATTTGGAGTATCATTTTAAAATAATCTCATACACTCTATAAATTCCACACTTTTTAGCACTATTTAAATGATAATAAATCAAAATTTACGCCGAACATGCGAAGAAGAAGAAGAAAAATGTGAATGACTTGGCAGTTGCTTTCCCATTTCCTTCGGCGATCAATTCGTGCAACATCTTGGCTTATACTCTTTTTTCACTCACTTTCTTTCTCGGTCTTTTTTCTCTCGCTCTTCCTCCTTTTTTGGCGTGTATCTCTTTTTCGGTAGCCATGAACAAACGAGAACATGAGATGTTGCTATTTTCAATTTGAACTATTTACACAGACCCTTAAAAAAATGGTTTATCCAGCAAATTTGATAGACATTGTTCAGTATAGCTTCCGGTGTGTAGCGTGTGCACGCGATATTATTTTCCGTCACAGCACATTTTGAAGTATTCAAGTTTGAGCGAACCACTTTTCAAGAACAACAACACCAACAAATATTCACGACGAAATGTCTTTCTTCCTTTATTATAAACGATCTCTCACAGCATGCTTATTTATTTTTCCATCTACTAAATCAAGTACACATTTTTTGGCGGGAAATAAGTGTGCACAAGATAATATGAAAAAAATGATGAGAGCAAAAGTAAAAAAAAAAAAACACAGAGAGAAGTATTAATGCATCTTTAAAAATGCCAGCATCACGTTTATTTGCATCGAGAAAATCCTATTGTTTGATTTGCTGCCAGTTGGCGTAAAACCATAAATTTCAAATGTTCTACACCATTAATAGAATGGAATTCGACACAACGTAATACAACCGTTTCAACCTCGAGAAAAACCACCAAATTTTTCTTTGAAGCATAAATAAAACACAATTGTGCATTTTATACGGTTGCCTTTTTTTACAACGTCGAAAATGAAAACGATAAAAAATGAGCCAAATGGTAATGGGCGAAAAAATGAATTCATACTCTTGATCCCAGTTTAATGTGCATGGACGGTGTTGAGTACATTATTTGTTTTTTCAAGTTAAAAGATGGCAAATGATTCGAAGTAAATGCAAAACAATAAAAGCGAGTTGGCGAAAAGCTGGTTGCAAAATGGACAAAATGTGCACAAAAATGTTGTGCTGCGTCATGAAAATAAATTTTTGGAAAATTTGTGAAAATTAGTATGTATGTTAACGAGACATGGCCTGTCTGTTATTTTTGAGGACTTCTACCGGAATAATAATAACCACCAAAATTGTGAAATTGTACGGTCATCAACCCTTTTTTTGCCGCATGGAAAAGTGGTTTGGTGTTTACTTACTCATTTGCAAACGGCAATATCAGGAACAACATTCGTAGCATTAAAGGATTCAGCACAAATGAACGTCACGGAGAACGAATGAAGCACATTAAAATCACTCACGACAAACCGAAACTGAAAAAGGACATTTTAAGAAGAAAGAAAATATTTACAAAAATAAAAACGAAATTTCACCATAAGTAAGCAAATGAGTAAGCAAATGAAGAAAAATTCATACACATAAATATATAAAAGAGTGGAAGTTGTAGAGAAAGCAAATGACGGTAATTATACAAACAATAATCTGAAGAATGAAATTGTGCACAGCCATGTCATGTATGTGTATATATCAAGAATTTTGCAGCACTGGAGTGAACGAGCGCGGGGGCTAAAAATCCAATTAAAATTCATGCGCACCACAGAAATAACACTAAAAATTTAGTATATTTGTATGTGTGTGTTTGTGTGTGTGTCATCACAGCATCATGCTGAAAAACCGCAAAAACAGACCAACAACTAAAAAACTGACATAAAAATTCAAATTAATGACAATTATGCTGTTTTTGCTGTCTCTTTCTCCTCTTTCGCTCAATTTCTTTGTGTGCGCTTAAGTGGTATTTTGTAGAAAGTATCATTTGTGAATTGTAAAAGTATGAGATGTACCGAAGTCTATAAAAAGTTGTGCGGAATTCTATGAAAAGCACTAAATAAATGCAATCCAGCACAGTATGGGAAATGCCAAAAGTAAGAAGTCACATTGAAAAGGCGTATCTTCAGAATATAAGTGGCATTGTGAAAAAAGAGCACGAGGCAAACGAACAAGAGAAAAGAGTTGAAAACTGATAGAAAGGATCAGAGTGAAGGGAAAGAGAGAACATAAAATGTAATTACCTCAACGAAGACATCAACAATTTCGATAAACAAATATTGCGTCTTTTCTTTACAAATTCCTGACATTTATTTTTCACTTCACAAAAAGTTCGAGTATGTATATGCTTTTGTCTAAAAAATCGTATGCGTTGTGGTTGCTGTCCACTGTGCTGACGTCAATAACACTGACACCAGCATTACGTTCGACGACAGCAGCTCATATTTCAGTCTGGGCAATCAACAGTTGATCAAGAAAATGGAAACTTATAGAATTGCTGTGTGTAAATAAATGTGTATGTCCTTGGCCCATTTTCATCGACCCAACTATACTCGTTCAAACCATATTGTTTGCATTTTAATGGACGCTTCACTTCATCGTCATATTTGATTCAATCTCAGATTCAATTCCATTACTCACAACGTTTGTTAAACATGAAAAATCAACAAATTTGTTCAGCTTTTCAAAACAACTTTCATGTATAATTTGCAAAATACGAATAAATTACCATGCCAATTCTTGAGACCATTGGAAATGGACCATTCTTTTGGTTGTGCAAATGCAAAAGTTTGCATATTTATTGTTGTGCAAATATTCAGCGAAGTAAATAAAGGATAACAATCAAATAATTTCCATTCTATATTACCCTAGGTCAGTTTCAGCTCGTTTCAATTTTGAAGTTCGGAAAAAGTTTTATTGCAACAATTGTTTTGAAAAACTTGATAAAAATCAGGTGTTGGGTTAGCCAACCGTGTGGCGTTGTCAATCAATTCAAAGTTATAACATTTTTTTTTCGCTTGCCGTACTTTTCTCTTCCGTCATTTGGAAGAGCGGAATGAATGGAAAAACTTTTCGTGTTATTGATTTATATATATGTGTGTAAACTATATTTTTGGGATGTTGTTGTTTTTTTTTATTCATCAAATGGTCACCATTTTATTTTGCAGGTGTTCGACTATGGTTTGCAACAATGCCGTTCAACAATCGTACAGGTTTCATCGAAACCAGAGCTTCGACTTGATCCACCCAGTGCAACGGTTTATCGTGGTGATTCGATTCGCATACGATGTTTATCGAGTGATATTGATCAAAGTAATGGTTACAGTTGGACCAAAAATAATGCGCTCTTTCAATCGGATGCGGACACAGAATTATGGGAAGATTTATATCCCGATGGGAGTATATTGAAAATAAATAATATTCAGGTGATTTATATTCATTACAAGTTATCCGTGTTTAGTATTTCGACTATTTACGTCTATATTTATACCTACATTGGCATTCAACTCACAACACTGTTTGTGTGTGTGGGAGATTTTTCTTTTGTTTTCGGCATGGTTTTTGGTGTTTTTTTTTTATATATATCTAAGCGGGTGAGAAAATCGGTGTATGTATGTGACTGTGTCAGAAGCTGAAAATGGTTCATGACAAATGGTAAAAATGTGCGTGCCCAGAAATAGAATCGAAATCCCAAGTGCTATTTAGAGAGTGCCTGTTGCAGACGGGTGCTTTTGGTAAATCTTTTCAAATTGCGCAATATTTCCAACGATGAAAATGTAATGTGAAAAATGAAATGAATCTGTCAACGGACACTCTAAAATGTACAGTGATAAGATTGCTTATAAACATGATACTTACTTTTCAATTCATCTATCGATTTAGTTTTAAAAACTATTTTTCATTTAAATTTGAAATAAATCATTTTTCCACAGAAATCGGCAAACTATACATGCGTCTCATCAAATTCCGTGGGTCAAGTGTCGAAGAGTGTTTATGTATACGTGGTGGATCGTGGTGTCATTGAACTATGTGCAAATGAATCGTTGTTCGGTGTTAATTGGCCAGCCAGTCCGCCCGGTTCCCCCATTTCGGCCGAATGCCCAAAACGATATGAGGGTCAGTCGCAACGGATATGCGAACTAAAAGATACTGGCAAACCTGAATGGCTTACGCCAAACTTTTCGGGATGCTCAGCAGACACATTAGTCGATGTGTATAATGAGGTAAGTTTTACTATACGGCCTATTTTAAATCTCTCCCCGAGCACTACTTTTAACACATAAAGACTGTGCGAACGTGAGTTGAAACATTCAAAATTTAATGAAAATAGTTTACAAAATCAGTTAAAAATTAATGACTGTGTACAATGAACTTATAGTATATACATTATGAGTTTAAGCATTGTTTTGTGTAGTCGTTAGCAATAGCTTTTGAATGATTCTGTTGTTTGTGTCTCTTTTGTGTTTGCAATTTCATAAAATCATAATTTTCCGTTTAATGAAAACTCACGCAACAATTCAAACATTGGTGATTGCTTGGGCGGATTGCCATTTATTGGAAAAGTTTATACATTTTCAGTGACGGCATTACATGGACACACTCACACATTTTTGCATGATTTTATTTTGGCCGATTGACATGCACAACTATTTACATTCCTCATATTAACCCATTCTACAGAGCCTCATGATGATATTGACTGCGTCATTCCTCATTATATTTACTTTTCATTTGTTGGCTCGATCTCCAATCAAAAAAATTTCCATTGCTATGCAAATGTCCAAAATAAAATTAAACGATATTGGCGTGCATGACAAAAAAATATTGTGCCCATACATTGTATGATCTGCCATTTGGTTCAGCAAGGCCAGTAGCTGGAAAAGAAATTGTTATCCTTCAAAAAATAAGAGAAAACTTTTACATTAAGTGAAACATTTTACACATATTCTAAAGAAACTTTGAATTGGTTTCTCTGTGCAAGTTTGGCCGTTCTCAACAGTAGTCTTGGCGATGATTGAGGCTCATGAAACAAAAAAAACAAACACAATTCAATTTCTACTTTGGAATTGTTTACATTTACGACTACAAAACCAGTTTTCTCTTCCTTTCGCTATATAATTTTATGATTATATGTCGGAGTTTCTGTTCTATCAACTAGTTTTCAATATTGAAGTGAAATCATAACATTTTGTCAACTGAAGGAAAAAAACATCTTCGTATAAACTACCAAGTCACGAGAAAGCTATCATTACTGGGTCAATTTTGTTGACACATGAACTGGTGTAATAAAAGAAAAAAAAACTTCAAAAGATTTTTTTACGTCTAATTCCTGGCTGCGTTGGGTATGAAAATCCATATACATAACTTTTCAGCGAATTCACAGTGATGATTTGTTTTTTGAAAAGGAACAACTTCTGGATGAACATTTTTTTTATGTTTTCCTTAAACTTTAATGGAACAGAATTTCACACCGCCTTTTCATATTTTAATTTTAAATTCATTTCAGTGAGGGAAAATATGAGTTAAGGATGGCCAAAATAAATATAGTGCGCGAAGAATCTTGCATCATGTTTTGGAAATATTTTTAGATTAAAACTGAAAGTACTTCACAAGGTCGGGCAGACTTTTTCTGTAGAAGGGGGCATGTATCATGGCGAACCCTCTAGACAATCGAAAAATTTCAAAACCCCACATTTTTCGTTTTGTTGACCTGGGCAAATCCCAGATACGTGTGTCACTGGCAATGGGGCCAAAACATGGAATTTCCCCCTCTGCCCACCTATAGCTTCACAATACATGGCTTTATGGGACTATGAGTGGTCCCAAACACGGATAAGTTATAGAGTATATATTCTCCCACGGCCAGCCTTATCCCTCCGTTTTTTATTCTCTTTAGCTCACACTTTGGAGAAAAAGAGAGAATGAAAGAGAGCGCGTGTAAGGCTTTCAAAGTGCCATTCGCTGTCTCTGGTGTAGGTTTGCCTATAAGAATGAAAAATTCATATTTTTTTCCATTCTTCTGCACTTCGTTTTCTTATTATTACATATGCGAATCATTTTTTTTTCTCACAATTTCGTACACTGTCTCCGCTTTCATTTTATTTTCTCAACATTTTTCATCTCTTCTTTTAGTTTCGAGGTCTTACGTTTGGTTATCAAAAAACGAATGGATCAGCTGTATTAAAATCATGTTTAGAATATGCAATGAGCCGACATACAAATTTTCTTCCGGGCGAAGCTGGATTTTTGCTGAAAATACTTCTCAAGGTTTGTATATTTACATTCGCGCACCAAATCGACGCATTTTATTATTTGCACTTGGGCATTGAACTCTCGTTTCACATTTGCCCAACGGCACATTTTTATAAATGTATACGGAATTCAAAAGCGAAGAGATTTTTGTCTCTCTTGAATAAGCCAAAACACTATAGACCATTTTCATTATGAATGAAAAATATATTGGAAAAAGCTCGGATTAAAGATGAAAAAAAAATGATGTGAAACATTTCCCTAACCACTATACAATTCAACAATTGATTAATTTATTACCTTTGGCTTCCAAACATCGAACAAATTGACGAAAAAATTGGTTGAAACTCCCGAAAAAAAACCATTGGAGAAATAAGTTCTCGTTCATTGGTCATACATAATACATTGACAAATTAATAATCATCATAATTTTGTTTGGATGGAAAAAAACCACAATTTCAAATTTAAAAAAACCGATACACCCAATTTCAGTGGAACAAAAAACACAGCGGCAGATTTTCATTAATTAAATATGGAACGACAAGCTATAGTAAATAATTTAAGCATGAGTTTACAATGATTTCATTAATATATTTTCGAAACACACATACACAGGTCGATGAATATTTAACGGAACGCGGTAGTGAAGTGGAGCAAGAGATCGCAGCCGATTTAACATTGCAAATTTTGGACGTGGTTCTGAAAAGCGAGCACTCACTGAACAGTCAACAGGTAATTGATTAGATTAAAATTCATACTAGAAGCTTCATGTTATAAAAGAGAGAGAAAAAATTTGGGAAATTTTCGCTTAGCTTTTTCAAGAACTTGTTTTTTTGGTGATCTGGCATCAATTTTTTATGTTTTGCAGCAAGCCAAAACTGTTACAAAAACTGGCTTATAATATTGTTGGTGTTTTTTTCTCATGTTGAAGTTTTTTTTGTTATTCAAGTATCAAATTCTCGCCCGAAACTTGCGAGAACAACTTTAATCGGTTACCCATTCACAAATACATGAAAAATTAACCGCGCGAAATAAGCACAGCTTGCTCTCTATCTTAAAGTGATTTCAACTTTGTGAAAGCAGGAAACACTAGTTCTATATCCGGCATTAAGTATGTTAATGCCTTCCCCCCATTTTATGAATATTTATTATAAACTAGAAGCCACACACATGCAAATACATATAATGCGAAATAGAAACTTACTTTTTGCATGCGTGTGTGCCGTGCCGCGCGCGGTGATCGTATGTACGATGTGTGCCAAAATCTTTGTTGTATCCGCAATTTGGTTTCAATGTGCTGGCAAAGCTTGATAAAACCCCCAAACAGACGAGCATTGCTTATCTGACGAATTCTATAATCGTGGCTGGGGAATTCGCTAAAGTTTTCCGAGTAATTTCCGAGAAATGAAGGTAAAATGGTTCAATTTCCTGATATGAATAGATCCCGTGTGTTCGTATTGTCACGTTTGTACATTTCATAAATACAACGAAGATCTTATGAAATTAATTTGGAAATTACGCGAAAATGATACTTGTAATTACACAGACTAAACAATCAAAAGAGCAAAGCAATCAAAATACAAAACCTCTAAAATGAGCATCCATTTCTCTGGAGAGGATTAAGTGTTTCTCTGTGGTGTAAATGAAAGTAATCGCTCGTTTATTTACAACTTGTAGCCGTGAATCGTGTGCATGGCAACGATAAATATAATTAAATACATAAAACATGTGCTTCGCTTTTTATTCGAAACACATCAACCATCTTAGGAGCAAGTTTTTTTTTCTTCATATCGACGCACATGGTTGACGAAATATTGTCACAGAATCAAAACACATCATGATGGTTTATATTTTGTTTAATCTAGTCGTGCGTACAACATTCGCGGAATTTCGATAAGCAACCTTCTTCCCTTTCCTTAAGTCATCAGCCTATTGCTTCGCATGTTGACATATTGTCATCGTAATCTTTTACTATACCGAAATACAGAATTTGCGACAAAAATCAGATAAACAACAACAAAAATCCGAGAAGAACTTTGAGAGTTGGCAACATAGTACCACTTATATCGACGAATACACATTTGTGTCAAATAATGATAAAACATACATGCTATACATGATTTCAGTTGTAAAAAACATACAAAAAAAGAAAAGTGTATTTTTTTACCCAAATAATAGAGATGGTAACTAGTTTTAAAAATTATTCAATCCGAAAAAGCGCCAATTTTATATGGGCAATGACTACGAAAAATGCATCAACAATTTAAGCTAGAGGATTAAATAAAAGCCTTATTGAGCATCGATTTGTTTTTTTTTTTGTAGCTGTTGTACATTTTGCTGGAAGCCAATGTGAATCGATTTAAAGCGCTTTAGTTTGTTTTGTTTTCATACATTTTGAATATTTTTGTTTTGTAGCAAGTGGAAGATTTGCAGAAGCTCGTAAAATTGGCAACATTGAAACGTGAACTGATTACATCAGCACCGGTGCCAGCACCTTCAACATCTTTACACTACCATCAAACCGGTTCGTTTTGGACACACAAAGAACGTATCAAATCGTTACCATTTAGTTCACAGTTTTATGGGTAAGTTTTGCTTTGAACTCTTTTTTTCTCTTCATTACAATCCGGGACACACAGATATGTACCTATTTTTGTCCAGGGGAAATGTCCGTCTACGTCCTCCAACTTTTGTTTGAATGTCAAATTTCCGTTCGTTGATTGGTACAAATTTGTGCAGAGACCTCCATTGAGGAGGAGGAAAATGAGGAGAAGAGCGCTGAAGAGTACTCAATTGGGAAGGAAAATGTTTTTAACCAAAAAAATATATTTAGATAGAAATAGCTCTTTATAAAAAAAGGTTCTTCTTCGATTAGGGTGGAGGAAGAGGACTATCACAGTGCTCCCGATGTCCTGATTTTCCCCTTCTTTCCCTCAGAGGAACGGTCAATGAATTTGTGTGAATTTCAAAATTCATTACCGTCCGTCCCTAGCTCTGTCCCAAATCGTCTGGACGGACAAACAGAACCCTTTTTGTCGCTGCTAGTTATCCGATCCCCATGTTTTAGTATTTGGTACCTAACTGTAAAATCGCTGCATTTTGAACACATCCAATCATTTGCTCAATCGCGAGTGTTTTTGGTTGCCCAAAGCGGATCTTGTTTTGTGTTAAAAAAACCGTTGTGTGTATCGTTTTTGTAATAATCAAATTTCCACCCGAAGTAGACAAACACACTCGGTTTAACTCAATGAAAGTGCAGCATTGTGTACAACAACGATTTCAAAGATCATTTACATGCCCTAATCTGTTTGTGTAGTCGTCATGCGAGCGTGACTGAACGCGAAGTTTAATTAATTTGCTCAGAGTAATGTGTTTCCCTCCGACCGAAAAAAAGTGCCATCCAGATTTCATACACGAAAGGCAACACAGAACACAAAAAACATTTGTTTTTGTTTTTTTGTCGTGCTTTTCTCACATTTTTTGTTTCGCTTTCGGTTCGGGAAAAAAGAATAATATACGTTCTCTATGTGTAAATTTGTATTCGTTAACTCAACATCGTATTGGCTGTCATACGAAGCATGCTTTGCATATGGATTTTATGCACTTTTTCGCAACTGAATGACACTCCATTTTTCTTCTCTTTTTCATTGTCGTGAAAAATCTTTGTTTGAAAGAGAAAATGGTTTGTCAAGAATTTTACGGAACTTTTTTCGTTCTTATCCGTGAACCTTTGAAATGCTTGACAATTTTTTTCCTCTTGCACTCGTTTATTGCATTAAAGCATCAGCAGTACAGGGAACGTGTGATAAAATGCGTTTGTCATAGCTGCTTGTGAGTGTGCTGCAAATAGCGTTATTTTATTAAAATTCTAGTTAAAATATTTCATATAACAATTGGAGTTTTTTTAGCATCGCTGAGAAATTTACGTAATCACCTTTATGACTACTTTTTCCTTACTTTATCATATTAAAAACTTCATTATGCACAAAAAAATGAAAATTCCTATTCGATCACCAATGGTGATTCACCATAAATATTGATGACAGTGAAAAACATTCTTCGTCCAGACGAGCTGCAAGTAAAAAAAAAAGTCGAAAAAACTCATGAAATATTCAAATAAATGAAATGCTTGAATTCATTTTCTCACCGGAAACACCACGCAGAAGCATTTATTACATTTTTCACTCTTTTGGAATTTTAAAATCATTCACGGCTACTGCACACAACCCGTACACTATTCAACATTATTTTGTCGAACCATTCATCAATGAATTTCAGATGGGTGTAGCACAACTCCAACGATAGTAATTCTGTAGGAAAATTCACATTATTGATCGCATCGGTCTGATGCATTCAAAGAAGCCGATGATTTCTTTTTTTCAAAAAGTCTGCATCAATGTAAGAGAAATATTTTCGTTTTCACGTCAAATCAGTCTGGATGTGAGTTCAGCAATTTCATTAAAATGACAAATTCACTGACCAAAAATATGCATGACTCAAGCAAATAATGCGGGATTTTAGATGCTGCAATTTTGGGATAAAATCAGTCAATGGATTTTTGTCCAGTTATGTCGAATATCTAACATATTTCAGTCTGAAATTGAAATACAATCAATTTATTGTCTCTTGAACACATTATCGACTCATTGATGTTCAATCACATAAATATTTGTTCCCATTATTGATATTCACACAATCTCTAAAACTCTGATGCAACATTCAATTTAAATGAGAGAACGGTTTAGTATTCATCTCAGAGAGTGAAGACATTATCGTACATTATTGATTATCATGAATCGTATTGACAATACGGTATTGTCTTAAAATCTGTCTTTAATTTTATTTCGTTTATGATTCAAGTACTAATTTTTCCTTTCGTTTTGTTTTTACAGTGACCATATGTTTTCGGATCAACTGTACATGGAGATGGCGCTAATGCCACAACTACAGGAAATTGTTACCAACGGCTCAATGGTATTATCCGTCATCTCGTATAAAAACCTTACGAATTTTCTGCCCCGAATGTATTTCGAGCGTAATACGTAAGTACTTTATCCGTTCTGAAAACAATGAAAATAACAACAACCAAACAGAAAAGTTGGACCAGCCGCCTAAAAAAAGTATACGCCAGTGTCTAGACAATCCATCGCTATAATACTCAACTCGGACAATGTTTAAGCTTTTTTCCATCTTATTTATCATATTTCAAACATGAGTTGTTCTCGACCCAACTTAATTGAAGTTATTATCGATTTTTGTACACGCACAAAAACCATCAGATATATATGTTAAAATCTCAAATTTGTCTTTATGATGATTCATCATTAAATATTAACATTTGGAGGAAAAAACCAACTCAGTTTGGAATGAAGTTAAACGGTCAAGATAGCAGAAGAAGACCGAAATAATCCAAAAAAGCAACGAAATTTGACGTCGAAACAAAAACTGTCACACCCATCATCTTTCTCTCATCAGAATAAAGAAGAAAATCAATTTTGTTTCTTCTTTCGCTATTAAATTCATTCAAGTCAATTTCCCAAGCAATTTCCATTTCCTTGAAATGACATCAAATGTCAATATTCCCACATTTGTTCAGCTGTCGGCATTTGTCTTTCAATTTATGTACGAACACGAAGGAAAAATCTACAAAAAGTCATTTCACCATTTTACTTCCACATAAATTATGTTTGGAAAATTGTAAAATTGAATAGCGAATCTGCTAGTCGTTCAGTTCAATATCATCTCGCTTAAAATGTAACATTTCGGACCAATTTATGAATTGGAAATTCCATATTTGATCTGATGAGTGATGCTTCACTGATGAAATCATCTTTCAACGAAATGAACAGAGTATAAATTATCCAAATTTAATTCGAAAATGCTCGATGACATTTGGTAAATAAGCTTGGGTATTTTGGTTTTGGCTTACATTTTAATATTTGATTTATGATTATGCATGGCAAAGAGCCGGTGTATAATATCAAGTTATGAATTTTGAAGTCCACTGCTTTGGATCAGTGGTTGCGTAGGCAGATGGTTGGGTCGGGTAAATGAGTAAGCGTAATTAAATCTCATCGAATATTCTCAAATGAAATTTAATTTTCACAGTGATACACCGGATGTTGATTATATGACTGCGTCACGTGTAATCGCCTCATGGTTAGTTTCGGCAAATCGTACGCTAAACGAAGCCATTGTACCCACATCACAATTACTGTATCTAACAATGTCCGAAGCACACGTACAGATTACATTCCAACATGAAAATCCACCCGATTCGGAATGGGTTCCAGTTTGTGGGTAAGCATTTCTGTATTAAAATACAGCGTTTTGTATTTTAAAATACCACATCATTATTTTGCCAAATCAACAGTATTTAATTTTGATCGTTGATAAACATAATATTTCATCTTTTTAACAATAAACAGATATGATTTGACTTACAAGGCAACTTGGAACACCGATTTATGCATCACTGAACATATAATGAACAACGTGACTCGATGCATATGCCCACTATCCGGAACTTATGTGGTTTTAATGGCCAAACGAAATTTTAACGTAAGTACTTCAACGGCAGACTTTTTCTGCAGGTAGTAGCAAAGGATCACCTATGATTTTGATGGTTATTTGACATTTATTTATATTCGATTCATGCCGTCATGATTCGAATAATAATTGAACGCACTTATATGAAGCCATTGAAATCGTTTATTTTTCATACTCCTCAATGAAGCATTGTGATAAAAAAAATATCCGAAGGATAATAAGATTCCATTCTGTTGAAATTTCGCTGATTCTCTTTTGTTTACAATCTACAATTCATTCAAGCTGTAAGTGGGCCGATTGAAGTAGCGCTTAAAACCAAATCAAATAACGAATAAAAATAGAAATTTCCAGAATACACAAACGGAAACCGGCACATTTTTTTTTTCGATTGTTATTTCCAGTCACGTCACATCAATTTTTCTTCACACGTATTTGAAATTTACAATCAAAAATGTGGAGAGAGAAAAAACAAAGGCCACCCAAGAGAGCGATCCATTCAAAAAGAAAATAACGCCCAAAAGAAAATGACGTGCAACAACAAAACCAGCAAAAGCTCTTCGTAGCAAATGTCAAATAGGATTTCAAAATCACAATCGAACTCAAATGGTAGATGCTCAAATATAGACAGCTCTTTTGCCAAAGTTAATCGTTCGCCTCTTTCGATCAATTGATGTGTGAAATTTGCTCGTCAATGTATTTGTATACATGAAAACAGGTCATAAAAATCCAAGTTAAAAATTGAAGGGAAAACAAATATTTTTCATGTGCCTAATGCAAGAAAGGTGATTTTTGTCACCGGCGCAAAAATCAATATGCCAAACGTCGACTCATTGTTTATTTTTCCTTTTTTTTCTCTCTTTTCTTTCATATTGCTCTTGTGATTCTGGGATATTGATATATGCCATTCCACAACATCTTTAGTCGACAACGGTTCACACTCCACAGCATCCAGTGTTCGTTGTTGTCAGCTGCGCGTGTTGTTTTCTTCAATCATGCATTGCGTTTGGCATTTTACTACCCATTTTATGCAGTCGACAATGTTCGGTGACATTTTTGAAAATGCAATTTTGCACAGCCACATCAACTGCGATGGCGATATTCGCTTTGGGATTTTTAAAAATTTTACCACAAGTAAGTAAACATCTTATTTTTTTTCCTCTCATTTTTGTGGTCTTTGTGTCTTTTACATTCTCGTTAAGAATATAGAAACAGAAGAAGCAAAAAAAAAAACAATATGATTTCATTTCTTTAGAAAATTGAAGTTGAAATTATTGCAGCTTTGTGCAAGCTAAAATGAAAATTGAGAAGACGAAAAAAGTGGAAGAAAATTTAAGTTTACGGGGGAGTTTATTATTTGAGATGAAAATGTTATGTGTCTAAAAGTGAAAAGTTCACATCTGTACAATATTTTAAAATGAATGTTAGAGAATGAAAATTGAAAGGCTTTTAGCAAAATGTGGACTCTGAACCAGCAGAAAAGTTGCCATTGGAACGAAGATAAAAAGAGTTGACTCATCAAATATGAAGAGATGATAGTCATACCATCATTGAATTGCCAAAAAATATTACAAGAAATCCTATAAACTCTTTGATGACATAGTTCTTTTTCATTTTGCTTTCTGCACCACATTTCGATTCATTTTATTTCAGTAATTTATCCAAGAATTTTCGATGAAATTGCTTCAATTAATTTAATTTGAAAATGTTGAATTGATATTGATGAGAAATGTGCATGGATCTAAAAAAAGAAAAGAAAAAATGCCATTAAGAAGTCAAAGAAAAAAATCAACAAAATCGTATCTCTATAGAGGATTTATGATGCCTTTTATTGATGCAAAATAATTCACTGTTATTTACATGTAATTGAGTATAAGCGCAATAATTTCAAATATTTCAGCATTACGCTTACAATAGAAGTACTAATTGTTGTAGTGACATTGTTGTAAACATGGACCAAAAATGCAACGAGACGTTCGAGGCTAGAATATGGAAAACAATGTTCTGTCAGACTCGCTGCAGTCTTTTACTCTTTTCCATTGACCTTTTCCATAAAATGTTTCTATAATTTCGCGGAAATGAAAAATGTTTTTATTTTGTTCCATTGAATAAAAGCCGATCAAATAAAAATGAATAGACCGGAAACAATTGATGCGATAAAAGCTCGCTGCACTGAAAAATTCTTTACTATTCTTGTATTAAAAGTTGTTTTTCCCCTTCGACATTGGTTATTAAAATGTTTTTTGACTCGAAATCGAAGTTTAAGCTTTATTGTTTAAAGTGAACTAATGACCAATTGGAAATAATAAAGTAAAATGTTAAAACTCTTAAAAATGTACTTAACCTGCGTTTGTATTTTTGGAATTAAACTTGATATCCGAGTACATAAATCGACACTTGACCTACATCAAAAGTTTATATGCTTCTAAAAAATTGATAATTTGAGTATGTATCAATTCTTTTCCAAACGTAATCTATTAAAAACAAACATAATTAGATGATGCATTTTCCTTTTTCCTTCGATGGAAATTTAAATCAGGAAACTGATTTGATTGGAGCAACAGTTTAGTGATTGCAAATATTCTGTTAAACTATATTTAAATGAGGTCTCATTTGCCTTTTACATCATCTTTCACGATTCTATCTCAGAATATCAAAACGATTATAAACGAGAAATAATCTACGATGAATGCTCCCGCCGTATGCACAACTATCAAAAGACAAACATCGATCGAAATCAGATGCCGCGCTGTACATCACGAGAATTTCCGAGTAGTTCAAGAGGGCGCAATAAAACTAAAATTTTAATAACCATTCATTCTGGTTGGTATGAGTAGTTGCGGTGATGGATGTACATAGCTTTACCAATTCAATTTACAGTGGAATCGGATTAGCGTTGCATTTGGTTTTACATTTATGCATGAAACGCAAAAATTGCGAGCGAAAATCCATAAGAAGAATCAATCTGTATGCGTGCAAAAATGGCAACACATTCCACATAATTGGCAATAACAAGAAAAATGCGATCGGAACCGCGATGCGATTTCCGTTCACGGTGCCGACTTTCATTCAACACGTGCATAAAGTATCGAAGCCGTGTTGTTTGTTCGCTCATTTTGTTTTTGTTTGCAGATTTTCATTCGTTTTCTGTGATTTTTTCGTTGGCTGTGCATTATCCCATCACACATACACAAAGATTAAAAGCTGGTTTAGTAGCAGGCCAAAAAGATAAAAACAACAATGCCGAGACGCGTACAAAATAAATGCGCATACAAATTGCGTATTATAACGATGAACCGATTTATTGAAATACGGTGTCTGAGCTCATTCTCTCTATGAGTGAGATATGACAAAAAAATCTTTTTTTTGTTTGTACTCATGACAAGAGAGAACAGAAAAAAAGACTTTAAATGTAATTGTTACACTGAAAGCGCTTTTATTTTATCCAAACATTTACCATTAACTTTAGTAACAATTCGCTGGAAACCATTTGCGTAAATATACAGGATATTTTATACGTTATTCGATGAATACACATTTTCCGTTCGCCTTTCCCATTGCAATTGCATTTTGAATTTGGGTCTTCTTGCAGTGAATACTGATCTAAAACACGGATTGTTCCTAGAAAAGGAGGAAGAGCACTGAGGTGGATCCTCCTCCTAAATCGAGAAGAAACAGTCCCTGGTCTAAATCAAAATGAATCCCTCACATTATATATATATGAGACTTTTATATTGTAAAGAATTTCAAAACTCATTTTGTAAATTATCGGGATGGTTATTTACGATGCAAATACGAAGAAAAAAACTCCATCCTGATTTCAAAAACAGACTAATTTGGTTGAAATGCAAACTTTTCGTGATACCCATATGAAATGCATATACGCCTTTAATGATTCTACATTATATCTCTGTTTGAGTTTGTTTGGTATTTATTTCATTTGTATTACTGTTACTGTAATTGATTAGTGTTTGGTTTTATTTGCATGCACATGAATATGAATCGCGGCACTGGAATGTGCATCATTCAATCTGGAAATAGAAATACGGAAAACGGATTCCATGGAAATGTTCAACGCCAAAGTGATGGTACCAAAGTAAATATAAACATTTTTCAGTGTGCGTACAATCATATATTTCACCCACAGCAACGTATAATCTATATCTACATTGCGTTGCATTACTCGTCCACATATATTCATATCACATTAATATTTGTTACCATACCGGATTACGTGGCATTTCAATATCATTTCATTCCGTATATTTTCCATTTCTCGTTCCTTTTTTATTCAAGTACAGTTGGCGCAACGCGATTATCATAAGAATAAATTCAACAATTTACATTTAAACGTATTAAAAACATGAACCGTAATTATTTTTTGAAAATGAAATTTAAATCTTCATTCGCCAATCATCATGAGAGAGAGGGAAAGAGTGGATTGATGCGTGCTTCAATTGAAAATTCTGAAAAACCGATATAAAAGTGTGTAAATAACACTTTCAGCGACGATTTTAACGGATTTAAAATTAATTGTTCGCAATGAAAATGAGTTCATATTTTATATAGCACATCTAATGAAACCATGACAATTTTACCCTATTTTCGTGTAAATTTGCTTTCATTTTCACTGCATAATTTGATTTTTTTATTCGAAAGTTGAAAAAAATTGTTGACACTTACATTTGTTGTAAATTCTAACGGAATTGAATGAAAAGTTGACCAGAGAGAAGCGCCTTGGAAAATTTTACATTATTTCGAAATCAGATTATTTCGAAATTCTGCATATATAGATTTTTTCTCGTGAATTTTTTCCCCATTTTTCCCGAGATTTCATTTGGCATTTCATCTGGAATATGACCAAGAGTATAGCAGAACTTGGTTGAATCGTGCTCTACTTTTGAAAGAGCTACTTTTGAAATTTAATTCAATAATATAAAAAAAAATTGAGATATGTTTCAAGTGCGTGCAACTGTAGCAAATGATTCTTGTCTGTTTGAAATGATATTACCATTAGAAACACGCTGCTAGTGAGAATAAGCGACTGAGAACAAGACACAGAGCGACGATGTTTCAATAAAATTCAACACTGATGAAAGTGACGTTGGGACCGTGTTCATCATGAAACTGTGTTCCTTCCGTTAGTGTGAGCATTACATTAAATATAATTGTCACTGTCATGAGAGAATTATAACGTCCACATAAAAAATAGCGAGCTTTCAGGTACTAAGAGTATAAACTCTTTTTACTAAACAAAGGCGAACATACATACATTAACTGTGTTGCAATATTTAGTTACATTTGAAATAAGCCCAATAGAAGGTGTAGATATGCTCACTGTGAAATTAAACAAAAATGGGAAAATTCACGCAAAACAATAGAGACAGAATGGATCTAAAGATGAATAATACAAAACCTTTATGTAAAATACACTTTGTTGACTCTGTCTTTTTGAATTTTTGGAGAATAAGTAAACAGTACAAAAAAATACAGACGATGAAAAACCAACAAATCATCAAAGAAACGAATTGGATTCAAAGCGAGAAACCAAAAAACAGCCGGCCAAACAAACAAAGGGATAAAATCACGTGGATAGAAATGATGTTTCTTTTACAACTGGAATTAATTGTGAACATAAGTCTTCCTTTGAACATTTTCATTTGATTTTTTTATTCGCACTGGTTCTCACCGACTGTCCGAATCCCAGAAAAAATGGTATGATTGAACGAAAATCTTTGAAAATATTTCATGCAGAAATGACCATTTTATATTGAGGTTAAAGAGAAACGAATGTACGATGATGATATCAATGATGAGAAAAACACATAAGCGGATTTGATATCCAATTAAATTGAATTACTAAGCAATTGATCTTGTTTGAATTTTGAAGCTGAATTCCATTCTTAGATCACTTTCAAGAGGTCCAAGCATAGAAAAACTTTTAAGCATAAAACATCTGTTGGCTTTTTGATAGAGAGGATATCGAGAATAGATCATCTAGTCACTAAGCCCATGGTGTTTAATTAGAATGGAAATGATACGTCGCAGGATTGAATGTCTGCATCCGGTTTTTTGCACTTTTTTGCCTTTTGCATTTCATTAAAAGGCTATTAACCTCTTTTGTTTTTGAAATTAAAGCGCATAAAAGCTCTTGTTTGGCTTCTGAAGTTGACAATCAAAGGGGTGGTAAAATCCAAATGGTGTCTCGGCGAAAAGTGAAGAAGGTCTTCACTCTTAATTTATATAGGTGTCATTCTCCAGCGGAGGGAGGTGTCTCGTAATAATTTGACCTTGTCAGAAGCAATAAGTCGGCTTTTCAGCACATTTACATTAATTTTTCATCATCATCAAATGCCATGGTTTCTTTTGTTGAAGCATTTCATGCGCGGAAACAAATACACTTAATGACCAATAATTCTTTCGCACATTACAAAATAATCACTTGCGATCCGAAAGCATAGTCCATTCAAACATAATATACGATTGAAGCTGCTTACGAAAATCACCACGGACATAAAAATAAACCTCTTTTTTCGGTGGAGAATGTGCGACACAATTGCGTTTTAATTCAAAAAGTTTTATTTTCACCATAAATTCATTGACTTGATGCTTTTAAACGCCACCACTTTTCCATTTTGTTCTACAATTCGCTTCATTTAGCTGAAGTGGTTGTTACTAACGGTATTCGCTTGGCTGTATTTTTTTCGCCTTGCGTTTTTTATTACCATTATTAAAATCACTTGCTAACTGTTAAGATGAAAACAATGGAGTTTGGTATTTTGTTTGTCTCGGCAGCTGCATTGAAATTATTTCAAGGAATACAAACAGCAAAAAAAGACAAAAACATCAGCAAAAAAAGTGCTTCGAAAACAATATAAACACGATGAAAACTTTTTACTGAAAATAAACTCGAAAAATTGGTGCCGATGGGCTGAGAGAATAAAAGGGGTGAACGATAGAAAAGAAGCGTTTTTTTTTTAAAACGAAAATAAAAGTTGAGAGAAAGTATATGACGTTGTTTATAGTTAGCATTTTTGATATTCAAATAGAGCAGAGCAAAATTGTACTGTTTTCAATGTACACAGCAGAATTGTAGTGGGATTGAAACTCGAATTTAAGGGCTTCTTCATCGAAACTATATCGCTTTTGTCGTGGCAATGCCTTTGTGATAAAAGCCTTGTCTCGAGAAGTGATTGCGATTGTTGACGGCCACACAGTGCAAAGATACAGCAATAATATACGAAGATAGTTTAGTTCTCATCGTAATTACATCGTTTTTTACTCGTTCTCCAGCCATTTTGTTAATTTCGAGGTTGAAGAGTATTCTTATCGTCATAGTTACCATTTTCATTATTGTGCAAGTAACATGCAAATGCACTCTCACTCTATCTTTCTTACTCTCTCTCTCTCTCTCTCTCTCTCTCTCTCTCTCTCTCTCTCTCTATCTCCCATTCTCTTTGGACTACAATAAGTGCACTTTACAGCAATGAAATTGTGCTCTGTGTGATTATAATGAAACTGTGAATCGTTGTGTCGTTTGTTCGAAAAATCCACCGGAGATAAAAGCCGAACACAAGAGATGCTTTCTATTTAATGAATGTAAAATGATAATTGGTCAAAAGAAAACTTGCTGCAATTCCTGAAAAATATCCCAACAAAGACCATTATATAATTCAAGAACGGTAGATAATTGAAGAAAACTATTTGTTCATCGGCGATTATGGCTTGGATTATGGTTAACCTTGAGTGTATCGTATTCTTTTGATGGATTTAAATTTATGTGTCAATAACAGACATACCATTACGGTGAAAATTTCATTTTACAAATCCATACAAAGCCAATTATTGTACCTCTGCACAATAAATCTCAAATTAATTGGCTGTTAAGCACTTCATTGCATACCAAACATTTGATGGTCATTTAAAAATGCATAAAATCATGTTAAAAATGTTAAATATAAAACTGTCCATTTTATGATGCGACTGAAAAGTTGCCACACTTGTTAAAATCACTGTTGCCAAAAACCAAAATCTCTATTTTTTTTTTCGAAGTGAACACATTTTCGACATCAGTATACTCCCCCGGTTAAGTACTTGAAATGAAAAAAAAAATGCGTCGCCAAAGTTTTAATTAAATTATATAAACAAGTTTACAGTAAACTGAAGTGGATAGTCAACATTATGGTCTGCTGTTCATCATGATACTGGAACATTTTTGTTGCGACGAATAAAAACCTCGTTCCAGTACCTATAACTAAGCTACAAAGTTTTAAATGCACATTTTTATTGTTTATTTTCAGCAATGGTATGGTGTTATTAGTACGACGTTGGGCGGATTTCTGTTGCTCGGTTCATCAACATTGATTGCCATAACGATGATTATTGATTCGGAACTGGGACCACGCAAGAGTCCGGCCGCTCATTTATCATCCGGTATGCGAGGTGCCATCGGACTCAGTTGGTTTATGCCCATTTTATATGCAGTAACCACCCTGCTGATTTACACTGTAATGAGCGAATGGCCGGCCAATTGGTGGATGGCTGTGGATTCAATCGGTTTTGCATTGTTTGTCATCATCGAAACTCTATTTGTGATATTATTTTCATTATTATTTTACACATTATTGCATAAGCTTAACTTTTTAGCCAAAAAACATGACAAACACGGGATTCTATTAGCAAAACGGTGCGCACCTTTTATTTTAAATATTTAATAATAAAAAAAATGACCCAATTATTTTATATATCATTTTCAGAATTGGTCTTGTCTATCGAATCACATGTCTTTTAGTATTAAAAATATCAACGGATATTCTGTATTTAATGTATTCCAATTCAAGTGATGTTTTGTTTAGTTACATTTTCGGTGCGCTGAATATTTGTTTGGTAAGTTGTTGAAATTTATTGAAGTTGTGATTCATTAAAATTGACTCAAACATACACACAACATCACTAATGTGCGGGCTCAGATTTTGAGAAGGGGGGGAGGAAGTGCATTATTTTCAAACTTTCTGACAAAAAATGGATGACTTTTTTCGCATTCGAAAATCCAATCACATCGAAGGAATTTTTCAAAAGTTCAATTTAATAAGGGAGGGCGGGAATTTGACTCAAAAAACCCAAAAAAATCGAAAAAGTTTTTAAAACCTCCGGGGTCAAACTCCCTCCTATCCTCCTTCCGCACACAACATAATATAAAATTTACCGGAATAGAAGTGTGGAAGCGCGCACAGAATGGAAAAATCTTCGAAAATTCAAAACTTCATGCAAAATCAACGAGACGCAAGAATGTCGCTTCAATTGCATTTTCCATATTATTATATGCCCGGGCAAATATTTGTACTTGAATAATATTACAAAAATGTTTCATGTCATCGCCAACCATATACATTACAGCATTTTATGTTGTTTTGTTTAACTTAAATATCCAACTGAAAATGAACAAAAATAATGCGACTGCTGCTACGGCTGTTATTGTGATGTTCACATTAAACATTTCATATTTTGTTTTACAATCGTTGTTCTTCCCATCTCCACCCCATCGCAATAATATTATGAATCAAGTACTTTGCATGCATAATAAACACACGGCTTGTACAAGTGGATGGTATCATATAAAACGAACTATTCAGCATTTTGTTAAACTTTTATTCAATGCAAGTTTCATTGTGAATGTCGCTGAGCGCACACTTACACTACTTTTATATGAACTATAGTACAAAACTTCGTTTGGGATGCACTCGAATGGGAAGAAAAGACGTAAAGAATCCCTCAGTGAGGAAGAGCAAGAGACACAAACAGAGAAAAAAAGTGAGAATGAAGCAGCAAATACAGAGAATATGTTCATTGTGAATAATTTATCGGAAAATGATAGCGATAGCTGGAAGAGTGACGGTAAAGACTAGAATCGAACAGACAAAAGCCGGTATTTTTTTTTCTAGTTTTGCTGTTAACTTGAATGTTCTCGGAAATGTCGCAAAATCCCATGAGAATATGTTCAATATAAGAAAAAAGAGAAGGAGAAGAGAAAAATTCCAAGCTAAAAAGAGAGAAAAGGAGACAAAAAATGCTTGCAAATGTGCAATTGTTCAACAAAGGATTTGATATTAAAAAATATATATATATGAAAGAAAAAAAACCGTCTTCAGACTCTTCAGACATGTGAATGTCACGTCATCGTTTCTACAACAGGTGCCCGTTCCAAGCTTCTCCTCTGAGGCAGCAGTGTGCTTCCACATGTCTTAACATTTGCATTTCAAAACTATTTACATGCAATGAAACAAAATTAGATCGAGACATTTTGCCAGTGTGCTCCCCAAAGCAATGACTTCGTTTAATTCAGATTTCTTCTTTCTTTTTTGTCTCTAAAATAAGCGTTTTTCTTATCCTCTATTTATCGTACAGGGTTTCACTTTACTGTTTTGCTTTGTTATAAAAGCTGAAACAAAACTGAAATCGGATGTGATGAACAAAAGCAACAGCAAACAAATTATCGAAGACTATTGTTCGGGTTCCATCAATAGTCCTTTGAACTGTAAGTAACATACACGATTTGATTACATTGTTTCAAATGATTTAATAAATAAAAGTTGCTTAAAAAGTAACTCATGAAAATGACATGATAAAACATATGTACTACATGTATATCCCTTTTATTTCGTATTTCTTTTTTATTGTCGTTTTGTTATCGCTGTCAATTGACAATCGGCGCACACAGTTTATACAAATCATGAAATAGAAAAAGAGAATGATTGTTCTGTGCCACCATCAACACAATCATCAACAAAGAAATTACCGTTAGCAATAACAACGCGACGTTATCCATTGGATCGTTTACAAACAACGACAAATATTACTGATCCGTATATAACAACTGGTGGTTTATGTGAAACAACATTTTTAGAATTAAACGATCCGTCGGCCAATTTAGATGTAAATTTTATCGAATTCAAACAACATCCAAATCAGCAACAGCAACAACCAACGCAACAACCAACACTATCGACACAACCATCACAATATCCATCACTGTTGGATGCCAACGGCGGCTATGAAATGGAAATCGTGCCAACGGATTTAAGTTTATATGGTAGCAGTTGTAAACCATCACAAGGAAAATGCTATTTAAGCGATACCAACGATTTTGTTGGTGTTGGCAGTTTAGACATTTTACAAGGAGTAAGACAAGGTTAGTACCACTGAAATCACACCATCATATCCGAACCGTATAAAAATATATACAAAACGATAATATATTACATACAACTCATTTACATCTCATCAAAATTTAGTGTTTCGCATGTTTATGTGCTATAGCTTTGTTATTACATGGTATAATTGAGCGCAGGCCAATTTTTTTTACATTCACACAAAATACCCCATTTTATTGATATTTACCGGGAACTGTTTCTGTGAGTTTGAAGGAATGACGAGGAGAAACAGTCCCTGATATAAAATGGTGTTTCAACTGAATGGTCTTTGCCATTTTTTATATTGCTAAGCATTGTTTTTTTTTGTTGCTGTTTTCATTTCATTGCAGATAGCATAATAGGCATTCGTAGTAATTATAATGTGAACGATCAAATGGTTAATCCTGATATAGGCGCAAGCAATTTATCAGCCCATGTTCCATCCACGTCAAATGTAACGGCGGTTACTGATGGTGGTGCTGGTATGCATTCGTATGTCAATCAAAATCAAATGCAATTCGATAAGAAACAGGAGAAATCACCTCAAAAGATATTGGAATCGGTGAATGTACATGCGGTCGACACCACACAACCAGCATCGACAACAACAAAAGTGACAACATCACAGCCGCCAACGATAACCGTTACACCAACAGACGATCCGGACAAAAGTATTGACGGTATGCTTGATCGAATTTCACACGATTTGGATTATCTGTTGAATCGAATGGCTGACATTCCACCAGCACCACCACCTCCAACAGCACCAGCTCCAAATCGCAGTGTACACGAAGTCATCCTCGAAGAAGACCCTGAAGATTTGTAAAAACAAACACACCCTATACACCTACCCTACATGCACTAAAATTGTACAGATTTTCTCCATCCATGGATAGAGAATATTTTCTATTAAAAACACACATACACACACATTCATTTTTCTATATAGACTCTCTGTGTGGAAATATGAATTGATTTTATTAACATTTAGATAGGATTATTCTAATTGAATTTACTATTCCAGTGCTGAACAGATAGCAGCCGATAATTTTTTTTTTTCAATCAAATTGAATGTATAAATTAAGCTATCGTATACTTCGTTAAGTGAATGCAAGGAGAGACCATTTCAGAGATTTCATAGCAGGACAAATATTGTTTTTCTTTTCGAATGTTATATTCTATATATATTATAGTAAAGTTAACACAATTTTCATACATCTCCACTGTGCATTTACCTTACGTTTTTAAGCTATCCTATCAAAATTCCTTCAATATATTCAATGAAAAAAACTTTCAAACAATGATATTGATTAAATTTAAACAAATCTACCGAGAATGGTTTCATTTATTCTTTGTTATTTTTCGAAATTAATCAGAGATTGAATTCAATGCTGAATCTGACATTTGGTGTGTATATGAGAAATGGCAAATTGAAATCAATCCATGAAATTCGGATCGGTTATTTTGTTTGTGTAATATGATTTTCTGCATATGAAGCTAATTGAATTCAATCAAATTTCAATTTGCCAAATGAAAACATGAAATTGATTTGAGCCATTCTATCAATTAGTTTTCGGTCAAATAACATGAATTGAATAAAAACGTTTCCCATTTTTCGGACGATATAAACAATCGACACTTTGGGGAATACAAATCAATCCCTCAATCGGAGTCCCCAATCAACCCATGACCGATAGTACTTCATATACCAGTTATGATAAAAATCAATTTCACAGTGCGCTTCGGTTGAGTGATTGATGAATAATTTTCACAAAAAAATCATAATAACGAATTATTTCGAATTAAGTATATTTTATGTCATTTCGTAATGGAAAGCATCACTTCATTAAACACGAATTATAATTGTATCAATTTTATATGAGCACTGTTTTTTCTATCAACTGTTGTGATTCGAATGAAGACCAATTCAAACGCATTTTTTATTGCAACATCAACCGATTTAAAATTCGTTGATTCGCCCAATTGCATTTAAAATTGCTCATATTTTTGTGATTTATTCAAAATGCAGTCATCAAAGGGTAACTAATTTAGTACAATACTGGAACAAATCACTCCCGCGCGGTTACCAGAGTATTTACCGAAAATTATTTTTACTAAACGAACGTTTTTCCGAAAGTTCGGGAATGTTTCCAAAAAGATTTCCCAAATTTTTTCCCAAAATTATTATCGGCAAATATTCCGGCATACCTCCCGCGCTGTAGAATCAATGTAACAAAGTATTATAATTCCAAATCTTTTTCTTTCGTTTTAAAATTCATCTTCTTTGAAAAAAATCAAAGTCCTATCTATCACAACGTTGAAATTGTAAATAAACTTTATCAAAAAAAATGAATTTATGAGTGAAAAAAGAACGAAGTCAGAAAGAAAGGAGAATTAGTCAGAATTAATGTAATAGTCGATTTCAACACCGACAAACTTAATGTTTATATGCATAAATATTGTATCATTTCTATGTTCCAACATTTAATTGTTAAGAAAGAAAAACCATTTACATACTAGCCTAGGAAACCAAACGAATGGAGAAAGACACTAAGTGATTGATATATAAAAAGATGTTTAAAATCAAACGTAATTAAGAATTCACAATGACATCAACAAGTCGATAGAATTTTAGTCATAATTCTTCGGTGTTTCACAGTTATGTGTAAAAATATACAATTTTCAAAATGAAAATATGTGTTTTTTTCTTCTATTTTACATTTAGAATGAGTTTGCAATGAATAATTAATGGTAAGTATTTTAAATCGTCAGCAGAAATGGCAGCGATATTGATAAAGGATAGAGAGATAAATTAAAGATCATAGTTCCGGTGAAGAGAACATGGTTATTAGTTGGGCCACCGCTTCATAAAATATTCATTCAAAAATAAAAGCGGAACAGATTTGTGTGTACGATGCAGCCGAATTAAGAACGTTCATCCGTTGGAACCGATTATTTTAAAAAAAGTTCATACCGCATACCTAGTTGGTTGCATTTTGAATGCATCACCATGAACTTGCATTAAAACGTGACTCAAGTGGGAATTAAACATGTGACTTGATGGAAAATTCGCTAAATAGAATGTAGAATTTTGCTGCTGGGGTTTCGAAAAATGAAATTCTCATTTAAAGTAAATCTCTTTTCCTTCAGCTCAAAACAACTTGCTCTGACCGAAGAAAAAAGCAACAACAAAAAAACTATTTTAATCACAAATCTATTTAAACCGAAAGCGGTTCAGTAATAAATTTTTCAATCGTTCAATTTGTACAACTAAAACCTCTGGATTGAGATAAGCAAATAGAGTGGATTCAAAATCAAGAAAGTTGTTGAAAATTAGTAGACTTTTAGCACACACTGGTAATTGACTGCCGGACCACAATTCGATTTACTTTATCAACACGTACTGGAATTGTTCCTTTTTCAACATGCTGATTTCATTTGGTCTCTCAGCTTCATTTGTACTTGCCTTCCCTCTTTGTCTACTTCATCATACCCAGGCCATTTCTGTTTATCTTTATTGAATTTGTAACTTGACAATTCACCACTTTGAGTGCATGTTAAATAAAAGGACTTCTGCATGCATATCTCAGAAAGCATGAAATTAAGAGCTAAAGAATATAAATATGCATATGTTGCGCCCGAGCTGAAACAACAACAAAAAAAAGGAGACATTTTCGACAACAGATTTTAACAATGTGTTTATTAAATAATACTTTCTGACAGAGCCAAAAGGAACAAAGAGACGAAACGACAGAGCCAAGGCAAATTAAGGTAAAACTTTCATATGAATAAGTAGTTAGATTGGAATGGACAAGTTTTAAGTAGATTTTTGCTCTTCGTTGCATATGTTACCGATTACAAATGCCCACAAAGACCTAAATATGCTCGATCCATTGTTCGAAAAATGTTGAGTGTTTGGCCCCCCGAGTGATGATATCACATTTATAACATTCTAGACACATGTTGAATTGGCTGCAATGTATTTATAACAGTTTTTGTAATCCAAGTTTTCATGTTTGATTAAAGTTAAATCCAAAACATTCGGAGCCCATTCTCTTTGAGCACAAAGAACTTTCTTAATGCATTCAATCAAGCAAGTTTTTTCAGCGCCATTTCTACGGCCGTTTATACGACTAAAAGGTGTTGCAAACTATGAAATTCACATGGATTCTATCAAACGATAGAAAAATATGTTGTCAAAACATCTACCATATATATAAAAAAAAATTAGCTGAAACTGAAAACAACAAATTCCAGTCCATTATTTCATAGTCTGACGAGAACGAAAGCGAAGTCGACACATTATAAATCGATAAAAGAATTTACAGTGGAATTTGAATAAAGTACAGTTTAATGTGATGTCACACAAACACAAAATCGATTGCATCATATCGGCCAAGATCAACAAAACCGTTTTGGGCGCAAACATACACTTTATAATATTATGTGACGTAAAAACATAAACAACAAAAACATACCACATTTATTCATTGCATGACGATGACTGTGTATATGTATTATAGAATATACTCCAGAATGGCAGAACGGCATGTGATATAAGAACAAACTCGAATACCAACACATAGTGAACACGAAAGAACAATAACAACGTCGTCGCTTGTCAAGAGAAACCTGTCTTTTGGCTCAAACTTTTACTGCTGGATAGACAGCACAAAATACGCTATAATAATATGACTATGTGCATTAATTTGGGCCCTAATATACGTATATACATTTATTGTTATTTGTATTGGTGTCCACTGCATAGTTACGGCGAGCAGAAAATGAATATCAAAACAAAATCGAATAGCAAAACAGTTTGTATCGCGGCGAATACACGCAAGCTACGATTTAAATGAATGTGGTGAACTCATTCACGTACATGGCATTCAAACATGAGCGGGGAAGAAAGAGAGAGAGAGAGAGAGAGAGAGAGAGAGAATGAAGAGACAAGTGAACAAAAGCGAAAGACTGAATGAATGAAAGAGAGTGCGAGAGCGAGAGAGGGAACGAAAAAAAAGCGAGAATTCAAAATTATTAATTCGTTTTTTCGTATGTGCGAGTTTAGTTGTGCATTGAGTTTGGAGCGTATTACAAGCTTCTCAAAGTTTTTCTCATACCTGTTTGCTGTTCAAAAACACTCTTCGGAGTTTTACTTAGTTTATCCGATTTTCGGTGCATATTTTGTGAAGTTTTTAATTCACAGAAAACGAAATTTTTTTTTGTTCCCTGAATTTTGTTGATACTTAAAATATGTTGGTTAAATTGATTGGATTTTGTGCGTTACTTGCTGCTTGCAGTGCAGTTAAGGTAAATTATAAATATTTATTGCGTTCATTTATTGGATTTCGAGATGGAACCAACATCTGTTTAAATAGTGATAAATTCAATACGTTCATCAGATGATTTCAAAACAACATTTAGAGATGAATTTTAGGTGTTTTTTTTTTTGGATTGTAAGAGAACCGGTCTTCTATTTAGTTTTTTCTTCATATCGGCACTCTATCAAACTTTCAAATTTACTCAACAACGCGCACAGTACTTTCAAAGTCGCTTTTTTCCCTTCAACTCAACACCATAGTCTTTACTACAAACTCTGTACAATTGATCTCGTGAAGAACACTCCAGCAAACTAAGGCAAAGAAAGAAATAATTGAGCAATTGTATTTTTTTGCCGTAGTGTCTGTGCAAATTACCAGAACGTTGTGGAGAATTGGCAAGAGAGATTCTTCAGTTAATGGGCTTGAATTGATTGGCATTTTTTTTTTTCAAAAGCAAAATGAAAAATAAAAATAAGAAAAGAATATTTAGCTATTTGAATACTAAAGCGATTAGTTTATGAAAAAGTTGAACTGTAGCAAAAAAGAACGATTTTTGCAAGAAGGGAAATGTAATTCATGTAATCAAATTGGCCATATAAATACATTGTCTCTATTTAATTGATTCACAATAATAATATCAGAATCCACATTTCCCCTCTCTCTGTCGCATGTTTGAATCTTTCAATGGGCGTTGGTAGCGATTCTGTTAGAGTTAATAGCTATTGCGGTTTCAAATACATATACGGTGTGATGCATAAGATTCTCTTTCGTTTCAATTTTTTTTCTTCTCTTTGTTACAACAATTCAAGTTCGCTTGAATATATTCCGTTCGAATCGATTCTATTGTATGCGTCAGTTTAGAGAGTTTTTTTTCTCTCTACACCGTATCTATGTAGTTAACATTTTAATGCTTGACAGCATTCGCTTTGGCAGCCTCACCTCTGCGTTGTGCGGTGTGCATTGTGTGTGAATCTTACGAGCACCGCTTCAACTGCGTATTCGGTCAGCCGCATATTATGTTTGCTGTTACACAATGGACATTTTATGTTTTTACCATTGGGGACGATGAACTTTATGACAAAAAATTTAACGAAAGAATTCTGACGTGATTCGTGATTTGTCGCAATATTTCAGTGGACATAACCTATTCATACCATATCTAGCATGTTGTCGTGATTTTGTTTCTCGTACACATTTCTGTATTTCATGAATTTGTGGTTAAAAACAAATGATACACAGCGATATCAATCATGGAATAAAACTATTTTGTGGAAATATTCGAGGCTTTGAGTCGTCAACATAGCTCAATCAAGTTTCGGAATTAAATTAAGAACACGTTCAGAGTATACGTAGGTTCGTATTGAAAATGTTCAAACGAAACTACTTTGTATCACATTTTGTATCATGTGATCAAAGTAAGAAAAATTGCGAAACAACTATTTTAAGTGTTTTTTTGCATTCTTTTGTTTAAGTCATCATTTCAATGCAAAGAAAAACCTCACATGACAATCTCATTTTTAAATACATATAATTTGTAATGACTACAATTTTTTTTTGTATACGCAATTTCACAATCCTCTGAAGTTGATACAGACCCTGAACAAACTGATTTTAGGCCTTATTTACATCATTGATGGGCTTTATGCAATTTCGTATTTTCTATTTTGGATGCCAAAGAAGAGAGTGATCGATTTCATTTGAAAATCAAAGCCATTTTTGTCGCATCATCATAGGTATACTAATCACTGTCATGCGAATGAAATATATTTACGTTCATTGCATAAGTTGCTATGGGTGAAAATAATTTTTTGATTTAAAAAAAAAAACATCATCGCAAACAACTGCTTCATCAACAGAAATATCATTTTTACTGATACCGATCGAAATAACAAAAACTCGTTTAATAACTGAAATCGAATATCATTAAACATGTCAAAACGTGCACCGTATTTTGCTTATTGCACACATTTTAGATGTTTGAAGTTTTTTGTTGTTGTTTTGACATGCTAATATTTTAAAAAATCTTCTATGAAATTTAGCGCCCGAAAATTGCATGTCACAAAGAGAAAAACCGCTTTGTATCGAAACTAATATCGAAATATGAAGAGGTGCAACATTTCGGCTTGTTGGACTTTGAATATTGTTGCCTGCATATTTTCAACAATGTCAATCCGAAATATTTACGAGTTTGAAATGTATTTTCAAAAGGTGATGGTGCGAACGCAAGAGAAATCTATTTAACACTTTCGGGTATATACAAAAGGCATTGCAAAACAATGTCATTGTTTGTCATACAATTCTGTATCGATTGGATGCTTTATACATGTGTGCAATGTTCAAAGTGCTAACGATTCGCATGCTCATGTTAATCAGAATAATGATGGTTTAAAAACAATTTTATTATCATTTATTTTGATAATTTGAACAACAACGAGTGCCATTCAATCAAAATAATCGACGAAATCTAAAAATACAATATTTTTATAATTTCAAGAGAACTACAAAAACATATTGTTGGAATGATTTTACATTTTATAAACCCTTTTGTCAACAGTTTGTGGAAAAATATTTTTGTTGAATGGCGTCATCAATTATTATATATTTTGAATGAAACAAAATGTCAAGTAGCGAAAAATCCAATGCAAAATAAATTGTGATATGTTCTAAAAACAGACATGCGATGAATCATTCTACTTGAATTGCTTAAAAATCTGAAAAAAAGACCCAATTGATCAATTAAAAACGGTAGAGTCTATTAATTACGTGACCCTATTCCAACCTCTCTCATTTTATTACACTTCTTGTGTGGTTCTCTTTTTCTATCTTCAATTCTATTCTCGGCTGCGAATCAACTCAGAGCAGACACTTCGGACACAGTCTGGATGCCACAAATTGCAAGCGACTTAATTCATTCGAGGTTCAATGTGAAAGGTCGACTGAGAAAGAAAGACCGATTGTCTTCGTTATTCTTGCGATTTTCCAGTATATTCGTTTTAATTCCCACTTCATATCTCACTGTGTAGACAATCGTTATCTATTTATGCAAATGCCAAAGTAAAAAAACAGTTATAGTAGAATCGCAGTTTGTGCATGATGTGCAACAAGTAAATGAAAAAAAAAAACGATAATAAACGAGCAAGAGGCAAAATTGCACATCCACCATGTGGCAAACAATTTTGTGTCGCATAAAAATTGAAAAAAAGAACGAAACGGAGGAGAAAAATCACAATGCAACGAATGAATGACAGTTGGTTGTTTTCCAATCTCTTGCAAATTGTAATAAAAAAAACGAAATGGAAATGTAAATTATTTTTCATATTTTATGTTTGTGCTTTGTTTTTTCGCGTCCATATCCATGGTGATTGTGTCACTCTATGACTGTGTCTGATGGATGTGATTCATGAAGATTTTCAATGGTGAATTCAGTCTAAACTCTCCAGGCAAAATGTGTCAAATCGTCCAAAAGAAATAGATAGCGTTGTATTCTATCGATTTATCTCTGGCATTTCAATAGTATGTTTTTCATTCATTGACCCAACTGTTGGACCCAATGAAATGTATATTTGCCGTGTTTTTGTGTATTCGCTACCATTGACAGTTGAATGAAACGATTTTTTTTCTAGTCTCTTTTTCTTTCTCATGTTCATTGATTCTCGATGGAAGTTCACTCTTTTGTGGAACTTCACATGCAAAATAAACAAACACATTTTCGATCCACTCAATGTTTAGTGCCTGCGTACAGTCACAATTGCATGAGGTCAATATGATGAGAGAATAAAAACGAGATGATAAAATATTCACCGATGCAATCAAATGTGAACAAAACCATATATTCAATCATTTTATCCGAATGCATTTGAATGTACAGACATAGATGTGGTGCAATTGTCTGCTAGAACATCCTATATAATACATAATGGATTGATATTTCCGTCAAATGCACTGTAATTTCAACAAATATGCATATCATTAAACATTCATTCATCATATTTTCTAATCTGAAATCAACGAAAAAAAGCAATTATCATAATGGATTCTCTATTCGTGGCATTGACATCACTGTGTAAATATATTAAGTTCGTCAGTGACATACAAACATGGTTTAGCTTGAGAAACAGAATTCAATAAATTTACCGTAAAAACACGTACTAACGTATTGTGTGAATCGGTCAGATTTTGACCCAAAACTAAATTGATTGTAATTGAAAATAAGTTATTCACCATTTCACAAACAAAACGCTTCTTTGACACTCATTAGCGTATTGAATCCATGTTAATTTGGTTTTATCTTTTAATTTAACCAGAACCGTTAGTTAGTGTTTGTCAAGACAAAGAATAACATGGAGAAAATAGAATAGAGATAAAGGGCAATCGAAAGCTAGAAAAACGTGGTGATATAGCATTGTTTTATAAATGGGTTGCCATTTAAATAAACTAAAACAATAGATTTATTTAAATTGCATGCGCACATATTTCGTCATCAATTTAACAAATGGACGAAGAAAATTTAACGAAAAACTACCGTAGATGTGAATCATTATTATCTTCCAGATGTTTTTTGCGATATCCTGACCACGAAACAGCCATGAATAAAGATAAAATTCAATGAATCAACTGCAAAAGAAACAATTTATACCAGATACAATGAATCAACTATTTTTTTTATTTATTTCTTTCTTCTCAATACCGTCTAAAGTCGAACCGATAAACAATTCGATTATATTCAAGATTTTAAAAACAAGCAAAAAATACATTATATGTAAATAATCAAAAAGACACATGATTTTACCAATGAACAGACGTGACAATTTGCATATGTCACTTTATATACATTGTCGTTTAGGTGTTCGATTTCGATGATATGAGTTCAACTCGAACAAATGATTTTGCCACAATGCAAATTTTGTTTGCCTAAAGTAGTTTAAAATGTATGGATTTATTTTGCGATGTAAGTCATTCGGGGCTATTGTAATCAATGTTTATATAAACATCTATCGTTCTATACAAATGCTTTGTGTATGAAGACAAGAACAATAAAGCCTCATTCATTGACTTCATCCGACAAAGCGTTGCTGCATCAATCACAAAACAGTGTAGCCAGAAATGTGAGATTTGCATCCATGGGAATTTGTACAATGTAAATTCATGTTGTTGAGACAATTGTGATCAGGCACACTCAATGTTATGATCAATTTTGAAGATGTTCGTGTAATTTATTCATACACAACTCAATCTGAAATCTATTCCCAAAACATTCTATCGATAAGGACGACTATGTAATGAGAAACAATTGTTTCATTTTAATGAACGATCTTTTTGAACTTTGTCATTTTATCTAAAACTGAATTTCATTTTCATACTTACTGAAACGTCGATTTTGCAAGTTCATTATATATATATATAGCATTTAAGATAACGAAGAACAAAAAAATTTGAAGCAAATTTCATAACATGAAATATTGATGACAATTTGTGTAACAAAATATAACGACAATTCAATTTTATCTTTATGGTTGGTGATGATAATCAACAATACTGATTAATAAATTCAAAATATGACTTTGCCATGACAAGCAATTTCTCTATTTCGCCAAAAACAAATATTGTAAATATTTTATCAGGCCACAATCCAATCGACTTTGGAGTCATCGACATCGAATCTCTGTTTATAATGATGAAAATCAGTTTACAAAGGCACAATCTGATAAATAATGCAAACACACAATTTGTAATGCTTAATTGTTTTTTTTTTTAATTCATCTGCTGGTTTGATTGCATCAGCTTAATTTGTAAGAATGAATTCTTTCGTGCGATATAAACAATATGTACATTTTATGTATGCTTTCATTTCCATTCATTTATCGATTATTTTTTGTTTCATTTTTTTTTTAATTTAGGTGCCGCTCACAGTCTATTATGAAGCGTTGTGTCCAGACAGCGTAAGATTTATTACCGATCAATTATATCCGACAAAGCAGAGCCCGCTGGGTCGTTACATTGATGTGACGTTGATTCCATTTGGAAAGGCATCCGTAAGTATCACAATAAATACATTTTAATCTAATTGCAAATTGTTCGATATTCCAAGTGCATTTTCGTATATACGTATAGTTTATGCATGTGGTTTTTCAGTTTCACGGATGGCAAATTACATAATTATAAACGAAACAAACAATTATTTATTACCATCAATTCACTGATGCATTTCTCAATCTATCTCTTTCATTTTCATGTCGATGGTTGGTATCGTTCGTCTAAAATACAGTTCAAAACAGAAGGATCGGATGTACTGTTCACATGTCAACATGGACCAAATGAATGTTATGGTAATAAAGTGCAAGCATGTGCCATCCAACACATTCAAGTGAGTATTTAACCTTTTTCACAAAGAAATCTCGTATATTTTATTGCATCTCTTCTGTTATTAGGTGAATTCGTATCAAAATTCGAAAACAAAGGAATCGCTCACATTGGACTATGTAAAATGTTTGATGCAAACGTGGATCACATTCAAAGATAATGTCTATCCGGGCGCTCGGTGTGCAAAAGAACTTCAACTGGCCAACTGGAATGTGATTGAAGAGTGCGCAAACAGTACGGAGGGCAGTAAATTATTACAAGACTATGGAGTACGCACACAACAATTGAATCCACCACTTGACTCGGTTCCAACCATTGTCTTCAATCATGTAAGCTGATACTAATCATTTTTTTTGGTGAATGAACCAAATTTTAATTGACGTTTCGTTTTTTTATTATCAGCAAACTGATAAGGATTTGCATGAATTGGGATTACGTGATCTACAATCAGCTGCCTGCCGTGCAATGAGAGAACCAAAACCACATGAATGCAGTCTATTGCCGGGTGGTGCTGCAACCAATGTCGCCACTTTCTCACTTATTTCTATTTGTGCAGCGATTGTTGCTTTCTTCAAAATATTCTGAACTAAGATATGAAACATTGACTTAAATTTTTTTAAACAGTTTTTATTCGCACAAATTTATGCTCCTAAAAATACAGTCCATTTGATGGAATAAAAATGTTTATGTAAATTGATTTACGAATCTAGCTGTATGTGCAATTTTTTTTGTATGGAATGAATAGGAAATTTTATCATAAAGTGATTTTCGATATGTTTTATTTGTAACGTTGATAAAATAAATAAAGAAAACAATTTGGTTTTTACCAAAAATACACGATTTATTATTGTCATCGACAAAAATCAATTGCGTTTTTTTCTAATCAAAAAGTGGCCTCAAAAATATTCAAAACCTTTACGTTTTGCTAGAGATTTTTGTATTGACATTTAAACTCTCTTTCATAAAAGTGACATCGAGATGGCGCGCTAAAACTGTAAGAATCCACTTACAGCCGCGCAAATTGAGAGGGAATACCAATACACACATGCACAAGTGTCTGGTACCAAACACTGTAGAATACGGGTTTTGTCAATGAGTTAGTGCGAAACGTTTATGTGTGCAGTGGATTTTTGAACGGACACTGAACATTTTTATTTCAAATTTTTCAACGAACATTGTCTTTTCTGTGCTTGTCAGAGTCACACCATCCAATATACAAAATTGTCTTTTAAATTAAACTTAAAAATCCAAACTGTTTATTTTTGAATTTATTCGTTCATGTAAGTAAAAATTATTCGATTGACATATGAAAAACCAATTGAATGTATTTTGATGGTCAAAGCATCATGAATTTTTCGGAAACTGGTGTTGCAAAAAAAAAAAATGTTTGGTGTTTCGCACAAAGCATCTCGGTTTAACAACTGTAAACCGTTAGAGTAGTTTTTTTCCATTGTTCGTGATTTGTTCGGCTTGGTTTTTCCGTTTTTTTTGCCGCATCCATTTAATTTCTATTGGATTTTTTGTTATGAATTTTTCCGTTTTTGCTTGTCCATTTCAAGTGGAATAAAAAATGATTTTCGTTCGAGAATACAGTGAATTTGTCGCTATAGATAGGTTATGTCTTTGCATCCATCTCATCATAGTTGTGTTTTTTTCTCTTTCCGCGTCGCATTTAGATAGTGAAAAATAGTCATTAAAATGGAAAATCGTTTGAAGAGCTACAAAAACAGTTCACGAAACGTGGATGATATTCGTAGTCGTCGAAATGACGTCACAATTGAACTGCGTAAATCGAAAAAAGACGACCAAATGAATAAGCGCCGGAACATTGATATAAATGCAACGTCACCACTGAAAGAAAACAATTCACCGGCATCGCCCACCATTGGTTTGTACTCGTCGTTGGAGGAAATAATCACGCATATGCGATGCAATGATTCAACATTGGTTCATCGTGCCACACAAGCTGCACGTAAAATGCTCAGTCAAGAACGCAATCCGCCAATCGATAATCTAATCTATCATGGAATTGTACCGATTTGCGTTGGTTTTTTGGAATCGGAAAGGTAAGCCGAATTGCAGGTTTTTTTTTCGCTATTTCTTTCGACAGTTTTCAAGATTATGTTGTTTTATTTTTTCATTTCGTTCAGTCCGGATTTGCAATTCGAAGCAGCATGGGCCTTGACAAACATTGCATCGGGCACTTCGGATCAAACAATTCAAGTGGCCAAAGCGGGTGCAATTCCGAAATTCGTAAATTTACTGAAGTCGAAGTCACTTAACGTAGCTGAACAGTCGGTATGGGCATTGGGTAACATTGCTGGTGACGGATCAAGCACACGGGATGAGGTCTTGAAACACAATACTGCTGAAGTTTTGTTGGAAATTCTACAAGAAGAACAACCGGTAAATACATTGTTGACAAATGATACACATTTTTGCAATGTGAACTTACACATTTTGTTTGTTTTTTTTTTTTTTTTTTTCGTTGACAGTTGTCGTTTTTGCGTAATATCGTTTGGTTGATGTCGAATTTGTGCCGAAATAAGAATCCAGCGCCACCAGCTGATAAAGTCAAGCTCATGTTACCGGCATTGGCACGATTCTTGCTACACTTCGATACCCAAATTTTGAGTAAGTATTCAGTTTGCATTCGATTCGCGAAGGAAAACAAATCATAATTCACTTTTGTTCATTTGATAACAGCTGATGCGGCTTGGGCGATTAGCTATGTGACTGATGAAGACAGCGATCGTATTCAGGCTGTCATCGATACTGGCTGTGTACCACATTTGGTTAAACTGTTGGACCACATCGAGAATTCAATTGTCGTGCCAGCACTTCGATCTGTGGGCAATATTGTCACTGGAAACGATCATCAGGTAAATATATCTCCTTGATATCGCTCGCTAAAAATCCAAAAAAAAAATTCGTTTGATACAATTAACAATTTTTGTCGTTTTTTTTCTTCTTCTTTCACACAGACTGATACGGTAATCGGTGCTGGTGCGTTGAAGCATATGCGAAAATTGTTAAAGAGTCCACGTAACAATATTGTGAAGGAGGCCGCTTGGACGATAAGTAACATCACCGCGGGCAATCCATCGCAAATAAATCACGTGCTCCAAGAAGGTCTGTTCGATGATATTCGTGATGTGTTGGTTGGTGGCGAATTTCGTTCGCAAAAAGAGGCCGCATGGGTAATCACCAACGTCACATCGAGTGGAAGTGAGGAGCAAGTCTTCTATTTAATCGAAAAGGTCAACATTCTCAAACCGTTCTGCGAACTTATGGCATCCAGAGATGCACGCTGTGTCTTAGTCATTTTGTCTGGCTTGAAGAATCTATTGGCGCTTACCGAAAAGAAAGGACATTTGGAAAGGTTCCAAGAAGTAAGTGTGAAATCTCTGGATATTCACTGGCAGTTCGAAAAGAGAGATAATTTTTTTTATTGTATATTTTTCCAACAGCTATTCCAAGAGGTGGGCGGAATTGATTTGCTGGAGAAATTACAAGAGCACGAAAATCAAGAAGTCTATGAAAATGTCACTCAATTGATCGACAAATACTTTAATGATGTGAGTATTATTTTCATCGAAATCGTTTCTTGGACTTCCAATTTTTTTTTTTTTTTTGGAAAAATACAATTTTCCCATGTGTGATTATGATTTTTCTGATTGATCAGGGTGACGATGAGGCTGAAAACTTGGCACCCAAAGATGTGAACGGAGCACTCGAATTCAATTCGGACAACACCAAACCGAATGGGTTTGCCAAATTCAATTTCTGAAGACTGAATCATAATCGTCTGGCGCGCATTCGACAACCAACAATAATATTGTAGCTACAAACTGCCGAGCATACGAATCGCGCATCCATCAAGTTATTGTATTAATTTCATTCTAAATTGGTCATTATTTAAGAGAAAAAGTGGAGGAAAAAAATTCCCATTAATTATACATATATTTTTATGAATCGTTCATTATTCCTCATTATTAAAATAAAGTAAGAGAAACAAAAAAAACAGCATAAAAGATCGAAAATAAAATAAGAGCAATCACAACAAAGACTGTTTTGTATATTGAAAGACTTTCATTTTCTTTGGGTATGAAAAAATATCGAATAATTAGCCGAGTTTAAAACATTTGGCCATAAAATTCAACCGAAAACACCATTAAAAAACCGAACATGAACACAAAATTGACATGAAAATTGAGCACAATAATTGCATTTATGAATTTTGTAAAACAGTATAAATCACAGCTACCATAGATATATCAACCGAAAACGAGCATGAACGACGAGGTGAATGTGAGTGGAAAAGAGAAAGGAAACAGATGCTTGACCTTTGACACTCGAACAAAAACGCAACAGCGCAAATGTAATGCCAAAAATTCATGAGCCACATTTTAAAATAAAGGCACTTGGTGTCTGTCTGATAGAGAGTCGAATACACGCACAATTCGCTTGAAATGAGATGATGGAACACACATACATAACAGCAACTGACATGCTTTGAATACAAACATATACATATTCAAATTTCCTTTTTGCGCTCGTCATCGCAACTGTATTTGTTATCATAAATCTTCTACGGCAAAACGGGGAATAATTTAATTGTATTTTGATTTAGTGTTGGCATTTCATACTGGCGATGACTTATCATGATATACAATCGTTTTCAAGGGGACAAATTAACGACAACCAAATGCGAAAAAAAGACACAAAATTCCATATGGAGTGTGATATGTAACAAATTGTCAAAAATTCCATTTGTTTTTTGTTCCATTGTGTTGACTTTCATTGTGCGTTTTCTTTTTTTGACAGATATGCCAATATTTTCTTCAATAATCGTCTCCAATATATTGTTCGTGATATTGAAAGGAATCACATTTGGCATTCGCCCCTTGATCGTGTACAAAACGAAGTGTAGACAAAAAACACATACAACTGCACATCACATTGAAGAAGAAGAAGAAAAAAAATAACGAGTAGAGAGAAAAAGGAACATATATCATAAGTTGTGCTGCGTTTGGCCAGTGTTGTTGTTTGATTAAGAACTTTTTCTCAGTTAACAGCAGTAGCATTAGAATTTGTTGTGTAACATTACGAAAAAAAAGGGACGGCAATAAAAGTCGATTGACAACAAAAGAACGTTTCAAATTTATCGTTTCAATGGCCAGTGTCACCATTTCTTATTTTCCGAAAAATTGAGTGGGTCGCTCTCAGTCGATGTTGTGCTGTTTTGACTCGTTGTTCTTTTTGTCTCGCTATCACCATATCTCTCGGATATTCTCGGTGTTCCGTCTGTGTGCCGTTTGTTTGTGTGTGTTGTTTAGCCAACAAAATTTTGTCTTTGGTTATTTAGTAAATATTATTTAATCGAGACTCATAATCAACAATATGGGGTTCATTCGGTCTGACAATAACATCATTGCAATTTGTGCACTACTAATGTGTTCAACATCATTATTATCGACAACAATGGCTACGAATTTAAATTTACATATGAATTTAACAGATGATTTACCGATCTTCGCTCAACCACTCGTTGACATTTTGATTTCGGACTATTTTAAAGTCGAACAAGTGTTGTGGGAACGCATTCAACATCGTGCCGATAATATGTTGTTGCAAGTATTCAAGAATCATGAACGGTTTTTTGACAGCGCTCTAGATGACAGCGGCAGTCGTGTATTGACGAAAAGTGATGTTTTAACCAAAGATATAATAGCAAACATTGAAACACTCTTTCAAATCAACGAGCAAATAAATAGTATTACAGATTCGGGACGAATACATTTGAAAGAGCAAACATTGGATCGAAAAAGTATCACCGAATATTCAAGCCATGCACTGAAAATACTCAAAGAGGCCAGCAATTTATTTGATTATGCAACCAACGACACATTATGGGAAAATATTATCACGGTCAGTGTGTGATTATAAATTGGGATGAGACGATGATGACACAGACAGACACAAAAAAAATCATACAAACTAATTCAATTCAGTTTATATGAAATTAGAGTTTGAATGGAATAATTTTTTTGTTTGCTTTCAGCATTTTACAAACTATCGCAAGAACGGTGACACCGTACAATCGTCACATCATGTAATCTATGATTTATATCGAGACATTCAATCGGGATTTTTAAAGAGTTACATTACAGCACAAATGTCTTATATGATTTTGAGCTATTACAATAGCGGTGGTGAGTATAAAAATCTCAATTCATCAACACAAAACACTCCCGGGACCGTTGTGTTTAATTGAGTGGTCATTTGTATCTGTGTGTTGAATATTATTTATATTTTTTTAGCTCTAGAGAATTACAGCGAACAAGTGGACATTTTGCGAACGACATTTCAACAGAGGTTCAGTGATTTGCGTCAAATTGCCACACGATTTCTGAAAAAATCTGACAAAACGGTCTGGAAATGTGACACAATTGTTAACAATGGTAATTTCTCCATATTAATAACAACAATATCAAAAATTGTACTAATTTCTTAATAATGATGTTGAATCAACTCACGACATTCCATTTGTAGTTTTCAGCTCGTACACAGAGATATCGAATTTTCTACAAGGATTTGTTGACAACGAGGCCAATTTGAATTCCGATGCCAGTTGCTCAGGGGTTTGTTCAAATTTCCGGAAAACAGCACATTTTCAATGTCAATCTGGTTCGCTGTGTGATTCACGTGTTAACGACCATGAACAGGCCAAATGTAGCGGCATAATAAGAGATTGTCAGAGCATTGATGACTCGGATGTAAATATTTGTGAAACGGTAAACTAAAATATACCTTTCGATTGTATGCCAAAATGGTATAAAGAGTGTATTGTTTACACTATGCCACACTGCAGTTAAAATAGATTTCTTGTGATATATCTCCAGTGTGTTTGGACACAAACAAATAATAAATCTGGTGTTTGTTATCATTTCAGGGCGAATCAAATCGACGATACAATTATATCAAGTACAGCGATGGACGTACAGCCGGCAATTCAAAAGCCATATGTCATGGTCGATTAAGAGTTAAGTATCCTGATGCCACATGGCTAAGCGATGAACAATGCACTCATTGAGATGATCAACACTGATTTCAATACAACAGACATTCCCCTTTATTTAGCACTTATGAATATGCATTTATGCAGAATTAATGGAATGCATTTTCTTTTTTGGTTCATAGGCTGAGTCGTGGATTCGTTGGTTTGTACAATGTAGCAATTGCATTTGTTTGTGCGATGACATCAAGAGCAAAAGAACAGAACGTTATATAAGTTTACGTGAAGTGGTTTCAAACATTGTTGACAACAAGTAGGTGTTAATTCATTTTCTCTCGGTTCGAGTGAAAACAATCGACAAAATCAAATTAGTAATGATAATGAAACCTTTTTTCCTCTATCCCATCCGTCAAGAATCGTTACAGGTGTCACGTTAACAAAACAAAATGGCATCATTCATTTGGCAATTGCTGAACGAACACTGCTACCCTACGCTCAGGCAGAAGTCACACCGGATTGGGATTTTTATGAACCATGGAAATCATCGTATGAATTTTTCAAAATAGACGACACAAACGTCGAAGAAAATGTCGATTATTTTACAATTTCGTATGAAAATCGTTCAATAAACTTGGATGAGGTGACAGTGCCGAAGGGTTCACTTGTGACTGGTGTACGATTTCGTGTTACCGATGCCGGTCACATTACATTGGACGTACGAGCAACACCGTTTGATTTTATTACAGGAAAATTGAAAGATTTGACCAACAGCGTATGGATATCGAACCCAAACTGTGGTCAAACGGAAATCACGCAACATCGACCCACAAATCCATTAAACCATTCAAACAAGTTATCACATATAAATAATACACCGAACGCATTTATAAAATTCGGACCAACCGATTATTGGGACGATGTTATGCAATTAACGGTACCATTTATTGATACACAACGCGTTGAACCGTACAAACCGATTGCACTGTCTGGTTGTGGATTATACCACAAATCAACATCTGGATCAGGTGGCTTTATCGCACCAAAATTAATTGTTTATGATTTTGAACCGTATATTTTAGATAATAAGTAGAATAATGGATTGTATTCAAATAAATGCGTTTTTTTTTCTCAGAATTATCAATTAATCCAGGGTGTATAAAATGCGATATGTATGTATAATTGTATATCAATGAAATAAAAATCATTTTCAACATTTCTACCGAAATCGATTCATATTTACATTTTATTCAAGACTAAAATCTTATAATAAATTTTATTCATTTATTTGAGGAAAAGTTTGCAATGAAAATATTCAGAAATGACATCAAATCCGATGATTCGACAAAAAAATTATTCATATTCAACCCATCGTGGAAAAGTCACAATAACTTATGTTTACTTTAAGAGATACTTAAACAGTAAGGCCATGGGATGACAAGAATAACCATACTATTCATGATTGTTTGAATATTTGGGTCGTATCATTATAGTGGTACTTTATGCTGCTGTGTACAGTAAAAAAAAAGGAAAGAGCGACCGAAAAAAAGGTACACACATAACAAGCAATAAAACTATGGCTGACACAGATAAACATGACGGAGCAAAAAATCGTTCATTGCACTTATAGAGATGATGTACAAGAAATTCCCTTCTCACACCAAAAACCGATTACATGGCCACTTAATTTTTCCGGTTTGCTTCGTACTTTTTGTCCTTTTGCGATTTTTTATCGTCTTGGCTATCTCTGTGGGTTGTCTCTCAAGAAGATAGAAAAAAACGTACGTGCAACAATATAACAATCGTCAATGTCACGATTTTGACGAGCATAATGCGCGCCCTTGCTATTTTCTAACAGCAGAAAAAAGCAACCATTTGTATCACAGATTATGTATCGCAGTCAGAATCCAGAAAAAAGTGTAATGGAATCGAGTACGATGGGTCCTGAATATTTCTTGTCGATGCTCTTGAGCTGTTTTCCATCTTCTTCTTATGTTGACACTTTGGTTTTATATTTCAATTGTTGTCGTTTATTGACTGCCAAACATCGAAATTGTATTTTTTGCTCAATTGCTCGCGTAGGCTTTTGTAATATGTTTTTGTCTTCTTCTGACAAACTGTACGTTTCATTGTTGGTTGATTTATGACAGTACACCCGATGTGTACCATGCATTTTTTTTTGTTCAATCAACGAATTTAAAGAATTATAAAAAAACGAGAATTAATCGGCTTTATCAAACACAAAACTGGTTTTCTATGCACATGCCAGTTGACAGAGAAACACGAGCAAAATGAATTCCGGAAAAGTAAGCAATCAAGTGGTGGTTAATGCATAAAACCAAATTCATAAATCTACACACGCATCAAACCATTTTTCGAATTATGTATTTAATATGAATATCAATGGGATGAAATTGAATTTGGTTTTCTTTAAACTTTGGTATGCATCGAGCCTGTTTCGTGACATTACAAATTTTCATGGATATGTATACAGCTTCTTCTTTTTTCAGTCGCAAGCGAAATTGAGATTTTCACGTATATCCTCATTGTCATGCAAAGTTCATATAAATGCAAAAAGATGGATGCCGAATGAAACAAGTGTTAAACACACACGCATTCCCACAAAATACATCAAATGAATACTCCTCCATCGGAATAACAATGTGTGGATCGTTTCTTTTCTTGTCGGATGGTAAATTGGCATTTTTCTCCGGCACCAGCAAACAGAAATGAGGGAGAATTGAAAGAAAAACCGCTGTGATTTATTATTATTGTTATGACATCCACGTTGAATTTGTATATTTTCAATTTGATTTTACTTTTGCATTTTGTCTACCAAAAACTACCTATGTTGTTACCCTCATTGCCATCGGTAAGTTACTCATTCACTAGATTTTATTATATGAAGATATTTATTTTCAATTAAAACCAAATGATTCTTATTGTTTGTGCCAACGTCTTCACTTTTATTGTAGTATTCATTTGGGCGAGAAAAATTCAAAAACATTTGAATGTGATTAAACTAAAAATGAAAACGAATGAAAATGTCAAAACGTATTTCGCCTCTTTTTAAGACACGTAGCCAAAAACCACTCTTATTTCAATTGATGAATCGTCGTTGGGTTTGTGTACTTATGTCATATGATACATTTTTGTGTATGCAAGCTTAAGATTCATTTCTGTTGGAAAATGTTTTTCTCCATTTCGAATGTAATTAAATTTATGGAGTTTCACTTACGATCTGTATAATTTTTGAAAAAATTGTTTCGTTTTTTGTTGTAGTCTTCACCAGGGCTAGACAAATTTTTGTTTACATCGGTCGCACTGTTTTTTATTAAACGTCGTCTAACCAAACCTTTATTACTTTCTCTTTGCTCGATATATCTTCACGGTGTGTGATCTATAGACAAAGCTCTAACAAAAAATGTATTGTCAAGAATATATATTAAAAACGATTATTTTATTACAGGTTCTAACAAGAAAATTAACGACAAAATTCATTTAGATGCTTTCAGCTACATGTTTTTCAGGAAAATTTTATCTGTAATAATACCTTTTATGGGACTAAAAATATTGCGGGTCGGGGTCCCCCGAGTCGGGGATGAAATTAGATTGATTCATCCAGAGTTGATCCTATTTTGGATTAGCGTGCTCTCTATAGGTAGGAATTGATTATGTTTTATTAAATGATAAACTAATTAAAATTGAATCGTTTAATTTAAATGTTACATAGGTCGCCAATGGTTTTTGGACATGGAAATTAATCCTCAGAAGTATAAGATTACTTCAGAATCTACGATACAGACTGTGCTGCGTAAATTAAAAAAAAATTGAGCAAATTCGAATTTTTTTTATTGCCTTCTAATAATTGTCGAATATTTTAATTAAATAAATACAACACAACTTTGGAAATGATGTAAAAAATTTGTATTTTATGATACTAAGGACTAGAACTAAGGATTTCTTTTCAGATAGAGTCACTTAATTGAAAATTAAAAGAGCAAGTATTAGACAATGATATATCACAGAGTATATAAGAGAGAAAGAGAGAAAAAATCTCATCGAAATCATTCAAGTTTAACATTTTTGGGAAGTATCACTTGACTTGCACAGATTCAACGATTCGAAACATTCGAAATTGTTACTCTCTATTGGATGCGACTAACCATGTATTTAACCCAACAGAATAAAAAGGTAGTCGGCTCAAATTGAATGCATAAAAAAGCAGATCCAAACATTTACTGATTTTTTAATAGGCCGAATGATGTTGTGGATATGAAGAAAAAACAAACGATATGTTTTTGTGAGCTGACTGAATCCTTGTTGAATTAAAAAGCCGTAGCGCATACATACAAACAACTGCATTAATTTCGATCTGTTCGTAAAATTAACTTTGTATTTTCCAGATTTTTATCGTATCCGCATGAGAACAGGGAGGAAGTTCCCATCAACCTACATAAAAAATCTAAATAAATTTGAATGATCTATTGAATATTGAGCATTGTATTAAGTTGGTTGTGATTTTTTGTGCGCAGTTTTATTTGTAAACAACAGGTTTCGTTGAGCTTGTAATGAAAACCATACGAAAGCCAAAAATCCCGATTAAGTCGTAGCTCTCTGCAATTTCGACTCACTTTATCTCGAAACAGTGAACATTTTCTCGGGGTTCTTTCGTATATGGCATGCACGCAGAAGAAACAAACATATCATTTCAGATGATTTTTTTGTCGGGATACTTTGGAAGACTCACATGATGCCATTTTTACGATGGATGTGTAGATTTCTAGAAAAAATATGCACCTGATCCATTTATGAGAACGACGGCATATCGAAAATATTTTAACATCATCATTGGAATCAGAGGGAGATTGAAGGGGCAAGCGAGCAAGAGAGTTAAATTATTTTAAGTTTTTCATTCGTGATGATCAATATTTAATGAAATAAAAGCATGAACGAGCATTACGACCTAACAAGGAATCGAAATAAATCCATTTTTTGTGTGCGCTCCATCCATGTGCTACTGCATCTCTACATATCTCAGTTTTTATGTCTGTTGTCTTCTTTATTCTCTTGGTTGTTCTAACATACATATCAGTAATATGTGTGTGTATAATACACTCACAAACGAAATGTGCATGAGGAGATATGTTTCGTACATAATATATTCATCACCGACACATATACATCACATTTAATATATAATCTACACGGGTAGAGCGAGCGCAACAATTTCAAATGTTTGAGTATTTGAAGTTGCATGTGTGCAGGTCAAGTGATATTCTACAAAAATGTTAAACTTGAATGATTTCGATAAAATAGTTCTCTCTCTCTCTCTCTCTCTCTCTTATTTACTGTGTGGCAAATCATTCTCTAATACTTAATCTTTTTATTGCCAATTAAATGATATTAATAACAAATAGAATAAAATATCATTGATTTTATGATTTTGAAATGTTTGTTGTATTTAATTAAAATATTCGTCAATCGTTAGAATGTAATTCCGCTATGCACACCTTATGCTCGAACGATTAAATTTTAATTAGTTCATCATTTAATGAAAAATAACCAAATCTTACCTATAGAAAGCGAGCAAATCCAATACAAAATAATGTCTAAATGAATCGATGTATTGTTATCTCAGCAACACGCTCACAATATAACCTGGCTACAAACAGGTATAAATATATAGATGGCTAGACTCAAAAATGACTGAATTTTAACATTAAACCGTGACTGCTAATTACCTTAGACACTGAATGAAATGTTAGTTTTATCACACACCAAACTGAAATTAATACAACAGCAAATCTATTTTTTTAAAAATGCATGTTGTTGGCTGTGTTTGGCGAATGATTGAAAAAAATGTAAGTATTCATTTGTAAATTTTCAAGTTCCATTATTTGAATCAATGTTAGTGACAGAATCGGGTTATGTTTACAAAGTAACAATAAATGTACACAAATATTTTCGATATATTATTAAAGGAAAACATTGTTTGAATTTTCCAATGAGCTAATATATAGTTAAGAATTGGCTGTGGTCATTCAATGTGTACTAATTTCAAGTGGTTGATGCACGATGCACCACATAAATTTGTATATCGTCATGTTCATCATTTTATAAACAAACCGTTTAAAAATTGACCTTTAATATATGCACATGTATGGAAGCTCAAACAATCAATTTCAAGTTTGATGATAACATATTGTACATGGAGTTAGATGCGCGCAATATATACACATAAAATCTCTGATCGAGTTGTAATGTTTGCCAAGTAAAATTAAGTGCTTTCCTCGCAAAAACAGTCAATTATTTTGTCAAGTGCTTGTTTGATGTCAAGACATCTTAATTAACAATCAACTACCAGCATAAGTAGTTTTAGACCATCAACAACGAGCAACATGTGCACACAGTACAACATGGAAAATGGCAATTCCAGCAAACAAAATGGAATTTTGTGGTGTTCAAATCCACTTACCTCCCTCTTATGGCTCATCATGTCTCCCTGTAATTTAGCAGTTTCATTTCAAAGAAGTTTCTTGTGTTTTACAAATACATTGGAATTTATTTGGTATTCGTCACAGAGCCAAAAAATTCAACGTTTCACAAATAATAATTAAACTGGCAGTTGCAGTATGATAATATAAAGATGAATGATTTAAACCATTTTGAGGTTCATATTAAATTATATGTATGTCAATGAATGAGTTTTTTTCTCTCCGTATCACATAGAACGTTACATGGATCAGTGAAAAGACTTAAATTTTATGAAAATACGGAATTTCAGATTTAATTGTGTGATCAGTTTGATGTGCAAAATAAAAATTAATATCAATATCTCCAAAGAGACTGAATCATTTTGGCACTTGGTGCCCAATCAGTACGTCAAATTTAAATAATACTTAATGCGAAGTAAATGTATGTACGTATGTAAAACCAAGCTCATGTCATCGTTCCATCTTGCACGGCCATTGGTGTTGAGGTATTTCACACAGTTTTGTGTGAGTTTTCGTCTTTTCGCTTGCTTCTTTGGGTCACGATACGATACGTTCCGTAGTTCCATTCTCAGCTGTTGTGTCAACGACGCCTTTGAATTGTATGCAATGGTCGCTGGCGTTGTGCATCGTTGGCATTTGCATTGAATTTTATATCGTTCAAGTAAACACTTTCGACGATATTTGCTCGATCGATCCAATTCGTCGTCTTGCAAATAGGATATGGTAATCTCCTCGCCTTTTTCAATCGGCCGAATTGTAACTGCAACAGTTTTACGATCTGATGTGACTAGAACTGCGTTTGGTTTGCAACTATGACCCAAGAAACCGCCGACTATTGCATAAATGGTTGTTCCACAATTGTGACCAATGTTGCTATTATTTGCAGCATATTGCAGTGCACATATGTGATGTCCAATCAAATGCATTAAAAATCGTTCGTGTGCTTTCGTTCCAAATAACTTTTCAAAATCATCTTTGTCCATGAAACCATCGAAAATGCGCTTTATGTAACGCAAATAGATTTTTTCTGTGAACAAAATAAATGGATCATTCAAATGTTCGCTTCGATATCAAGTCACACTTACCCTTTTTCTTGGGCCATTGCCATTTCAGTCCATTTTCCAAGAACACGGTATACCTTGATAGATCCGTTGAAACCGAATCCAATGCAGTGCCTTCACCAGATACAATGCGATCAACATGCTTAATTAATTCACTCAAATTCGGTATGCAATGCAATGCCATCAAAATTGATCGAACAACCAAGCCCAAATTGACATCGTCATTCATATGTTTCACTCGCAAATCCATCGCGCACTCGATTTGATGTAGTTCAGTTTTTTCGCATGATCCAGCACACAATAAGGAATCGGTGCAATTTTCACATGGAATCAAATTCGTCATTGTTTTCAAGCAAATTGTGCATCGTTTGTACTTTTCACTTGTTGTCCAAACGAATCCATCTTCAACGAGCACCGTTTGACCTACACCAATGTCATGGGTTGCAATAATGCAACGTTCGCGATGCTGTTCATCGTCGTCGGTTTTTCTATTTTCGATTCGAATAACATTTGCTGTGCACGGACATTGTTCGTTGGCATCAAAACTGAGCTGCGGTTCGTGCATTTCATGTTGGTCGTCAGGCAATGATAGTTTTAGCATCTTTTTGCATTCATCACTCCATTTTTTCAAACGTGGCAAAAATCTCGACGGACAATTGTTTGCTCTGGCCAATTTGATGTCGACAAGACATCGGTCGTACATTTTCAAATTGAGAAAACATGCCGCTCGTTCTGCATACCCACAACCCATCGATTCAGTTCCACGCTTGGCGAAACACAGCGCTTCATTTATCAATTCAATGGCATTCGTCCAATTTTTTGCTTCCGATTCAACCATTCCTTTTATACCGAAACCAAAAACATAAAATTTCAACATATTTAGTACAGAAAAATATCAATTTTTTTCTCGATAACATTTTAATTGAACACATTCAAATTTAATGTGGTGTTGAATTAAAAATCAATTTTTTTACCTTTTTTACGATAGTGATTGGCTAGTTTTTCATTTTTCACCAATTTTTTTGCATTGTTCGAGCCGCTCGAATCGTCCAACAAACGAAATATATTTTCGTATTCATATTTTGCAAGAAGATTGGTGAACGGTGAATCTTTTTTTATTGTTTCCTTCTTCCACAACATAATTGCTCTATGTTGCGTTCAATCGTATCTTCAATAGCCCAAATACTTTATTTATTGGTCCGTGCACATTTTAAACTATAGTTTGTGTGCAAATGTCACTTGTTCTGTTCTGAAACAAGAATTCGTTGGGGACGCTATATTGTGTGTGAATTCACATTCTACTCACTCACGAACATATACAAACAAAATTACCAAAAAAAAATATACATCGTAGCCACCAGTTCGATATTAATTGGTTGCATTCGCCGAATCTGATATTCTTTTATTGTATTGTGCGCTGTATATTTACATCAAATCATATTATGAAATGTAATGAACAAAAAAAAATATGTCAACGTCAGCCAGACTGTTTAATCGGTTGTATTTTGTAAGCGCGCGTATTAGATTTCATTTGATTGTATGCGTGTATATGTGTCCATCTTATGTTTGCATAAGTAAGAAATACTTGCCAATGTGTCAAAGCCGAAGACAATATAAATGTTTGAATCGCATTTTTCACATAAAATAAACGAATGTTTCGCTCGTTTTAGTTGTTTATTCAAACAAAAGTTGATTCTCATATTCCATGGATTCGTAAGAATGTGACATTTCTCTTAACTTTAAACTACTTAAAACAAAAGTCATTGTTGTTTTGTTGTTGTTTCGTTGAGTTTATTCATCAACAGTTTCGGCTGCTATTTCTTCTTCTTCGCGTTGACGCAATTTTGGATGTTTTCGTCGTGATGATCCCTTTTTCACTTTTGGCTTCTCGGTGGATGGTGGTGGTGGATTCTCTAATTCGTCGAGTTGTTTATCTGTCAAACGGCCCTTATACCAATCAGCACTGAAATCAAATCATATCATCATATTTAGAGCAGAAAAATATCAAAATTGTATTCCATTCAAAGTATGGCATTTTAATTGGGCACATTCAAGTTAAATGTGCTGAATATCATTGTGGTGCTGAATTAAAAAAATCAATTTTATTACCATTCGGGAATTTTGCGAGCCCAATCACAGCGCTTTGAAACATCGTCAAATGCTTGGCCAAGTTTGCATCCGTTTCGTCTTGGTTGTTCGCCATTGATGCACACATAGAAATATTGGCAGTCTTCAGGATCGGCATATCGCGGACTAAATTCATAATTTCAATTTATATTTGATATATGCATATTTAATCTATTTTATTGATTTAAAAACAAAGTTATATTACTGGGTTGCTGCAGTATTTTCATCAACTTTCGGGCATGTGAACGCAAACAATTCTGAAGAAGAAAAAAAGAAAAAATTATAAAGATGATTACAACTGACTCCATTTGATGCGAAAAACAATTGGCAAGAATGTTTCAAGATAACGAATATTGTTTGAAAATCTCTATTGTTTTAAGCAAATTGAAGTCTAGCCAATTTTTTATGTCAATGGCACTTGCAAATGGAATTTGACCATAAACAATTGAACGAGATTTTTATTTGTACAAATTATGGATATTTTTTTCCATTAAGATTGGGTTTTTTTTTTTCGTTGTTTCAAATAGAATTTTTTTCTGAATACATTGCCAAAGTACTTGCCTTCTGAAGAACATCCCTTCTTTTGGGCCTCGTCCGGCCATGTGCAGATACCTATGATTTACAAGGAAATACGATTCAATTGAATATAATTGGTTTTTATATTGCTTTAAACTTCATCGCGAATACCTGTGCGAGGGTTGAAGACCAAACCAGATGGACAAGTGATTTGATTAAACATGCCGTCAACGCAGTAGTAGAATTTATCGCATGTTCCTTTGTGTGCAAAATATCCGTTTAGACGGGGGCAATTCATTGTTGGTCTTGGCTCCTCTGTTGAATCGAAAATATTAAAATTAACCATTTTTATTTTATTTATATGTCCTTTGATTGATAGACAAATAATTATTGATTTTGAATGAGTACGATTTAAATCGAAATCTGTGTCTCCCATCTATCTCTCTTACTTATAATCACACATTAAGTGGCAATATATTATTCATGTTTTTTTCTGCACTTTTTCGAAATTTAATCAAATTAAATTGAATGTCAGAATGCACTGCATTATTCATTACTTAGCCTTTATACGCTGGAAAAAAAGTGTGGCATGTAACCAATTGTAGAAAGTGGTGCCAATGAATTTTTCATGACATTTTTGCCGGCCGCCATGGACGCCACTGCCGATGAAATATTACCATTGTGACTTAGTGCCTATGAAAAATGCCGCGCAATTTATGTGATTATATCGCATTTCTCTATCTCTTTGACCAGAAATAATTTAAAATAAAATGTCTTACATCCGTAAGATGAACTTTTCCGCACTGTGATCCACGACATGCATTTATTACAAATCTTTTACTCAAATAATTCACGAGAAAACTAAATCTGACATTAGTTTTAGATAAAAATAATTTTCGAAGCACTTTTCTTACAAAAACTACTAAAGATGGGAATTTTTGTATCGGAGCCATGCCTATATGATATCGTAATCATGTGAAAATTTGCAGAGGTTATTTTTTTCACAAAAAGTTAACATTCTGAAAGTTTGAAGAAATTTCAATGCCTATTAAGGGTACTTCCCATACAAAATTTCGTTTTAGAGCGAAAAATCCAAAATTTTGTTTGGGAGGTGCCCCTAATATTCGTTGAAATGTCTTCAAACTCTCGGAATGGTATTTATGTGTGATAAAAATAACCTGTGCAAAGTTTCAGCTCATTACGATATCATACAGGCATGGCTTCCATACAAAAATCCAAATTTTTTGAATTTTTTGTATGAAAAGTGTGTCGAAAGTTATTTGTATCGCAAAACTAACGTCATATTCGGTTTTCTCGTACCCAAAAACCCCCCAGTACATATTTTTGGATGTTTAAGAATACATTAAATATCACTTTTGGAAGAAAAATTGATTTTTTCCCATGGATGGCCATGGGCATCACACCAGACATGACACTTCACTCTGTCAACCAAAGTCGCTCAAAATCTAATGGTTTCTATTCCTCGGCACCCCCAATCATCCTGTGAAGTCAGATTTTGAATTACTTTTCTTGTTTGAAAGTTATCGTGTTAACAAATTTTTGCGTACAGGGTACAGCGTACAGGGTACAGGGTACAGGGTACAGGGTACAGGGTACAGGGTACGCACATACATTCGGACATCGAAAAAACGCTAGATTCGTGTTCCCTGGCCCCAAAAACACCCAGAAAACACATTTTTTATGGGTGTTAATTTTTCGACCGATTCCAATACTTTACCTTACACACTAGGTGTGTGCGGAAAAGTAATATTTAAGAGTGTACAATGAGCACATAAATTAGTCGCGTTCTGGCTCAAGCGCCATCGAAACAAACACATGTAAAACTATGAATGTGTGCTATATTATGATCATACGAAAAAAAAGCATTTTGCCAATTATAAATGTTAATTTTATGTTAATAAATTAATGATCACGACATTTTTTTCTCTCACAAGCGCGGCATTGAGAAGTTCAAATGATATTTAAACGCGTGCATTTTGTACGTACACAAATCATTGATGTGGTTTTCTATCTTTTTCGCTCTCTCTACCTCCCTCTCGCACACACACACATGCTCGTTACATGCAATCTCTATGCATGCGTTTTGAACATTCATTTGGATTTTTTCAAAATTTCCTTTTAATTTTGCGATATTTCTTCCGACCAACATGTTTTTGAATTGATCCGATTTTGTTTCATATTTTGTTATTTTAATTACATTAAAAAAAATTATCTACAAAAAAAACATATTATGAGCGAATAAAAATCGATAATAATAGAAATTTTAATATGCAAAATTCTAAAAAAATGAAAATTAAAATAAATATTTGGCGAAATGAACATTTAATAATAATTGTTGATAAAAGCGGATATAATTGGCGAACATTTTGTGTAAAGTAAAATGCCACATTTATTACATGTAATTTACACCGTTTTTTTGGAGAGATTATATTTATAACGAACGACCTAAAATCTGGCACAAAAATTAAATTCCATAAAATTCAGCCAGACACAAAACGAGAGACTGTAATGGTTATGATAGCTGATGGCGTGAATAAATGTGTGAACTTGAATTTTTCAATTGAATTTCAGTCGAAAAATCAATTCTGTCCCCCCCCCCATCACACACATGTAAATTACCCAAAATGTTAAAAATGCGACACTTACGTAATTTTGGACGTTTTGAGCAGTCAATGTTGTACGGTAAATCGCATTTCTCCTGATCCGAACTGTAATCGTTGAATACCATTCCATCGGGGCAGAGTTTTTCTGTCATTTGACCATCGCTGTAAAAAAGGCATAAATAGACGGTGTTCAATTTTAGAAGTAACCAATATGCTACTGATATTCAAGTCAATCTGTTCGAGAGTTTGAGTATGATGTGGTCAATGTGGTGCTCAAGTTTAAATACCCGCAGCATATTCCGCATCACGTTAAGATATGTATGTGAAAATGTAATAAAAACACACACATAACAAATTGTGATAAAAAACAAGTTTACTCTGAGCAATGTCATTGCAACAGGTTAAAGCCGTATAAAAAAGCGGACTATGATTTCCGTACGTACCTGCATGCATAATATTTATCGCTGAAAAAAAAAACAATAATGAAATAAATGTTAGTATTGTGATGATAAATTCTACTATTTGTGATCGATTTCACAAACCATTGTTCACTGTCGGCAAAAAAACCATCTGGCTCCGGGCAATGTGCAGACGTTTGAATTTCGTCGTCATCTTCATCGGCATCGGTCGATGGTGTTGGTTTTGGTTTCTGTGTAGCTTTTGTACGATAGTTCCTGTTTGGTTTACGATGTAAAAAATTTGTATTTCTTGTCGATGATGGTTCCCCTTGTGATGCAACCAAACCTGAAATCGAAGCAGAAGCATACATAAGTAAACACGATAAAAAATGGACATGGAAAACTACTTGATGCCACTCATATAGGTGTTCGACGATAAACAAATTGAAAATAATATAATTTTATGTTGCCGTGAGCAAATGACATTGATTTCGAATAATATGAAAACTACAATGATACCGCAATAACAAAATAAATCTCATATGAAACTCAATTAACGCATATCAACACACAAGTACTGCATAGCAACCGGTAGTGCTGAATATGCAATGAATTTTATGATTTTCGATGATTTGAAAATTGATGAATTCAGTGCCGGAAGAAAAGTATCGAATACTTTAAAGTACAAATTCACATGAGTGCAACTCAGAATTCACTCTATCTCTCTCTTTCTCTCTCTCTATTTCTCTAGTTCTTATTCTCTTGCTTTTATTTCTTGTCCGGAGTCTGCCACAACATCGACGTGCCATAACAGTCAAATGTCGTAAATAACCCGGTTCTATGAAAAATCAAACCAGTTTTAATTATTTCATCGATATTTTCTAGCTGTCGCAATGGCAGTAGCAAGGCGATCCATCCAAATGAATGGCGTCTATTGTGCACTCTGATATAAAAATTTGTTATTTATCACAATGAAACTAAAATCTACATTACATTGCAACACACACACATTCATAACAAACTCGTCATCACGTTAGAAAGTAGTTGGGTGTAACACACAATGAACTACCCGATTTGAAATTTTGCGTACTGTTTCCTTTTGATTAAATTCCAATTTAATTTTCTGCATTCTGCATTTAGTGTAAAATTCATCGATTTTGACGAATTTCAAATGATACGGCTCACCGAATCGAAATCAATGCCATTCATATAGAGTGCATTGCCATTCAATTGTGTGAATCACTCAAAATCTCATAATGGAATTTATTTCTTTTTCAATTTTCAATCGAAAAAGTTTCCAAACAAATATTGATCACTAGCAACACTACCATTTTTCGTACATTTTTTATTTCATATTTCAAACAGAAACAATAAAATGGAACAAGAATGAATAAATAAACAAAAAAAAGAACTGTTTCATTCAATTTTTTTCCGCTTTCTTTGCTGTTGTTGGTTTGTTAAACAAAAAAAAATTGAAAAGAAAGTTCAACAGAGAGGAAAAGAGCGCCAAAACAAGAAGAAAAAAACAGATACACGTCTATCGATTCTCATTGCAGCACATCTATCTCAGAAGTTTGGCGAATAACATTTGCATTCTTGCAAGTTGGAAGAACTCATTTGAATCAGGTAGCAAAAGTGTGAACAAAACATATGAAAAGAAAACTTTTCCGTTGCACAGCGAAAAAGAGCGTCGTATTCTTTTGATACGATGAAATGTTTTTTTCATTTCTATCCACATTTTATCGCATAATTGACACGTACATGATACATATTCATGGCGTTCAATTGAGTCTCTCATTTCATTTTAAGTAATATTCCTTTACAATAACTCTGCGAATATTATGTTCCTTTTGACTTTTTTCGAATCAGTGATACGAGCTGGTAGAAATTATATTCGACAAAAAAAATACCATATGACGAAAAGTGTCTGTGTTATGTAAAAAAAAAATCATATCAGACATGAGAGATATCCAAAGCACGCTAAATGTTTCATACTCACGACCGTGATGCCATTTACGAATATGTTGAACATTACAGTTTGTAGGTCTGCATCAAACATTGAATAACGAGCCATATCTATCTCATTCGTATGCTAATCGCAACGAGCTTATGCTGTCAATGTTTTTTTCTCTCTTTTTATCTCCATCTTTCATTTTTAACGCCAATTTATATCGAAATCCAACAAAATTCCTATACTCTCTCTATCACGCACATACTCATACACACGCCTATTTGTGACTACCAATGTTTCCAAATTCTAGCTGAACGTTGTGCTTTCAATTGATTTGTTCCTATGTGTTGTTTTTTTGGGGTTCTCACACCGTTATTCTTGAAACCCATTCTTTGGTGCAAAGATTCATTGTGAAGTGCCAAGCAAAGGTTTTTTGTTTGAATATTTTATTTCGTTGAAAAATAATCCCTTTGAATTTTGCTTTTTCTCGCGAACATTTCTGCATCAAAAAGATGATATGAATGAAGGGCGACAACGGGAGCAGAACAGAGGGATCAAGTGAGTGAAAAAGTATTGAGTTGAAATGTTCAAAAAGATTTCTTTTTTCCTTCGAAGAAACAAGCGCGTTTCAAGGGAGATTTAATCCGTTCGATTCTCAGAAAAAGTTCGCCAAGTCTGTGGCATTGCCAAACATATGTTGCTGATAAGTTTTCTCTAAGGCAGTTTTTTTAGTTTACTATTCAGTTTGTTTGATCAGCTGCACTTTTGCCATAAGTTTCAATAACTTTCACGTGTTCAATTGTATCGAACGAATCTTATGCAGCTTATAATATCAGCTTCAATGCGCGTTGCAATACAAATTTTGTTTATTAAAACGGAATGACCTCAATATAATAATTATTGCAAAAGCAATACAAATATGCCTTGAATGTCTGAGTACATATGCAAGCACTGTTTAATCATCGTTCTTTCATTCGTTTTCATTGAATACATTTTTCACACTTTCACTTTTATTTATCTCAATCTTTCTTAATGGCCATTGTTCTCATTTAATTAATTTCATATCAATTTATCAAGCCATTCATTAAATGCCACTGATTGTGATCAATTTCTCCTCCGCGTAAAATTTTCACTTCTTTTCGTGTTTTAAATACAAAAAAAGCATGAAATTTGACGAAAAAAAATCGACAAAAAATTAGCAAATCTCAAGATTTCCAATGTTGTCGTAGAAAACGATTCTCATGAATATTTGTGATGTACTCGACACTTGCGACATAACAACACACGTACACACATTCGATATGGTGCGGCAGTTGATTGGTAAATATAGTTATTAAAAAATTATATATATTTGATTGAAATTTATCTCAAACACACTCACCCACAAGCAGTGCAATTAAACCGAGTTGAATAATATTCCTTGATGTTGACATGTTGAATGCGCTGATATAACTAATATTGTGATTTCCAATATCTAAAGCCGATGGCTTTGTGGGCAACAACAGAAAAGAGAGTGGCAATTTTTTTTTTTCTTCGTCTGATGTTGTTTAAATTTTTGTTGAACGGGTATTGTGAGGCGGGAGAAGTGGTTCCCATGTCTATGGCACTTAAGCAGCTGTGATAGCATAACTTAAGTGTGTAAAAATGAAACCTGTGTGCGAAGCGACTCAAAACACTCAACTAGAAATATGTTTTGTATGGCGGCAGAGTGCGGTTAATCGACACACGAACTTGCTAAACCACAATCACAAACCATTATTGTATTTCATCTCTTGCTTTTCAATAGGTGGGATCACTTTTCTCTCTCTCTCTCTGCATTGTTGGCAAGACTAGAAAAAAAAGAAGCGCATTTTAAAGAGAGAGAAAAGAAACAAATCATGATTGTTGGCTGTGAACAAAAAATGAAACGATGATAATTGCAAATAAGTGCTTCTTACTCAGCGTCAAATAGTGAAAGCATGTCTTTCATGTAAGCTATACTAAGAGTCTTAAAAGCCAATTAACGTCAATGCACCCATTGTTTAGGTGAAATAGAACCGTTACTTTCGACACTAAGACATACTGCACTGCACTGCACGGACTATGTTCTCTTGCTTGATTCGTGTCGGAAAATCATTTCGAATGCATGTCACACAGATATTTTGAATTCAATAGCCTCAGCACATTGCCTTTTCACGCGATTCATTGTGAGCTAGTTTCATTCTTCGTTTCTTTTGTTTGTATTAAGATGGTCGCTTTAGCACAAAGTAACTTTAATGCTTTGATTCTTGCTAAAGAATCTATGTCGTGTGCTTTTTTTATTCTTTTTAGAATTGCGGCCACGCAAGCGAACTAAGTACACTCATTCTATAAATAAAAAAAAACAATTGCACAAAGATCACTTTGTGTGGTTTTTTATGTTTACATTGTTCGATTCTATCGTGGAGTTTAGTTTCTTCGTTGCGGTCTCCTCTGCTGTGCTGCTTCTATACTTACTGTATTCATAAGGATTTTGGAGTTGTTCAACATATTTCTGATTTGTACACACGACTTGAATAAATTACACAAAACGGTTATTCATTAATTATTTAAATCACGACCATTCAATTTTTTTGACGTCTTTTTTTGATTCGTATTGATTAAATAGGAAAAAATCACAAAAATCGATTGTTTTGTTTGAATGACGACATTTTCATGTCATATTTTAATAATGTCAACTTTCTTACAAAAAGTCGCTCTGAAACAAAATCTCAAATAACAAGAGTATAGTAATTTGTTCAGGGGGAGGGGTATTCTGGGGTTTCTTTTGATTTTCTAAGGTTTTTGGCGAATAAAGTGGATAAATTTTACACTAGACAAAATGGAGTTTGGAGAGCCTCTTCTGAAAATCCGAGCTTGCTGAAAATCTGAGCTTGCATGTTACTGAACTAGAGCGTAGGTGAGCAAACCCTTTCTGCAGAGAGAAATGACAAGTATAATAGAGAAGAAAATGGACTGACCAGCAAAAAACCTGTCAAACACCCTGGAAAATTGAAGGATTTGGAAAATTCGGATCCCATTCAAGCCATATCAAAACCCTCTTTCCTCCGTCCGATCAAGCAGTTCCGCTGTATTTCAAAAAATGCCAAATATTTTTTGGAATAATTCAACCTCTCAATGTATTTAATATTTACTTCATTTGCATTTTTTTTATTCATCAATTGTTCTTTTGAATAACACATAACATAAAATATGTTTAATAATAATTTCAAATAGTCAAAACGTAACATTTGCTATTATTCATTCCAAAATCTCTGAATCTCTGACATGAGATACACATTATTTTTTCATGTGTTTGTTTCATTTAACATAACTATACAAGAAAAAAATTGTCCAAAAATTTCAATTTTGTTTCGTACATTTCTAAAATGTCGTAAAAAATAAATCATTTTCTTTTTTTTGCGATTCGAGGGGAAAACAACTATGTAATGGAAAACGAATTCGAATACTCCCGATAAAAATCCAATGAACGGAATATTCTTTTTCAATATAATTTCATCAAATATTTCTGTCTATTTCACATTCTTGATCTCTCTCAATAGAAGCGAATATTTATAATCATTTTTTGTTTGTTAGTTTGTAGAGATAATTTGCTAACTATACAAGCTGCACGGTTCCTGCACTGCGCGAACACATTTTTTTCTCAAAATGATTAGCTACGTATTGTTACCGTATCTCTCATATATATTATAATCGTAATGGATTTCGCTCATTTGTCGAAGCATTTTCATAGCATCAATGAAATGATGTACTTCTAAAATGACTATGCGTTAAATAAATAAAAAAGAGCATGGTTTATTCAGCCTGTTGAATAGATAAACCATCAAAAATGGATCCTTCGGTGAGTAGTTCGCTGCTTGTTGCTAGAATGTCAGTCAATTCATTGGTATTGGTTGTGTTGCGTGTGAATGGAAAAAATGAACTGATCATCGGCATTGTTTGTAATAAATTATCGTCGGTTTTGGTTGCGGTTGTTGCTGTTTTTGATGTTGTGTCACCGTCAATTGTTCGCATTTGCAAGTCTTGTTGTAACTTTGATATACGATTCAAAATCATGCGATTGAAGAGATCGATTTGTGGATTGCCACCATTTTTAATTTCGAGCACTGGCAGCCATCGATAATAACATTGCATCCATACGTCCAAATCACGAATGGATGTATTTGGTTGTAGATAACGAACCTGAATTAAAAAAACGATTGAAATATTTAGGAATATTATGGTGGAAACAATTTTCGTTGAAGTGTAAAAATGAACCGTACTTCTGGTGTTGATTTTAATACATGTGAAGGTGATGAAACATTCACCGAAAATCTCGCATTATTCGGTCGATGCAGTCCTGGCAATGGAACGGCTGTTGATGGTAACATCACCGCCAACGATTTTCGAGCATTATTTTGTTGTTCGATTGGTTTTTTGTATAATGGATTTGTGAATAGTGCCAAATCTTTGTCGGCAAATTGTTCACCCCAATCCCAAACTGGCCGTAATACCAAACGATTCTGCAAATAAAATACAAAAATAATTGAAATTTAATAATTGTTGATCGATTCGAATGAAGTAAATTATATTGCATTAAAATCCAAACCTTTTTCAAGGCAACTTGACGATCATGCTCCGAATTGAAGAGGAATGTATCGAAAATGGGTAGAAATGCCGAATCCCATAATGTTGTTAAAAATGTTTCAGAAAATTCAAATTCATCGGGATATTGTTGTAGAAGCTGCCAAACACAGTCTAAAAATAGCAACAACAACGGACTTTGTTCACTTGTATCACTGTTGATAACATGGCCCAATCGATCACTATGAATAAACGAAAGAAAAATTATAATTTTTGATTCTTTGGGGGATTTATACAAAAAAATCTTTTTTACCTAAACGGATGACCAAGTGCGACCCAATCTTTTTGAATAAGCGACTCGAATCCGGATATTGTTCGAAAGTATGGATCCAATAGAAGTTGTGTTAAACTTGAAATAACACAGCACATGTCACGACCATTATTTTCTTGAAGAACCACCGTTCGGCCATCTCGCATCGTGGTCGCAGCAACATTTGCATATTTTAGGCACAACGAAACATATAGCAGCCAACACGTTTTGTCCAACAGTGTGTAAAATCGAATGTCTTGGGTCTGTCAAGTAATACAAAAAGTTCAATGACAAAGTGATAAACGAGAGGGAAAAAGTAGTAATCGTTTGATACATACCAAAAATTGACGCGTCGATTCCGGTGTCAATAAATCTCTTAGTTTAGTGTAGCTGATTTGAACGTCTTGATTGCTTGGCAGGCATTTGCTCAACTCCATAATGAATGGTTCTTGCATCAATGGATCACACATACGTACAATCTCAAGTAGACGATTTTCTTGTCGTGTATCGGTTATGGTTGGCATCAATTCAGCCAATCTCACAAGCGATACATTGCCCAAACTGTAAACCCAAATTGCGCCACGACCATTTCGAAATGAGTTTGCTATTTTTGTGTATTCACTTTCGGTGAGACTGCGCGGTATAACAAAATGCATTGGCAATGTACCACTTGGTATGTCATGTTCATGTTCCAACGATAATACATGCCAATTACTTGCACCACATCGATTTAGCTCACAACTCCAATCGATTTTTTTATTATACAACGAAATATTTCGCAATGTATTGTAGTATTTTTCACTGCAAGAGAAATTTTTCGGAATTTTTACAATGTCCAGGCGATGTCCACTGTCATGTGACACTAGAATTTAGACTCATTTTGACTGTTTTAAACTCACTTGTATTTATAGGTGAAAAGTAGATCGTGTTGATTTGGGAATGCAAACTTTGTTAGAGCCTCTGCAATTCGCTTACCTTGACCCAGTTCGGACCGCTTAAATCCAAATCTCAATACACGAAAATTCTATGGGAAAAATTAACAATTTATCAATTTTTTTTAAGTTTTTTTTTTCATGAAAAATGACTTCTTACCTTACACACAATTTGTAAACCTTCTAATTTCGGATTAATTTTGGAATATGGATTAACTAAACGCTTCTTTCGATCCACTATCTGATAAATTCGATCAATGTTTTGTAGTGTGACATCGTTCCGTTGGAGAAAAAAGTTCTCTTGATACGTAATATTCTGTTAATGATATGAGCATTAAAACAACTTTTGTTTATTTTTCTCATGAGTTGTACATACCTGTTCATTGTCGCTGGTTAAAAATGACAATTTGAAATTCGTAACAACCAACAAACCACAGAGGCCATTTTCTCGATCTTGACTTTTGTTCGATAATGTGGTATAGAGAATGACATTTTTTGCAGTTGCCACCTCCAGTTCACCTGCAAACAAAAAAAAAAACACTAATCTTTATGCAAACCAACACAAAATAAATATTATGGGGGGCGTATTTAACTATTTAATGTTTTATAAACACGCAACACACCCAATGTAAACCATTCAATGCAAATGAGCTCTCACCTGTCAACAATTTGGGCTTGAGACTCTCCTGTAATAAGTCATGCTCGCTGAGTGTCTGTAAATGCAATTAAATATTTGTTTAAATTATTCTCCTAAAAATTCGTCGAAGAAGAAAAAATAAGCAGCAACAAACCTCTGTGTCCAAATAGCTGGTAAAATTGTTCTTAACTTTGAATGCGGAGTCAGACATAATTCCGACAATTGTTGAGTACATTCCACTGACTTGTGTGCTCGTTTTGAAAAACTGTTTCTGATTCGTGTTGAATCAACGCCAGCGATGAAAAAAAAATCGTTCTTTTCTGTTGTACCGATCAAAAAAATCAATTTATTTTGTCGAAAATCACAATGGAACCGAGGCACACAGATAATTTTTCGGAATTGATAATTTCTTCGTTGTAAATTCACCGAATTCCATTTATTTATTGATTAACATAACAGTTATGTAGAATTTCAGTTTTGATCACACCATTTACATCAAAAGAACAAAAAAAACATTGATTTTAATTTTGTATTGTTTATTTTTTTATATGATTTCGAGAGTTTTATTAACGCAAACTATTTTCGATAGATTTTCAAAATAAATGACAACATATTCATATCGTTTTTTTCTCTATCGATGACGATTAAATATACGGTCTATTAGATTGTTTAGTGTTGTTAAAACATTTGATCTCGGTTGGATTTTTTTAATTGCTCCTCGAATTTTTGTTCTTCTTTTTCGTTCTTTCTTTTCTCTTGTTGTACTCACACGACGGACGGTTTAATAAAATACTAATGTCAACAGACTTTGACAGATAGAAAACCTAACGAGCAGTGGCACCAGTGTTGCTGCATATCATTTCGTTAAGTTTTTTTTTCGTTGAGTGCGTTTGTTTGGGAAAATATTTAAATAAAATGAAAATCACGTTAAACAATTACTAGAGCATTTTGAACAATAACGCGACGATAAAAAAATTGTTTTTGGTCTTTTTTTAATTTGAAAATGAATTTAACCGATTTTAAGTATGAAAAAAATGATTCGCATACAAAATTATACCAAGCGAACTCTTGCGACGGATTTTTATTCACGGACCAACATTTCGATCGTTATAACGAGAATCTATAGATAAATAAATAAATTCGATTATTGTTTATATAAGATTGGATACTAGACATGAATATTGAATGCTGGAATGTCATTGCTTGAGAGCGTGAGAAATTAGTTTGCATTTGAACAGCGACTTAAAAACAACTTGAACTAAAAATCATGGAGAAAATCATCTCAAAAAATTTGATTACAGCCATTCCGGGAATTGGCACAACATATGCAAAACGTTTGAATGCGGTTGGTATAAAAAAGGTAAGTACTCCGAACAAAGAAACAGAAGTTTATTATTTTTCGCCTCGATTTCCAATTGAAAAATCATATAATATCGTCATTGAATTTTCAATTCTAATTTTCAGCCTCGTGATTTGTTGAAGCAATATGAAAAGCTTGACAAGGATCCGTTGCTCTTTATGCATTGGATGAAAATGCAATGTCAAGCAAAGGCTGGACATGCACGCAAAACGTTCGACGTCGTAAAAGGCTTCAATGAAAAGGGTGTACCAAATCTGAATTTTTCGCCAATGTTGAGCTCCATCTCCAAAGCTCCAAAATCTACATTAAAATCATCCACATTGAATTCGGATAAGCCGACGCCATTGAAAGGCAAAGAATGTAAGGCACTGGTTCCAATCGAAACATCTGGAATTAATGCAACACCAAACAACAATGATGAATCCGACGAAAAAGACGCTGTGAGTCAACATTTATTGAAATTACGCAAACATTTTACAACCGTGCACAATGCAGCAAACAAAAAAATGCTTGACCTTCAAACGGAGCTGAACAGAATGAAAGGCATGGCACATGAATTTGATATTTTGGCGGAATTTTTATCATCCGATGAAAAGCTATCGGTATTTGAAGAAAACTTGGAACGTTTACGAAAAACGGTTGGTTTGGCCGAGGAGAAAATTCATGCAATAAATACCAACAATCAAAAAATCGATCGAATGATACAGCAAATAAATGAAACAGCACGGGTGCAATGGGAAAGCGACAAACGATTGGCATCGTGGGAAACGAAATTTTCCAATCAAAAAATCAACATGGATGAATTGAAATCAAAAGTCGCCGAACAGTTAAAGGGTGACATTGAAAGCATTTTGAACGAGCGATTGGACGATTTGGCCACCAACATGGAATGGATGAAAGATGTTGTCACCGGTATTATTGCATTGGTCATTTTGAAATTCGTTTTGTTTGACTTGATTATGAAAAATGAGGGGGGTGTCATAAGTGAAAATTAACCACTTGCACTAGAATTGAATGATCGAGAAAAGAACATTTATTCAGTAAATCAATCATTGAAATATAATTTTCTTAAGCGATTTAGCATTAAAAACATTTTACCACTATCAATTTTTCATATTTATAACTTTTCAACACGAAATGGTTTTTATTAAAAAAATATTCCTTTTTTATGTCAAGTTGAAAATCAATGAATTTATTAAACTTAAGTGGTTCTAATCATGAACAAAAAAATGATCCAATTAATCGAAAATATTATTATTTCAACACAAGATTTCCATACACTTTGTAATCAACACAAGTCTCTTTCTGGTAGTTTGTATGAAACAGTCGTTGATAGACATTGAATCAATTTCATTGCTACATTTTTAACAAATACGTTTTAATGACGAAGAAACTTGTCAAATACTGTTCAAAAAATCAATAAATTTTCGAAATTCGTAAAAGTAACACGAACATGTTTCGTTTTATATTTTGAACGTACAAATATTCATGGATTTTCTTATTTTAGTTTCAAAAATTTACTACCAATAGAAAAGTAGTTAAATTAATTTTTTATCAAATTTCATTTTAATCGTGCTTTTGTATTTTGTTTGCAATTATTAAATAGGATTTTTTGGTTAATGTTAATGAATGTGTTCTTTTGTGCGCATTGGTAAGCATAGATTTTATTCGTCGAATGCATTGGAATTTGTGAGCTCAACAACGGAAATTATCGCCGATCGAAAACTGAAAATGTATTTTTTAATTTGTTTTTTTTTTCTCGTTTAAATGGTACGGTAATGAGTATTTGAATGTTTTATTGTAATTTGTAGAGAAACAACCGTGTCCCAACGACAGGCATTCTTCATTTATACGCAAGGCATATGTATGCAAGAATGTCGATTGGAATTGGTCTTCAAATTACGTGGTTGCATTTCACATTTCTATCCGAACAGACAATTTCAAACTCTTTCAAATTAATTGCAAAAACTAAAGAAAAACGAATATTCAAAATATTTATCAAGGGACAAAGAAGTAAGATAGATTTATTCTCCTTTCTCTCTTTCCTTTGACTTCTCTTCATTCTCGATTCTTGCTCAATGTTTCGTTTCAATTCCTTTCCTGCATTGTGTGAAATGAATTGAACGTGAAATAAAAAATATAGCACCCATGAATATAAACATATAAAATCATTTCAAACAATGACACCATTGTTATGTCCAGCATATAGTGTCTGAGCGAAAAGATGCGTTGAATAGGCGCTATTTTCTTATCTATATATCAATAACTGAATAGATATAGATCTAATATATGCTTCTATCATTTATTGTTGACATGCAGTGGCGTTAAAATTTCGATTTTGTTTTATTTTTATTCATCTTGATATTCGTTTCTTGTTCCTGAAATAATATGACGATCAAATTATGATAACATAATCTCAGTTGTTTGCAGCTTAAAAAAGTCCACACATCGCAGATTCATTTATAGATTTCTCATAGTCAAAATTCAGCGCAAATTTTATGCGAAATCGCGCATAGAGTAAAATGAAAAATCAAACATTTCGTATACTCTACTGCAAACGGGAGCAATTTCATTCTTGAAGTTCAAACAAAAATCAATTCATTTTATCAAACTTATTAAACAGTGTTTACGTTTCTCCTTCAAAGACAGTTTTTCAAAATTGATGTGATAGAGCCATCTACCATAACGTCAAGTAAGTGCTTGACATTTTTGACGTTTTACTTTTCGAACTATCAACATAGTGACGACATGTGAAAGATATCGCATCATTTCTATTGAATTGAATTGCCTAGAACCCACCACATCGGTTGTTTTCTGATGATTTTTGTCTTCAACTGTACATGTTTTTCGATTGTTGACTTGATAATTGAATAATTAACTCTAAAAACGAATCGGCTTTGGCATGAAGTTGTACACAGTTGACAAGGAATGAAATATGAAACACTGGGGACTTGTGTGCAACTTCTTACCAAAGCCAATTTGTCAACGGCCTATTTGGTTTTAACTATCGTTCAGTAAAGACGTCTTTTTCATAAACCAACAAATCAAGGTTAGTATACGATTTAAATTTTTTTATTTCGTAAATTAAATTCGGTGTCATTTTTACTGACATTTTTATTGGATTGTTTGAAATTTTCACTTATAAATTGTGCCAATTTCGCCGGTTAGACGTAAGAATGTTCGGGAAACATTGTGTAACGCTAAAAAAACTTCCTGCATGTAAACATTTTTTTTGGTAAAAAAAAATCATTGATTTTTCCATTTAAAGTTGATACAACGCAATTTCATCATATTTTTTAATCGTTTTGATTTAATTTTTACGAAAAATCAAATATTTCATAGATTTTTTTTTGTCAAATATCAGTTGCTATGGTACACACAAAAAACTCCTAACCTCAATATGAAATTATTTTAACATAAACTTCAGTTTATACGAAGTCTCAATTTTTTCCGGATAAATTGTAGTATACTTTTTCCCGCTCAAATATCAAAGTGACATCAAGTCACTCGCACAAATATTTGAATGGAAAAATACGTACTAAAATTTATCCGAAAAAAAATTGAGACTTCGTATAAGTTGAAGTTTATGTCAAAATCGTTTCATATTGAGATTGAGAGTTTTTTTGTGTGTATTGCTTGAATGAAGTGCGCGTGATAGAAGCCTCCACAAATGTTGCCACAATGGTGCAGACACACCGATTTTTTTCTCTACATCTAACATTTTTCGTTGTGAATTATTCATTATGATGATAAAACATAGAATTTGTGTGCATTTCTGAATAAAAAAATGTCGAAACCTTTAATGCTTTCTACCTTCTAATTCTTTACAGATGTCAAAACGTGATGAAGAATTGTTGAATAAATCGGATTTAAGTGGAGCGGGAGTTTTTACAGCTGACGAACTTGGTAATAAGCTTAAATTGGATCCTTACGTAATAGAATGGCTCAAAAAACAACCGCCAAATGAGGATGAACCACTGTTATTGATTCTAGCTTATAGAAGTGACTTTTTTAATTTGGAAAATTTCGAATACCGTAAGGGTTTAGTTACCAACAGCTTGATAGCAAACGGTGCTGTACATATAAAAGGGGATGTGTACCAATTTAACGATTGGCCATTAATGTCAACCGCAAAAGAAAACATGGTAGCTGAATTGCCATGGGCATTTTTTTCGCCCAAGCCTTTGTTTCTTCGCCAAAACCTGGATTACGTTCAGTTTAGTCAGGAGGTCACAATTCAAACCACATGTATTTCCATTCAACCAAAATCAACATATAAACTAGAGACTTTTGAATTTTTTAAAGCTATATAAATATAATTTAAATAAAAAAAAATAAAATTAAAAAAAGTGTGAATTCATTTTCCACAGCTGGTGGTTACAACAACTATGATAATTTGCAATACAATTCGACAGCAGGCGGGTC